CGGCTCCTCGATAACGATTTTGGCGGCAGGGTATATTGATAAGCTTTCGTTTACCTTCGATCTAGGCCAACTTACATAGGTAATTTATGACAGCCAAAGCAACTCATTGGTGAGGATGTAAAGACGGTTTCCCCAAACGTGCACAGTGACCACTAGCGAACATTGTCTTTGCGTCAGCTATATTCCATCGTCAAGATGCAATGTCAAGTTGCCGCACGCAAACATCAATACACAGGCCCATCGTCTTAATGTTCTTGGTGGGCAGTTGAGCTTCCACCCTGGACACGCTTCAGAAACGGAGATCTCATAGGTAGTTGCCAACATTGATATATTCCTAATAGACGACCACATCGGAACCTGCCCCAACATTGCTTTGCGTTCTCAATCACGATTGAAACTTTGGCCGTGTCAATCTGCTTAAACTTTCTCGCCAAATAATTAAGCAGACAAAAAAAGCAACTTCTTAATTGTGAAATCTAGCTGCCTTAACAGAGTTGTCGAGATCAAGGCAGCTTATACTGTTATACCTCCACACTGGCCACCAGACCCCCGTAGGCGAGACCCCGCCAAAAAGAAAAAAGTGCCGGGAACTTCTGCTACCAGTGTGGGGTTCATGTTTCTTTAGCGCGGTCGAGTTTCTTATCATTGACAGGGAAAACGCGACCCTCCCTGCTGCTTGACGCGGGCGCGCTGCAGCTCTCCGCCGGGAAGTCGCGTTGCACTTTAAGAAGTCCCCAAGAGAGGACGACACAAGGAAAATTGACCCATTCTCCTTCTCTGGCCGCCATGCCACTCGTGTGATCCTTTTCCCTCTTCAATTTTTGCGATTGTTTCTCTGATTTGACATTTACAAATATATACCTCTGTGTATATGATCCTTTCCTAGACGTTCTGTTGACTGTCTTTGTCCGTCATGGTAGAAAAAGCTGGTCCAAAGACGCCTTCCTTGGTGAAGAGGTCGAGCTCGTCGATGTCGGCTTCAGGCAAACAGCAGCAGAGCATTCTAGGCTTCTTTTCCAAAGCGTCGTCTCAGACTGGAACATCCGCTGCCTCAGCAAAATCCACAGCCAATAACAGCACCACCACAAAGCAGTCGCCCACAAACAATTCATCGCCATGCCTCAAAGAAAAGACCAACCTCAACTCCCTCCAGCTGAACAAGAAGCGGCCGTCTATCACCACTCCCGTCCCTAGCAGTGACGCTATCGAGCCTTCCAGCTCCCAGGAGAACCACTCAGACGCCACTGTCAAGGTATACCGCGACTCGCTTCCATCGCCAATTACACCTGCTGAGCTCCCATCCAAGCAGGCAGCACTACCAAAAATGATGATTGGAAGCAGCCCTTCACGCAAAGTAGGTGTCAATGTTCTCCCCGTCGCTTTTACCTTGTTGAATGCTAATCCATTGTCATTTCCACAGGCGAAGAAGACCGTTAGTTACGCAGAATCTTCGGACGAAGAAGACGACGAGGACACTGTGGTGTCTAGAAGACCAACACGCCGCTCGCGGGCAGTCGTCAAAGATGACGAGGATGACTATCAAGAGGACAGCAAAGATGCCGTGGTGGAAGAAGACGATGGTACGCACTTGCCCATTTTCCTAACAGGAGTAGTCGCAGCTGACTTCTCACCGCAGTGGACATGGACGATTTTGTCGTCTCAGATGATTCAGACGCACCTTCCAAGAAACGCAAACGCTCTGCCCCCAAAGCACAGGCAGCCCGAAAGCGTTCGCATGCATCCTCGCCGCCAACTATCCAAGAGGAATATGAGGAAGACGGAATTGACGAGCTTATGGAAGAAATCCCCAGTACCTCCACCGCACAGCAGTGGAAGTACGATCCAGAAAGTGTCAATCCTGTCAAGATGCGATCTCCATCCACATCTTCCAAGGCAACCGCAGCAAAAGGCAAAGCGCACACAAGAGAGCCCGAGGACAGATATCCATGGTTGGCCAAGATCACCGACCTGAATCGAAATCCCCCCGGCCACCCAGATTACGACCCCTCGACCGTATACGTGCCTCCCATGGCTTGGAACAAATTCTCGGCATTCGAGAAGCAATACTGGGAAATCAAACACAAGCTTTGGGATACTGTTGTCTTCTTTAAAAAGGGAAAGTTCTACGAGCTGTATGAGAATGACGCAACCATAGGCCACCAGCTCTTTGACCTTAAACTGACTGATCGTGTCAATATGCGCATGGTGGGAGTCCCAGAGAGTTCGCTGGACATCTGGGTGAACCAGTTCATTGCCAAGGGTTACAAGGTCGCTCGAGTCGATCAGATGGAGAGTGCTCTTGGCAAGGAGATGCGTGAGCGTGATGACAAGGCCAAGAAGCAGGACAAGATTATCCGGCGAGAACTGGCTTGCATTCTGACTGGCGGAACACTCGTCGACGGTGCCATGCTGCAAGATGACAATGCCACCTACTGCGTCGCCATCAAGGAGGCAACTATTGATGACCACCCTGCCTTCGGTATAGCCTTTGTCGATGCGGCGACTGGCCAATTTTTCATCTCGCAATTTGAAGATGACATTGATCTGACAAAGTTCGAGACTTTTGTGGCACAGACCAACCCCCGAGAGCTTCTGCTCGAGAAGTCTCGCATCTCCTCAAAGGCACTTCGCATACTGAAGAACAATACGGCTCCCACAACAATTTGGAATTACTTCAAGCCGACCACTGAATTTTGGGAGGCCGACACCACCCGTCGCGAACTCGGTTGCAATGATTATTTCAAGGCAGACGATGAGTCAGAGGATACATGGCCAGAGGTTCTGGCAGAAGCAAAGAGCAAAGACCTGCTCATGTCGGCAATGGGTGCCTTGGTTCAATATCTCCGTGTGCTAAAGATCGAGCGTAGCCTTCTCTCGCAAGGCAATTTTACTTGGTATAGTCCCATTCATAAGAATGGCACACTAATCCTTGATGGGCAAACGCTCATCAACCTCGAGATTTTTACCAACACCGTCAATGGCGGCTCCGAAGGCACGCTCTTCAATCTCTTGAATCGCTGCGTGACACCATTCGGAAAGAGAATGTTTCGGCAATGGGTGTGCCACCCTCTGTGCAACACGCAGAAGATCAACGAGAGATTGGACGCGGTTGACCTGCTCAATAACAATATTGAGATGCGCGAGCAATTTTCAGCAAACATGACACGCATGCCCGATCTGGAACGTCTCATCTCTCGGGTGCATGCGGGCGCTTGCAGACCTGAGGATTTTGTACGGGTACTAGAAGGTTTTGAACAGATTGAGTATACCATGAGTCTTTTGGGAGCATTCGGGGGCGGCAACGGTCTAGTGGATCGCCTCATTGCATCCATGCCTGACCTTGGAGAGCCTCTGTCGTATTGGAAGTCAGCGTTTGATCGCAAGATCGCTCGGGAGGAGAAAATGTTGATCCCTGCACGAGGGATCGAGGAGGAGTTTGACGCCAGCCATGACACAATTGCGGAGATCAAGTCGCGGCTAAATCGTCTTCTTACGAAGAAGAAGAGCGAGCTCAATGTCAAGAGCATCAAGTTCACTGATGTCGGCAAAGAAGTGTATCAGCTTGAAGTACCCAAGAGCACCAAGGTACCCAAGGACTGGCGCCAGATGTCGGCAACAGCCAGTGTCAAACGTTACTACTTCAAGGAGCTGTCAGACCTTGTTCGCCAGCTCCAAGAAGCTGAAGAGACCCATGCGCAACTTATAAAAGAGGTTGCGTTCAGTCTATTCAGACGCTTCGATGTGGATTACGGTACTTGGCTGCAGGCCATTCGTATCATTTCACAGCTTGACTGCCTCATCAGTCTCGCCAAATCTTCTGCTGCACTTGGCGAACCTAGTTGCCGCCCAGTATTTGTCGATTCGGACCGTACCGTGGTCGACTTTCAAGAATTGAGGCACCCCTGCATGCTCAATACCGTGGATGATTTCATACCCAACGACATTGTTCTCGGTGGAGAAGCGGCCAAGATCAGTCTACTCACGGGTGCCAATGCTGCTGGAAAGTCAACAGTCCTCCGCATGTCATGTGTTGCAGTCATCATGGCTCAAATTGGTCACTACATTCCGGCAACCAGTGCACGTCTATCGCCAGTAGATCGCATCATGAGCCGACTTGGTGCCAACGACAATATATTTGCGGCACAGTCGACCTTCTTTGTCGAATTATCCGAGACCAAGAAGATTCTCTCGGAAGCTACTCCCAGATCACTGGTCATTCTGGATGAGCTGGGCCGTGGTACCTCTTCCTATGATGGTGTTGCAGTCGCACAAGCTGTCTTGCACCACGTCGCCAGTCACATTGGCTGTGTAGGATTCTTCGCCACCCATTACCATTCCCTAGCTACCGAGTTCGAGTCACACCCCGAGATCCAACCCAAGCGCATGAAGATTGATGTCGATGATGCCAACCGGAGAGTCACATTTCTTTACAGGCTCGAAGATGGCGTGGCAGAAGGCAGTTTTGGTATGCACTGCGCAGCCATGTGCGGCATCAAGGATAGTGTGATCGAGAGGGCAGAGGAAGCTGCCAAAGAATGGGAGCACACGTCCAGGCTCAAGGAGAGCCTGGAGAAGGCAAGAGAAGGCTGCTGGATCCCGCTCGGAGTCCTCAGCGATGTTGCAGCTGTCCTTGATCCAAGCAAAAGCGAAGACGTCAGCTCTAGGAGTTTAGATGTTCTCCTCAAGGCAATCGAAGCTCTTTGAGACTTTAGCCATGTCAGTGTAGACGTATGAAGCGATTTGCTCTCGGAATCTTTTTTCTTTCTTTTTCCAATGGCGTAAAATAGGTTTGCAGCCGGGGGCGTTCCGGTACGGTAGCTGATGTATTATCAGTGTGTGCGAAATATAATATCGATTTACAATACTAGATGCGACACGAGTGAAATAAATTGTTGATAGTGACAGACTGTACTCCTGAGATCAGGTTTGACTTGAATACCACCGCGACTCTCTGGAACTAGCACAAGCCAACAGAATTTATCATGCAAGGTTCATATGGTTGACATCTCAGAGGGTACTTGTTGACACATGCTTGATATGTCTGCGCTGGCTCGGGGAGACCGACATGTTATAATCGGCACCATGTATGTGCAGCTGATTCCATAGTCTCAGAAGAAATGCTTGATGCCCTCTATCGTCCCTTTGAATCCAACCACCTCGGAGCGATCAATGCCCAATTCTTCAGGGCTAATGTGCTCATCAGTCTCGACCCAGGGATCGCACTTTTCTCCGAACCGGAACTGCAGTGCAAGTTCACGGCCAGCCGGGCCCCAGACCTTTGCCCAGTCCTCGGGCTTGCATTGAATTACATGTCCCCTCTTACCCGTGACTTCGGACCAGACGTCCATCATTTGCCTAAAGGTCCATTTCTCCAGTGCCACATTGGCGTACCGACCAAATGACTTGGGCGCAGAGAGCAAAGCTTGTCGAACCCAGATGCCCGGGTTAACCTTCATGTCGCCAGACAGAAGTACTTTGGCATCTGGATCCGTTGGAAGTATCTGGACATGATAGCCGGTTCCAGGCTGTAACATGTAAAGTCAGAGGCTATTTTGGGTAGCTGTATGCCAGTGATCTACTTACGTATTCAATGGGTTTTACGAGTGGGAAGGAAAGGAAATTTTGAGGATAGTACCCGAAGAAAAGATACGTTGTCTTCTTGGCAAGCTCTGGAAGCTCATTCTTGATTCGTTCGTCCACTTTGGCTTTGTAGTCCATCTAGATAATGCTGCGTATTAGCAGGAATGACAAATTGTGTCTAGAACATTTATTGACAACGGTATGAATTCTTACGTGTGGCACTGATATCTCGCCATGCAGAAGCTTCTTGGTACCGGGACAGCTTGACCAGATGTAGTGCTCCAATGTTTCTGCTTGGGCTGCTGCGCGAGCCAGCTTCATTCCTTGTTCTTCCTCGAGGAGACCCGACTCTTCTTGAGTCTTGCCGCTGAACAGATGTTCCCACCAGTTTGTGACGGCAAAGACAGCACTGACACCCTGAGATGATCACCATGTCGGTATTGAGCGAGGACGCTTGCTTGTATAGAGATACTAACCTCAAAGGCAGCCACAAGAGAGCTCTCGTCGTCAAAACTGGCCGAGACTACCTCAATCCCTTCCGCGGCCAGTTTCTTTGCTGCTTCGCTCTCGACATTTCTTGTGATTGCGCGAACTTTCCAGCCTGGTGTCTTGTTCATGACATTTGCAACTCCGCCACCTTGACTACCCGTGGCACCCGTAACTGCGATGATTTTAGACATATCAATGACTTCCACTCAGGAGACGGCAGAAGCTTTGGTCGAATGGAAGGTTACAATGCAGAGATTTGTCGTTCATGAAATCTGAATACCCAGGGAGGCTTTCCACAAATTGATGGCAAGGCTTTCCCAATGATATAGCCTCGCTCTTGTAGCCACTACGCCTGCCCTTGAGGGTCCAGTACGGTAGCACGGCGGATTAATGTTACATTCGTATGACCTACCTCCGAGTGGAGTTGGCATAATGCAGTCTTGCGGGTCATATACAGGGAACAGCCTACGCATGTCCAAACGGAAGTCTGGTCAGTGGGACCGGACCGACACCCTGGGGCTTTCGTGAGAGTATTGGTATGAATGCGGCAATGGTTTGACGACTGCATCCGATGACTGGATGTCAGATCATGCAGAGCCAAGAGGTCAGTGTGTAAATCGTGTGGCGAACTAGTATTGGAGATGTCTGGCGAATTCGAGTGTCCGGATTACTTCTCCATCTACAACACGGGGGCCAGCCGAGGTAGTCTGGCGTGACGAAAACAATACCAGCAGGACAGTATGACGTGACAAAAGGGAGCTAAACTCAGAAGTATACAGACTTTTTGGGGACATCAATTCATATACAGTTACGCTGACTTGGTTTGGACCTATTACTCATTGGCCCATCTGATATATCGAGGATGTCAAAACTCAGTCCACATTTTGCTTAGAAGCTCTGGGAGACTCTGCCAACGCGTCCTGTAGCCCACTTGGTTCTCCATGAATTCCAGAGAACCAAGGCTCAAAGACGCGTGTGTTACGATAAGAAACATCGCCGCCTTTGTACTCTGGCACCTCGTAGAAGAAATGCTTGTCATGCGCGGTCTCAATCGCTTCGCCCGTCCTTTCATTGGCTTCATCGTCAAGGTACAGGTCATATGCCGAGAGGAGGCAAGAGGACAATGTAAGGCTTTTTGTATGAGCATAGATTACTTTTTATTCTTCTTTCTCGCGGATCGAGGGAAGGCAACTCACTGCTCTGGCAAGAACGCCAAGTTGAAGCCTGGCTTGATGGGTGTGTCCACAGCACCGGGCAAGACCGTGTTTATCGTGATATTCTCCCTTGCTTTCAAGAGCGGCGCCATTGTCCTTGCCCATTGCAAAGCTGCGGCCTTGGCCCCGCAATATTCTGGAAATGTAGGACCAGGATGAATAGCCATCATGCTGTTGGTGATGATTATTTTGCCACCGGATTTCTCATTGTGACGCATGAAGTGGACGGCCAGAGTGGTGCCATACACCACGCCCTTCCAGTCTATCTCGGTGCAAGACAGGTCAGGCTCGTCGGGAATATCGTCGACGCCAGCAGAGCGGTGGCCAAAGTTGTAGACGCTGCCCTTGTCGACGATACCGGCGTTGGCAATGAGTGCGTCGATGCGGCCCCATTTCTTCCACACTGTCTGGAAGAGATTTGCTTGCGAAGCATAAGACTCGACAGCGCACTGAACGAATATCGCCGTTTCCGCGCTCGCGTCAAGCTCCTTGGCCACCTGTTCGCCGAGCTCAGCCCTTCGCCCCGTCACGGCCACTCGATAACCTCGACCGTGAAGATGTTTTGCAAGGTCAAGACCGATGCCACTCTGGATACCGCTTCAGTTAATAGTTTTCCAAGAAAAGAAGACGGGAAACTGACTGTGGACCCGGTGATGATGACCACTTTCTCATGAGTGACTGCTTGTGAACCCATGCTGAAGATTGTATCTATAGTGACACTGTATGATTGGTTTGCCAAAGCACCTGGCGTGACAGAGACTTTTCCTTGAAGAAAGTCGAGTACATCCACCACATGGCTCGAGAGATGGGTCCGAGTCCGCGACTCCACGAGGCGCAGGCATTATCGAGTTCTATGCATCCTGCATGGGCTTTCCATGAGGCCATGATCGACCAAGCAGTTTCCTCATCCTGGTTTGCCAGCTGTCAATTGCACATATTATATGGTCCCGAATCTGCACATATCATATGGAGCAGATAGAAGATTGGCTCTTAAGCTCTTTAGGCTCTTGGGCCTCTTGGACATGGGGCCACATCCGACATCACCTAGCTGGACAGCACATACAAAATGGGAATGACATGTCCGTAACTTGCTCATAATTGGAATCTCCGCACCTGCAACTGACGTGTGTACATTTGCCAACTTACTTACCGGCGTACCCCGCGTTTGAATACGCCGGTGAAGCTCGGCGATGGGGCAAGTCGTGGCATAAAATCTTGTCATTTTGCTACATGTGATAAGTTGAAGAGAAAAAATGAAGAAGAAAACGGCTGTCAAACACAGGATTTATGCCTACTTGGGATTGAGTATGTCGTTGAGATGTCACACGATGACTCAATCATATACTCTCCTCATACTAAATTCCTTCCATGGGTCCCTCCGTGCTAGGTGAGTATATCACAGGTGGACATGGCCAGGTCCTTGATCTTTCGGATTGTTCAATGGACTTGTGACGCTCTAGGTATTGTCAATTTTTAGAGTTAGGATCACGTTTCGCAGCAGCGCAAGGGAGATGATACTAGTCCCTGATCATTCAATACTTGTAATTCTAAACTACATGGTGATCATGCGGACATGCCCATGTAAAACTAGAGCACAATAAATGTAGTGATAACAAGCATGCATTCGCAGAGTGCGATTCTCAGAGCCCGTTCTATTCTCAGGACATGATCGAGAGAGAGAAAATGCAAATCGCCGGCACCATAAAATCCCTACCCGTCAGCCGTGTGCTCTCAAGTCTGTTTCTTGCTATTCCGAAATTTGTTGCTCGTATATACTACACAGTAAATATCAGGGACAGGGCTAGAAGATTTTCTATGTAAGAGCTTACCTACCTTTGTACTATCCGTACATAGGCTACGGGTAGGCTAGAACGGCTTTGCAGGGTTCTAGGAGTAGAGGGGGAGGCACTATTGAAAGATAAGGATGGGGTTGCATCATATTTCCGAAAGAGACGCGATTGGTAGATAGCCTACCAGCCAAGCCCCGAGGTAGCGAGGTAAGGTTAGGTAGGGATTTTGATAACCTGGTATAAAATTGAATTGGTCTTACCAAGCGGTGACTATCTCTAGTACTTGCGCGATGCCACCACCGGGCTTGAAACCGACTTGGCAAGTTGAAAAGGTAAGGCTCTCAGGTCAAATAAGGCGTGCCTGCCTCCAAAGCTTGGCCGGTGGATGTTCGTTGACTCAACTATGTGTGTCAGTGTATTGTTTTTAGTGGAGGTAATGACTTTGTACCTGGGCCACCTACTGCCCAGGTCTACCTTGGTAATGGGTAGGTATGTAGGTATCTTACAGTAATCGACCTGGGTCGGGTGACATGCAAATCGCTTAACAAATCAGTTCCTCATGATAAGATCACCGCAAGACATTTCCTATAGGAAGAAGGGCCTTGGATATGTACAAATTACGTTCCATTTATTTCGCAATGCGCTCTAGGCGCGTCAAGAAGCCTATTGACCTGGGGAAATGTAGGTCGAGATTGGCCCTTGACGCGTCTGGGCTGACCTTTTCACCTTTACACCCTGGCGAAAAGTGTCTTGCTAATCTCATTGATGCCATGATTATCGGCTCGGAAACCGCGTTTTGTGATTATACAGCATGGGGCGTTCCTCTCATTTAACCTGGAACTGTTTTTGACCGGCTATTACTTCTGTAGAATAAGATATGGACGGGCTTATTCTCAGCTGAGTTTGGCACTATTCATGTTTTTTGGTCTTGATCCGCCGGTTTCGACTGGCGAACCGCCCCTAAGCCGCGCGATCCGACGTTGGCGTGGACCTTCTAACTCGATAGGGCCCGTCGCCCAAACTGGGGTGTGTCGACTTCGATTGTTCGTTGATGTTTCCTTGATGCTACGTACCGCAATTACTGCAACTATATTAGAATGATACCTTGGTCGGCACTTTTCGTCCATGGTCCCTACGCTCGATACGGGCTATTCGATGCTATGGAGTAAATGGTCCTTTATTATCAGACCTACGACAATAATCTCTGGCCTTGCTCGATGGGCTTTGCATCACCGTTATCATCATCGTGCCAAGATGCCAGCACTCATTGAGATGGCCATTGAAGTGAGATGAGTATGTTAGCCGCCAGATGCAGTCGACATTAAATTGAAGCTACATATAATGATAGATCTGCTTGAAGAGTAACAACGGGCGAAAATTAGGGCAAATGCACATCTACATAGATTCAGACATGGACGATATCAGATTAGGCAGGTGTCTATTCAGGATTAATGTACCCCTGGGCCCTTGCAGCCAGCACTGAGGCCTGCTAGGAAGATAGGGCTGACCTGCATTGTGGACGACAAGTCCCTTTTCAAAAAGGCGTGTCATATTTTTCATTTACTGTCGAACTGGCATCAGTCATGTCCAAGCACCTCTTTTGCGACATTTACCTATGAGATCTTCAATGTTTGTGTAGGCCCGAGGTGAATTGCTTGAGAGTAGGTTCATGATGTACTATTACCGCCTTCTCGAGCGGAATGTCATCCGCATCAAGTTCGGAAGCTCTGGCTTACATGTGCCGAACGATGCCCTAGCTGTGGCCGAGCGCGCTAATGGCGACGCTGGCCGAAGTTGACCGACTCGCGAGGGTCTCCCCTTGAGGGGTTGTCTACTAGGTTAGGTAGGTAACGTCAGCAAGGAAGAGGTGAGGCACCAGTACCTACTGCTGAATTGACAGACCACGCGATTGGCAATACTGCTATGTATGTACTACTTCACTACGCAATACTCTTATTATCCACCAACATTCAACGGCTAAGCCTTGTGGGTGGGCTCACACACGCCGTTGACAATTGTGTTCGTCTGTCGTCGAAGTTTGCTCTTTGGGTCCTGAATAACCCACCCCATCACCGTGGACCTCCCCCCTTCCCCAGCAATCAGTCAATTGCCGACTGGATCTGCCCATTGATCGTCAGCAACTTGACTCGGTTGCCGGTTGCACGTAGACGCTGCTGTTTGTTGTCGTCTCAACTCTACGTCAACACTGTCAAAGTCTCTCAGTATAAGTCCCTGGCAAGCAATTCGTCGCTTGGAGATGGGGGACTGAGGGCTGGGTGGTACAAGCCTCTATGTAGATGACGCTCTCAAAGTCATGTCGTGCCATGTCATGCCATGTAAGCAGTAAAGCAACCCGAGTAGCTTGGCTGTTGGCTTGGTCCTTTATTTCTCCCCTCGAGTTTTCATTTCTCTACCGACATGACACAAAAGGCAATAACAGCATGCAATGCCTTTGAAAGCAATTACATTCCTGTCTCCATCGCCTACTGAACCGTACTTCTGAGTCAATCCCGGAGGCCTGCATGCAATGTCACTGCCCGTTGCACGACTATCATCAATCAACTTGGTAGACTAGCTAGATACCAAACCAGCCAAAAGCCGCTGTAGGAGCACTGCATGAAGCAATAACTTGCAACTACTTAACTTAACCTTATGGGCTACATACAATTTGCATGCTACCAAGTACGTCAATATATAGACCCAGCCAAAACTATTCACCCCATGTAGGCATGGACCTGCGGCCAACTTGCATCTTATTGAACTCTACTAGATAGCAAGGAGTAAAGAGAATCAAAAGGTCTAGCTTGATATATGCATGTACATACTGCCCACATTGTACCGCCGTCTTCTTAGTTGGTGGTGGACGCCGGTGGTTTGGAACTCGGGTACTATCAAGCACTGAATACTAGGTAGCCCGGACCCTGAACTTGTTCTTTTTTTTTTTTCCCTCCCCCTCCGGCGCCTCCAGAAATTCTGCCTCCTGCGGCTTGGGGGGCCCCCTACCTCAATGAACCCCAGACCATGCGTGTCCATCCAATGGGCCATGACTCCATGCTGACCTACATTACCTACCTAGGTACCTAGCCTAACTTTTCTACCAGGTACCTAGTAGTCCTGTCTCTTTAGGGTGGTCCAACCGTACCTGACAAGCCTGACAGCTCTCATCATCCCTGGCGAAGATTGTCCAGTCGTATATATCCCGTCCCCCCGCGATGGCCTGGCCCACCCAGCTGGATAACAATGCCTGGGGGGGAAAACCTTTGGAGGGTATCTGCTTTTCTTTTCCTGACAGTTTGTCCCAAAGGACAAGATTTCCCTTTCGATCTATTCGCTCTTGTTGCTTGATTTCGAAGTCTCTACTTGTGTGCAGGACGATCTACTGCCGAGATTGGCATACTGTGTGCCAAAATCAAAAGAAAGCTCACACCAATCACCAAGGAAAAGCAACAACAACAACAGCAGCAGCAGCAGTCCCCACGATCTCATAATCGGAAAAATACGACCTAGCACTTTGCATGACACCACCTCTACGAACCCCTGTTGGCGAGAATTAATTGGAAACGCTTGGGCTGAGTCTCTTTGCGCCTTTCTGCGCTTCGCTTCAATATCCTGTCCCTACTGCACAGCCTACAGGCAGGGAGAGGGACACGCGGAATTGCTCGCGTCTCTTCTGGGACAACGCCGCGGCCTAGACCTCTACATGCACGTCTCCGGTAGACTCCGGACCAGGGACAAACAAGAATAACACCATCCCTGATTTCCTTGTCCGGCCCAACTTTCCTTTCTTCTTCCTAGAGAAGCCGACTGAGGTTCAGCAAGCAAGTAAACCTTGCCTGGAGTGCAGACGAGTTGCTTTTGGGCCAGCTTTCGAGCTGTAAAAGATGCTGCTCGTGGTTCATCACCACGAGTGACGGGCCCTTACAACATTCGCATTGACATCTGCAAGTTGTTAATGTTGTTATTGTTGTCCTTGCTGGGTGATTCGTATATAGACAAATGTCAGCAGCTTTCATCCGTGATTGAGAGGAGCGAAATCTCAAGGCAGCAAGACGAGCACATGTTCAAATATTCCACTGGAGTCTTGCAGAGAATTCCAGTACGCCGACCATCATGTCCGGCCGAAGCGCGTACGTGCGCAAGAAGATCACGGAGACAAAATCTAGCAGCGACAAGAATCCTGGCCATCCAAGCACAGCGGATCTAAAGCACCCAGATGTGTCAGGCTCACACAGCTTTGACTATGGCGAAGGCTATGTGGAAAACTATATGTCTCCTCCGGGAACAGGATACGGCGCAAATGGCGTGCGTTTTCTCAAGTTCTCAGAGTCGCCACATCCTGACCTGAGCCACAAGATCCCTATATCAACGACGGGCACCTGGAGCAGTGGCAGCCAGAGCGGCGGAAGTGATGGAGGCAGACGAGACACTGGGGCATTTCAACAGCAACAGCAACATCAACAACAACAGCCTGTGCCCATGGACAGCTTCGCCTATGCTCGCGCTAGGAAACCCATTATCCATACCGAGGACGTCTCTGGCATTGAGCGCTCGGGCTTCAGGAGCGCGATAGACAAGAGGAGTGACGATGTAAGGAGAGGCATCAGCAAGGCCTTCGGTTTCGGGAGGAGGTCCAAGAAGCAAGCCGATGGCGAGCCACGCACTCACTCGTCGGCTGGCATGTCGATTGCGACTGAATATGGTGCCCACGAATCCGATGACATGCCTCCCATGCCACCCTTGACCCCATCACAACTCGCGTCTTGGGAATCCCATGATGTTGCCCACCCGCCATCTTCCGAAAGCAGAGGACAGCCTCTTGTGCCTCCTCCGACGCCTCCATCCACCATTAAGCGCTGGATCGGCGCCGGACGTCCAGTCCAGAATGGAACTAGATTGAGAAAGGATCCCGAGTTGTGGGACCCCAACGGAGACGTCCTGGTCTACATGGCGCCCCATGGACAGACGCCGCAACCGCAGCCCCTGTTCCGGCTGTCTTCTCACATCATCGAAGCGACGGACAGTAGATTTCTAATTCAGTTGATGCGACAAGGCGCTACGCATGGCCATGTTCCTATTCCACCGTCGCCGGATACCCCATCCGGATCGGCTCCCCAGAACTTTGGCAGCCACTCCGAGTCTTGGCACATGGGAAGGGGACATCATGGCGACGGCATGGATGATGCCGAAGGCAATGACCAGATTGCCTACGAGATGTACTTTCCGGCACCTTCAGAGCTCAGCAAGTCTGAAGCCCATCGCCACAACATCACGACCCGGAACGTCTTGGCCCTTCTCTATCATGCCTCACTGGTTGGCGTGACATTACACCAAGCTCTTTCAGACTTGTACTCGCGGCTTGAAACATACATGCCGCCAGATGTCGACAACATTGGCATCATACTCAATTATCTCTCTGCACGGGCGATTGATGACTGCCGCAACGACCCGGAGACGGCCATTTCACTTCTTGCCTGGTCTGAGTCGCAGACGATACGCTGGGAGGAAGGGTGGCGCGAGGCATTTCTGCACTCTGTTGGCATGTACCCAAGATTGCATGACTGTGCAGACTATAGGCTTGTCACGCCAATCTCACGCGCGCTGCTAGAGCGTGCTTCCCTCGAGACGCAACTGCGTGTCCAGGCCGCCGAGGAGCGATTGGCCGACTTTTCCTATGGCGATATCTGGCCTCAGGGAGGACTAATTGCCAACAGCCATGCCAAGGCAGCGAGTGACCGGTTGCGCAAGTTTTTCATATCACACTATTCCTCGTACTATGGTGAATGGCCGCCGCCGCCGTCTGCAACAGATGACCATTCGGGCGATGGGGAAGACATTTGGCTTACGAGAAACGTGGCACAAAAGCTCCAGAAGGACTTTGGTGCACTTTACGATTATCTAGTGAACCGCGACATCACTTGGGACGAGTCGGAAACCCGAAGCAGCAGAAAGTGGGAGATGGTGTCTGAGAGCGGCAACAAGGCCTTTGACGCTGACACTGTTGATTTGCCCATGACCGACCTGCTCATTGAATGGGACAACCGGTCCAAGTTCCCTCATATACCACATCCATATCCCTTGGTGCCCGACTCGTTCCCTCCGACGAATGCACCCGTGGGCTTGCGGGACAGAGCCAAGAGGGACAAGCACAAGGGGACCGAAGACCGCGCCGTGGAACGGCGCATCCACTTGGCCTACACTGAAGCGACGAATATATATATCCTTGGTTCCGACTTTCAGCAGTCTGGACTTATTGATAGCTTTGTCAAGTTTGAAAAGTCGGATCATATTGGAATGCTAGATCCCATGGTCGGTCGCCGCGGTCGCTGGGTGTTGATCTACGGTATTCTCCAGACTCTGGCCACCATTTCTGTCGACGCTCCCTATGTCCGCTACAAGAAGGATGTGAAATATCACCTGTGTCCGCGATTAAAAGGGGTGAGACTTCCACCGTGGAGAGGCGTCGCCAATATCAGTACCGAGCCCGCCCACGAGCTGTCGCATTGCTGGACTACAGCACAAACCTGGAATGATAGCAGCGACCAGGAAGCAGCCGACGAACTGAGCCCCATCACAATGATGATGAGCGCCCAAGGCCACCAATTCCCAAACCCCCCGCCGAGTGTGGCTCGTTCGAGCACGTCGGGGTGGCAGGCCTCGATGCCACCGAGCGGTCGCTCGAGCGCCTTGGGCACTTCTTCGGCCGTGAGTGTCATGTCCGACGATGCGCGCAGCTTTCGCACTGTCGCAACGTCCATTTACCGGGCCCCGAGTCACGACCGGACAAGGAACAGCAAGTCTGCTGCCACGCCTGCATCGCCAACATCGGCAGAAGGTGAAGCTGTCAGGCCGCGCGCTTGGTCGCACCGCTCGCGGAGTATAAGTGCAGCACGCAGCGCCGCCGAGGTGGCGGCCATGTCAGTAAAACCGCTACCGCCCTTGGCCGACCATGTCACTGCCAATGCACCAAGCGGCGGGGGCTTTCTCGATCTCGAAGAGAGTCCCCCTCCAGTTTCTCGGAAGAAGACCAACAGCCGCTCCGTAACTCCGAGGGAAAGGCGGGTGGATGCGGCCGGTACCCCGCCGGTGATAAGGGATTTCGACGAGCTCCACGTCGATGACAATGAGATACCGTGATTGTTGCTTGCGAAACTTTATGTGAATAAAGTAGCATTCATTCCAATACATGGTTTCCGAGGAGACTCGCCAAGGCAGGACTTTTCACATTTTGACTCTATATTAAGCAATGCCCTATAGAAGAGTACATTTGATAGATGTGTAATTCGAAAAGGGAGCAACAACACCCCATCGGCATAAATGCACAAAAGAGAGGGCAAGGACGAGAGGGGAATTCATGATAGATGTTGTCAGTACAATATTATTCTGTGCAGAGGCGAATAGCCTAGGATAGACAATAAAGAAGGAGACATGTCTTCTAGGTCTTGAGAACTGTTTCTAGTCTCAGTGATTGATATGCAGGGTATTTATAGCTGTGGGTTTATGTTATGCAAAACGGATTGGAATATCATGTCCACACAAAACAAGTGAATCCAGTCCGTCTTTATCCACACCAGGCTTCGATATCTTAAGCTTATCATCAATCATAAAAAGAACATGACATGGTCTCTGAAATGGTGATGTCATGGGGTTTTCGCTTGTATACTGCTACGCTACCTTGATGCCTCTCAACCACCCCGTATTAAAGGTCCAGGATTATGATTCAAGGCGCTGATTTATTATCATGATCCGAGGCCAAACGGATGTAGGACCGGAATGTGCATACGTACTACTTATCAAGAATAGGTGATCCGGCTTGTTTTTTCAAAATTTGTGACCGACGGTGTTGTGTAACTTGAAAAGGGTGTTTGCGATAAGCCCCGCCAACCTCCCTTGCTTAGTACTGTACGTTAAGGTAGCGAGTCCCCGCCTCCAGTTTGCCAGGCTCCATTTCCCCCATCTGCTCCCCCCTGGGCCCTGTGGCCAAGGCTCGTTTCCCGCATTTGCATGCTGCTAAAGTGACTGCTAACTGATCCCGCCAACCTGCTGCTGCTGCTGCTTGCTGCATGGCGGGTCGGTCAGGGCAAGCACAAAAAAGTCCCGCGAGGGCCGCGAGGGGGGAAACCGTGAATTTTGGGGGGGTGATTTCGGTGACTTTGATGCTGTGGATTCCCATTGATCCTTGGCCAGACCACGCCGATCAAAGTCCTGTTCGCGTTAATCATCCCGAAATCATACAGGGTCTGTTTTTGCCTCTCCTGTTCTGTGCCTGGTCAACCATAGATACTAGTACAGTTCAAAGAGCAGGATCTCGGCAACGTCCGCAGCAGATAGATACGCAAGACAGGGTACTACGGGAACGGATAGAATCACGGTGATATGATGTCTACTGTACTCACCGTGTCTAGCCCACTTTAGCATACCTTAGCGGACTATTCTATCTGTGTTGCGTGGTATCCTTGAAGTACCGTGAAAATAAAGGATGTGGGATTGTACTCTGTATTGGGTAAAATTCGGTGAGTGCACAGTACCTACAGCAGACATCACGGTGATTCTATCCGTTCCCGGTACTACTACGCAATGGCATAGTCCGAATGCGCAATTAATCGGCCGGTTGATGAACAGGGTATACACCAGGTTGTATAAATCAGGCAGCGTCCACCTGCCGACAACCTAACTCCGAGCCTCTCCCTTTCTCACTCTGTCCGTTCTCACTGTCGCCGGCACTTTCGGTTCGATTTGCAGGAATCCTACCCAAGGTATTTCCCAAGGCTCCCTCTCGTGTGTCTTGACTCTTCCGCCATGTTGGGCAATCGCCGTCTCACTGCCCTCCTGGCAGGGTGCTTGCCGCTGCTTCCCACCAGCGCCAACCCCATCTCAAGCCAAGAGCCAAAGTTGGGTGCCGTTGCCTCTGAGAATGCCGTCTGCAGTCAAATCGGCATCCAGCTCCTCAAGGATGGAGGCAATGCCGCCGACGCCTTGGTGGGCACCGTCTTGTGTGTCGGTGTCATCGGCATGCAGCACAGTGGAATTGGAGGCGGTGGCTTCATGCTTGTCCGGAGCAGCAACGGGAGCTACGAGTTCATTGATTTCCGCGAGGTGGCACCCGCTGCCGCTTTCCAGGACATGTACGTCAACAACACCGATGCCAGCTTGTATGGCGGTCTCGCCAGCGGAGTGCCTGGCGAGCTGCGCGGTCTCGAGCACCTGCACAAGAAGTACGGCAAACTGCCCTGGGAGTATGTAGTGAAGCCTGCCATCAAGGTTGCCCGCTATGGCTTCAGGGTCAACGAGGACCAGGTCCGCTACATGAACTCCGTGTCTGGAAGCTTCTTCACCGACGACCCCTCATGGGCCATTGACTTTGCCCCCCACGGTCGCAGGGTGCAACTCAACGACACCATGACCCGCAAGCGCTATGCCGACACTCTCGAGGTCATCTCCAAGGAAGGCGCCGATGCCTTTTACACTGGGGCCATCGCCAATGCCACCATCTCGGCTCTGAGGAACTCCAACGGAACCATGACGCTGGAAGACCTGGCAAACTACACAGTTGCCCTGCGAGAGCCCTCTGCCATTGACTACCGCGGCTATAAGCTGACCAGCTGCGGTGCACCCGCTGGTGGTTCCGTGGCCCTCAGTGCTCTCAACATTGTGAGCGGCTACTCGGGATTTGGCGACCCTGCCCAGATCAACCTCACTACCCACCGCATTGACGAGGCCATGCGGTTTGCATATGGACAGAGGACCCTGTTGGGTGATCCCTCCTTTGTCAACGGCACCTTGGAGTACCAAAAGTCCATGCTTTCCGAGGCTACAGGTGCAGAGGTCCGATCCAAGATCTTGGACTACACTACGCAAAATGTTTCGGCGTACGACCCTTCGGGCTACGAGAGTCTCGAGACCCCTGGCACCAGCTACGTCGCTACTGCCGATGCGAGCGGCCTCTCCATCAGTCTCACAACGACCATCAACACCTTGTACGGATCGCAGGTCATGGTCCCCGAGACGGGAGTCATTATGAACAACGAGATGAACGACTTCTCCATCCCTGGAAGCTCGAACGCTTTTGGCTATATCCCCAGCGAGGCCAACTATATTGTTCCGGGTAAGCGACCGCTGTCGTCCATCTCTCCAACCATTGTCGAGACGCCTGAGGGTCGTCTCTACCTCATTGTCGGATCCGCTGGTGGTAGCCGCATCATCACGGCAACGATTCAGAATATCCACCATGTGCTAGACCAGAATATGACGGCGCCCGAGGCCTTGGCCCAGCCGAGACTGCACGACCAGCTCGTGCCAAACCTGGTCTCGTTCGAGTATGCGTACGACAACAGCACTGTTGCGTACATGAAGAGCCTCGGTCACAATGTTACCTGGGTCGCACCGGGTTCCAGCACGGCCCAGGCGGTGAGACTGCTGGCCAATGGTACATTCGAGGCGGCAGGAGAGCCGAGACAGGTGAACTCGGGTGGCTTTGCCATTTAAACACGCAAATAAAGAAATGGCACCGTAATCTAAGATAATGATAATTGTACATAGGAGTTAATGGTACGGTAATTCAAAGATCTGTATAAATGTATTGTAGGTCACCCCAACATCAAAAGAACGTGCAATGTGTCTGGCGCGACTGACTGCTCCATCGTATTATTCTCTCATGTTTGTTCAGGTATACTATATACAGGCAGTATATCTCGTCTATATTGACTCCACTCTTCTGACCTGTGAGCAGCGCATATCCTCCTCGCAAGTTCAATCAGGACACACCTACATATCTCCACAGCCGGGGCCCATTGTGAATGTAAAGTCAGCGTTTTCTGCCAATTGTCAGCCTTCCAATTCGTAATTCGGGACCCGCGGGACCGTTTTTCATGATCCTTCACCCCGCTCACCACGGCCCAAACTGGCCTAGACGGGGGTATTTATATTCTGACCCGCTAGGATATGACCAGACGCCGAGATCCGAGATCACGTGACTGAAACTCGTCCGCCAGATCCGATGTCTTGCTTCGGCATTCACTCCCGGAGAGACTCTTGACTCTGAAATCTGGAGTCACCGAGCACGTTGGTATACAGTTCGGTACCGACATCGCGATGTCTTCCACTGACGGCGACCTGCTGCCAAGACAGTCAAGGACTTGTAACCACTGCAAGGGCCGAAAAGTTCGATGTGTTTGTGAGCAGTCCACCTAGTCCCACAATGCATATACTCGTTCGGCTCGGCTTTCGACTGCTGACCCTGAATTCTAGTTCAGACAAGCACATCAGCATGTAACAGCTGCATAGTAGGTTTCGTTGGTAGTTGTGTCATTTTTGTGTGGAATTAAACTTATTTCCGTGGTCAGAAACGAAAGATTCCGTGCGAATTCAGTAACACCAAGCGACTACTTAGGCGGTCGACTCCTACTGCTACTTCTACCACACTACCGGGTCTGCAAACCACAATATGCACCCCCTTGCTGTATTTGTACTTGGGCTGGACTAATGTTAATTATAGAACCCGCCCCCACAAGGCAGGTCTGTTCAGCCTCGAATGACACATTATACATTGACCGTATACTCGAAAACCCCGGCCTCGCTGGAGTGCCCCTGAATGATGAATGCATTTTCAAGGTGAGCCGTCCAACCAAAAGACGCGTGCCGTGCTAACTAGCGTGATTTTTTTTTTTCAGACATACGATGGCCATTGTGAGTTCTTCTTCATCAGTAGTTCGGTCTCGGACGGCGAAATTGATCTCTTGTGTAGTGACGAGCTCAAATCTGGCCGTATTCACGGAAAGCAGGCTACGTCTCATCTCACAACGCCTCGGCCATAATCAAGTCCGGGACCTGGTCGAAAAGATATGGGAATTAATCAAGGAGAGAGGTTGCAAAAACGAAAGAAATCCTCTGTTTACTGCACCCCAAGATATGTCTACCGCACCATGTGTACTCCCGCCGGATGAGGCTGCCGGCTACATCAAGGCGTACTTTGAATGTGTACATCCTCTTTATCCTTTTCTCGACCGACGAGAGTTTGAGAGGAAAGCCGCCCTTCCAAATTTGATCGAGGTTCTGGCAGAGCAACCAGCATTTTCGTCAGTCTGCTATCTGCTGTCTTGCTAAACACCAAGTCTCAAGACTAACAATTGGCGGACATAGTGCTCTGTATCATGCAGTTCTCGCGATTGGCTGCCAGAATATCGCCGATGTCTCTTTTGACCCTGGAGTGGGAAGATCGTGGCAGATCTTTCGAGTCTCCTTGGCAATATTGCCACGAATCTTGACTCATCCCGACTCGGAACCGGATCTACAGGTAAGCCAGTATCCTCTCTCAAATGCAGAGATTTCATTCTACTCACAAGAAGCAGGCGGTCACTGCCATGGTAAGCATGAATAATTCCGAACAATACAGCCTACCCATTTCCTGATTGTGTCTCTTGTTGTTCTAGGCCATCTTTGGAATGAATATCCCCGGCATGCAAGTAGATGAGTTGTTCATTGAAGCAGTGCGCAAAGCGGCCCGAATTGGGTGCCATCGAGTCATCAAAAGACGTGGCTTGGATCCTGTCTCCTGCTATAAAACCTTTTGGGTCATTTATATCTTGGAACGCATGCTCTGTTTCGTCTTCGGTCTAAGCCCGGTAAGCAGACGATCTCCCAGCTAGGTTTGAGCATTGCAGAGATTGACCTTGGTTTCAAGTTGCTCTCCGACTATGATATCGGCTGTCCTCTACCCGAGACACCCGAATCGAATGTAGACGGCGTCAACTTCTTCCTCATAGCTGTGAGGTGCGGGAGAATCATGTCGAAAGCGTATCAAACGCTGTTCTCGGTCAGTGCCACGATGAAAACTACGGAGCAGTATTTCGCGGCCATTGATGCCATTAAGAGCGACCTGAGCCGGTGGAACTACTCGATACCAGCCAAGTTTCGACCTGGTATGCCGTTTCATTCTGGAAATGGGTGGGAGACCCTCTCGTTTCTCAGGATACATTACATGTATCACGCTCTCAACATCTCCCTTTGCCGGCTGGAGTTGCACGTTGGCGTCGACCAGAGTACCCAGCGCATGAATGACACGCGGAAGCAACTCATGAACACGGCGCGGACGGTTCTAGATCTAACGACATTTATTGAGCTCAAACCTTCAACGCCAATGTGGTAAGTCAAATCTCGCACCTTCAAGGAGCCAACCCAAAGCTTATCTTCTCCAGGATAATGTGTGCCATTCCGGCGTCGGCAATGCTCATCCTCTTCGACTTTGTTATCCACAACCCCACCCATATCGAGACGGACACGAATTTGAAGCTCTTGGATACGGCAGCCGGCTTTTTTGGGCGGCTACAATACGCGACTGGCGGTTCGTTTCCGTCCATGATCATGTCCGGCTTTGCCCACATTGCAAGCGATTATGTACGCCGGTCACGTGCTGCAAACGGCTCTTCTGTTGCGGCTTCTGCTACAGCAAGGTCATCAGGCACGCCAGGGAACCAACCAATCGCGCCACAATTGACCGCATCCATGCCTCCGTCGATCCCCAACTTTGCGGCCAGCACGGGCAACGTCAACTTGAATGGACTGCCGCCCAAGGAGTCAGCACCAAGCCTGGACGTTTACAGCTCTTCAGGACCACTATTTTATCCCATCGAGGAGGGCGATTATACCATGAACGACGACCTCTTTGCAGGATTCAATTTTGCGAATTTCTTTGAGCCTGTGATTCCCGAGTTCTAGTCATGTATATGTACCCATGTATGTAAAACAAGCCGCATCGTGCTAGCGACTTTCAAGTATTCATCCTCGCCCCATATGTTTCCCGTTGCGACTGGCCAAAATATATGTTTGCGTTTCCAGCATCGATAATTATATTTGCGCTCCACTTGCTCCGCATCATGTGCGTGTCAGCAGTAATGATACCCCGAGGACTTGATTGTGACAGGAATGCAATGTGGGGACAGGGAAGAGACCGTAGGAATATTATAGCGGCCTCGGAAGTGCGGCCCATGTCTTCGGAGGCTCTATACTTGAACATCGTCCCGAAAAAAACGACACAACTAGGCCGAATCTGTTTCAATATTGTGCTCCTGATGGAATTTGGGTAATTCAATTGATTAGTCGTATGGAAAGCCACTCTACCAGTACCCTACTGAACCAATCTGAATTCTCCCGAAAATCCGGTCGACTACGGTTTGGAATAGGGCATCCATCCACCCGGGACCTGACCCGACACTCAGGCAGTTAGGTCCGGAATAAACTAGATGATGCAAGTTTTTTTTCTTGCAAAGAACTACAAGCTTAGCTTCTATTGCACCAAAATCACCCTTGCATGCATGAATGATGCTTGTAAAATTTGACTGCCGGTGTATCTCGAGGCAAGTTAAATCGGACTGCTTGATCATAGTTCAAATGGACTGTTCTGCCCAGAATAGATAAAGACAGTTTTCCCTGTCGATTTTGATGATATTACTGAACGCTGGTACATAACAGGGCTGGATCTCGATCAACACCGTACACCACCTCCATCACTATGTTGGTCAGCTCTCTCCTCATTTGTCTGTCCAGTCTGGCTGCAGCACAATCTCTAATTGCTGAGCGTGCTATATCGGGCTGCTATCCCCTTGCCTCCAACAGCACCGGCGACTCTTCAAGTTTTATCAAGACGAGCAAATCACCGCAAGGCTTTGTATCGGCAGCCCGAGGCTGGAATTCCTGGGGCATTCAGGCCAATCCCAGGACAATACCCGGCTATTCTTCAACTATTGCACCCTACGTCAATCAGAGCTTTATTATTGAGCAGTGCACTGTCCTCTCTGGCTCTGCTTTTGTAGCTGCGGGGTATGATCTTTGCAGTATTGACGATTACTGGGACAGTACCGTCTCGGATGAATATGGCCGCATCACTTACAATGCCACGCTTTTTGATATGCCGACTCTGGCCACAAAGCTACATGACATGGGACTCAAACTGGGTCTATATGCTCGGCCGAGCGCGCCGTGTGATGCTGCTAACAAGACCATATCCAATACCGACATTCTCGTTGGGTCTCTCTTCATTAGCGGCTTGGAGGATGCAAGGGGCAACTGCTACCTAAACTACAGCAATCCAGACACGCAGCTATGGCACAACGCATTAATCGATCTCTGGGCATCCTGGGGTGTGGATATGATCAAACTCGACTTTCTCACGCCGGGGTCCATTATCGGGAGCCTTCCTATACCCGACAATACCAGCGCTGCTGCGATTGCCTACCATGACGCCATCACCAATAACGGGCGCCAGATTCGTCTCGACCTTTCGTCCAACGTCTGCCGAAATGAGCCGTACCTGGGAATATGGAAGTCTAGTGCAGATTCTTTCCGCATTGCTGTCGATATCAACAGCTCGGGCGCCGCAAAGTTCCTGGGCTCCATGTGGAAGGTCCAAGGCACTATTGAACAGTACCGGCAATACATCAACCTATTGGTGGCTGCAGAGGAAACCATGAGCTTACACCCTGATTTTGACAACATGTTTGTTGGTAACCCAGAGAGTGTTTCTGGCGTGACAGATGCACAGCGCATCACCATTGCAAGCCACTGGATCGGCGCCTCTGCCAACTTGATTCTGGGTTCCGACATGACGAATATCGACGATCTCGGCCTCAAGCTTGCCACATCTCAAGAGTCCATCGAGGCGGCAAAGTTTTGTGGCCGCTATCCGATGCAGCCGCGCAATCCCGGGACGGGCAGCAACCAGCCGATGCAGCTCCAGGCCTGGATCGCCGGTCCCGACGATGACGGACAAGCATATGTGCTCTTGACCAATCTCGGTGCCAACTTGGGCAGAGGAGGTTACGTGGACCTTGGGAGTGGACTGCAGAATGTGTCAATCACCTTGGGCGATTTGGGATTGACGGGATCCGGGTATGTTGCTACAGATGTGTGGTTTGGAAACGTGACTACGGTAGAAGCCGGAGGTGGTCTCTCGGCACTCTTGGACGATGGCAACTCTCAGTTTTTGCGCCTGACACTTGCGACACAAGGTTCTACCTAGCTTGTAAACACGGGAATTCAATAGCCTATGCTTGTGTCCCAAAATTGGCACAACCAAGACACAATCTCACCACATCCCAATGTCAAGCTGCCTTGGTGTGTGTACTGTCCCTCCTTACATGAGGTAAACAAGGAAGGCCAGTCAGCACAAACAATCAACCGTTGACCCAAATAAGACAATCCCGAGTCATTGGCGGGACCATTGCACTACTACGTGTCTGACAGGGGTGGGTTGATTGAGGCTGCTGAAGGATTCAAGTTGCAACTAATCAGCGTTGTGCTATTTTATTACCTACCTAGTACCCAGTATTCCGTACCCTGTGTTTCCCCCCTGGCACCAGGGTCTGGAATCGAAAACCGAGACCCGAAATCCACTAACTATAGCCCCAGGAGTGTGAGCTGAACAAGATGATACAACTGGTATATATGTTTGAGTTTGAGCAGTTTTCAGCTACATGAATTTTTCATTCACTCCTCCATCTCTTGTATCAACAGATTCTGAGACTCTGTGGACAAAATGACATCGTCAATAGAGCTGGCGTCCATGCCAGTAATCACTTTGGAACAAGTCCGGCCACTCGGCTTCTTGTTCGTCACTCTTTTGCTTTGCTGCTATTTGTTGTATCAGTGGCTGCTGCCCAAACCGATCCCAGGAATTCCTTACAATGTCGAGTCGTCGCGAAAAATCATGGGTGATATCCCAGCGCTGCTTCGCGAGATCAACGGCACAGACAAGACGTTTATGGACTATATTATCAAACAGGTCAAGAGCCACGATTCGCCCGTCATTCAATTGTTTTTGAGCCCCTTCCGGAAACCCATGGTCATCATCAATGACTTTCAGGAATCGCAAGACTTGCTGATGCGGCGCAAGGAATTCGACCGCTCCGAGTTCCTGACTGACCTCTTTGGTGGCGTGTCTCCCGAGCATCACATTATGAAACCCACCAACAGCTCCTGGAAAGCTCACCGCCGGCTGCTGCAAGATCTCATGTCGCCGCCTTTCTTGCATCAGGTCGCCGGCCCAAATCTATACTCCAACGTCAACAACCTCATCAGTTTGTGGAACTTCAAGGCCGATGTTGCTCAGGAGAGGCCATTCTCGGCCACTGATGATATCTATGGCGCCGCACTCGACGCCATCTTTGCTTTTACCTTTGGCAAAAGTTTCAAAAGCAACGCGACAGCACCAAACATGCATCTACTCCAGGGACTGAGCGCACAAGACATTTCCAAGCTACGCGGGGACGGCAAAGACCATGACAAGCCATTGGAATTTCCCCAGGCGCCGAGGGACAAGGCCGTGACGGCGACGTTTGACGTTGCCCACGCAATTGAACAGGTCAATGGAAAACCGTTTGCCAAGCTCATCTGGAAGTACGTGGTTGCAAGAAAGGATCGATTCAGTACCGCGCTCAGGTTGAAAAACGAGTACATTAATGATGAGCTCAAGGCGGCCGTGGCTAGGATTCAGAATGCCGACTCGGACGTTCGGTCGGCCGTGGATCTCATGGTGCAGAGAGAAACCAAGATTGCAGCAAAGGATGGACGTGCTCCAGACTACTTTTCTCAAGTGATGATGGACGAGGTAAGAGAGAAATGTACCCTCCGTGATAATTTGCCCCTTCCCAATACTGACCATGGTTTCAAGACTTTTGGGTTTGTCGTGGCAGGACACGAGACCACGAGCACAACAATTCTCTGGGGCATGAAGATTCTGGCCGCCAACCCAAGGTCCCAGACAAAACTCCGCGAGACTCTGCGAGCCTCATACTCGGAGGCATTCAAGACAAAGCGCAGCCCGACAATTGATGAGATTACAGGGACCGACATCCCCTATCTCGATGCCGTCATGGAAGAAATTCTCCGCTGCGGAGGTACGGTCCCCGGCGTGGACAGACAGGCCACATGCGACACTGAGATCCTGGGATACCCCATCAAAAAGGGCACCGTCGTGCTATGTTCGGGCAGAGGCGCCAGCATGCTGGAGCCCGGTTTCGATATTGACGACAGCAAACGGAGCGAGACGAGTCGGCTCGCCAAGACGGAGAACCGCATCCGCGCCTGGGGAAACGACGACATTGGTGCGTTCAAGCCCGAGAGGTGGCTTGTTGCGGCCCCATCGTCGGAAGACTCGACCGAGACCGCTTACCACTTTGATTCCACCGCCGGGCCACAGTTGGCATTCGGTCTGGGCTTGAGGTCGTGTTTCGGTAGACGTCTGGCTTATCTTGAATTGAGGATATTGCTCACAATGATTGTCTGGAATTTTGAGTTATTACCCTGTCCCGAGGACCTCGCCGGCTTCTCCGCGATTGCAGGCATCACTTACAAGCCAAGGCAGTGTTATGTGAGGCTGCGCAAAGCAATCTAGGACTGTTAAAAGTAGCTTGTATTTTTAGTTGTAAATGATAGAAACCCCTCTTAGAAAGCGTTGGTTATTAGCTCCCATCAACTGAAGACAGCACGTGTAACTTTGCACCAAAGATACTTGGAAAAAATTCATGTTTTGCAATACTTTGAAATTAAAATGCTATTGGGTATGATAGTCCGCTCCGTGGAGAGGCTACACAGTAAATCATCATCTTCATAACTCATGATTGGCACCAACTTTTCCATCTCATGTACAATTTCATGGCATCAAGGGGTTTCTGTCATGAGACAGTCTCGGCGTCCACACTCGTCAATGTTGGGACCACGGCGTTCATCAGGCCCGTGTCGGCATTGAAGGTGACGCGATCAATGGTCACCTCACGCTCCGTGCCGTTGCCATTGGGAATGGCAAAGCGGTGGTAGGCCATGTACCAATCGTCGGTGCCGGGAACGCTAATGATGGAGTTGTGGCCGGTGCCGAGAATGCCCTGCGACTCGTCCTTTTGCAGGACAACGCCCTGGTAGGTGTATGGGCCGGTGACGCTCGTGGCAGATGCGTAGCCGACCTTGTAGTCCGGAGATCTCGTGTCGTTGATGGAATAGGTCAAGTGGTACAGGCCGTCGCGATAGTTGACAAAGGTTCCCTCCATGTAGTTGGTCAAGCCTGTGATCTCACCAATAGTGTCCTCCTTGATCGAAAGCATGTCGTCCGACAGCTCGGCATAGAGACACTTGCCGTTGCCCCAGAACAGGTAATACTTTCCGGACACGGGGTCGAGAAAAGCATCGGGATCAATGGCTTGCGAGGAAGTAATGGACTCGGTGTTGGTGATTAGCGGACCGCTTTGTGCAGTAAATGGTCCAGTGGGAGAATCGGCTACTGCGACACCAATATTCTGGGCATCGTATGTGGGATTGTGGCCGCAGAAGTAAAAGTAGTACTTGCCATCCTTCTCGGCAATGGTTGGTGCCCACGCATTGCCTGTAGCCCAGGGGACATTTCCAGCATCGCCGTTGAGCGTCAGAATGGGGCTATCGCTACGAGTCCAGCTGACAAGATCCGGTGAGCTCCAGACATAAAAGTCGTGAGCACCCCAGTCCGCGGAGCCATCGGTGGTTGGATAAATATAATAAGTGCTTCCATATACAGCAATGTTGGGGTCGGCGTTATAGCCTGGAAGAACAGGACTATCACGTTTGACCAGTGTGGATCGGGATTTGAGTGCAGTTCCTGCTGTTACAGTTGTCCACTCGGCTGCAGTGATGGGGAGAACGGTGCCGTGTCGAGGACTAGTAGGCAAGCTGTACGAGCTAGATAGTTGCCAATCTGGGTTGGCGATATCGTCAGTCTCCAAGGGAAGGTAGTGACGCCCGCTGTATTCGTCAACAAAGAGATAGTATTTCTCTCCATTTACATCATCCGGGTTGGACTTGAAGATGGTTGGCCCCTCAACGGCAGCGGTCCCGGCGTTGGCACCAATACAAGAGGTGACCGTCGTCCAGTTGGTGGCGAGTAAGTCTGTAGAGCTCTCCTGGATGATATCCACGCATCCCGTAGCACTACCGCCTTCGTCTTTGGTGAATCTGTAGTACACACCATCGACATCAATGACTGTCGAATCTATCCTCGAGACGCCGGTATCTTCCCAAATGACAGGGTCTCCAAATGTGACAAAGTCCGTGGTCGTGGCATAGAGAACACGGTGATATGAGCTGCCCGTGTGCTCCGTGTCAGACTCATCAAAGAGTTCTGAGGCCCAAAAGACAATGTAGGCACCCAGGTCTGAATCGTAATAGGCCTCGGGCGCCCACGTGTTTCCTGCCGTCTCGGGCGAGACGAGGACATGGCGCTGCTCGGACCATGTCTCCAGATCATTCGATTCCCAAATCTCGATATAGCGGCTGCCTTGACGCACCGCCGAGTCCCACGACGTTCCCGAGCCGATGGACAGATCGGTGGCGATGAGATAAAAGGTAGAGCCATCAAAAGACCTAATGATGAAGGGGTCTCTCACTCCACCTGTACCCTCGGTGGAGGTCAAGACGGGTTGGCCATTATTAAGCTCTGTCCAGTCGAGAGCATTGTTGCCCTGGCTTGCGGCAAAGTATATCTTCTCGCCAGCAATGGTATCATTGGTAAAGTATGCAAAGAGATAGTTTTCCAAGGCTCCTGTCTGCCTGGCTGCGTTTCGATAGAAGGACGGATCCCGCACGGCAGCTGCACTGGCGGTGGCCGAGAGACCGGCTATAGCAGGTAGTATTGACTGGAGAGACCACATCTTGTATGCAGAGTAAGAGCCATATACAATTGATGGTGGACTAGGCTTGGGGATGAAGTTATCTCATGTCAATATTAAATACCAATGGGGAATGTGATGGGCGGGCATGATATATATCTAGATTTCTCTCTCAAGGCCGTGCACATGATGGTCATAACAAAGCAGTGGTAGCCTTGGGGGAGGGGATGACGCGCTTCCAGCGGCCCCGAACGGCACTCATCTCCGCCAGCAGTAGTATGACGACGGCGATGATGGTCATGATTATGATTGTCTTGCCATCCGAGGTGAGTGGACCAACCCAGGCCAAGAGCTGCTGCTGCTGCGGCTTTACCTTGGCTGCGGCTCTTTGTCATGGTCTGGTGCTTAGGCCCTTTCGACGGATGGGCTATAGGCTAGGTAGTACTTAGGTAGAGTATAGACCGAGCTGCACAAGACTAGAGTTTTTGGTATCCACAAGCAAGACTACACTATTTTACCACCAATACCCAACGGCATCGACGACTAGGAGTCTGGGCTGACGAGTTGACGAGTGTTGACTTGCTGGACCAAAAGTCTGCTGGCCATACGACGATGGAATGGATCTGCTCGTCCTGTGACCCGTGGCAGCCTGTAGGTCGTTACTCAAATTCCGCATCCGGCGTAGCGGCTGACCTGAGGGACAGATCAGAGTGTGGCCAGAGGTATGTAAGCGGCATGCTGTAGACTGAGACCAATGGCACCAATAGACGGAACCAATGGCATAGCGGAATAAGGATGTTCACGCCCGGCACAGGTTAGCAGCCAAGTAGCAAAGTCCATTTGCGCTTGGCCGCTGGCCTTGCCGTATTTTAGTATGATTATGACGAAGATGTTGTTGTTATTTGATGATGATGGACGACGATCTCGAGCTTTTCTCCCTCTCACAGCGTACGTGCTTACACCCTTTTCGACCTCTCAAGTGGCGTTCTCCCGCGTCTCGATTGGATAGAGTATGTTGCTAGTATTCCGTCTTTGCCAATAGACGACTAGTTACTGAGCCCGACCATAGCCCGGCTTCCCCGACTTTTTCTTCTATCGTACTATTGGGGAGAGACCCTGGGCGATCCCCCGCATTCTGCCATTCTCCGCTTGGAGATTCCTGCTCAACCCCCCCTTGGCAATCTGGGGGACTTTGACTGCAAATCTCCAACTTCCCTTGCCCATGCAAAAGTATTGTCGTCGTCGTCGTCAACTTCTTCTTTCTCCGCATGCACATGACCACTTGCACATGTTGCAATAGGGGACGCAAACAAACCACGTTAGCCGCCTTGGCCCTGGTTATTCCGGGGGTCAAAGTGTAAAAGCAGGATTCAAACTTTTGTGACCCCACGCTCGAGGTCGTAACCTCGGATTAGCCCAATGCAATGCCATGCTCAAATGCCACGCATGCTCAATGCCGGCGGAGACTAGGGCCACCTTGGAAGGGAGAGAGGGAGGGAGAGCGGGAGAAAAAAACAAATAGACGACTCACCAAGACCCCCCTCAAAGAAAAACCCCCCCAGGCGCATTTGTTCCGCCTTGCTCGACCGCCTGTCAACAAAACTTTAACACGAAGTATTCTGCGTATTGGTTTTTTGCGGGGAATTCGGAGCCGGCCAAGCAAGGCTCTTTGTCACTGGACATTGTCGATTGGCTTAGAGCCGTCGCTCGGTAGAAGCCGCACCCGAACAAAGAAGAGAATAGAAATCTCGTTCTCGGGTAATAGCAAATACGTGCGCATTTGACGTCACCCGAGTATCCCGAGAGTATGAAGCTAGAGCTGTTTGTATCTACTATTCTTTGCTGGATAGTCCACAGGTAAATTCAAGTGGTCAACGGCGGGACGGCTGCGGGATGCGGGAGAGCCACAAGGGAAAAAAAGCCACGCCTCGACGACATCGTTTGGACGGCGCGCCCTTCGTGCAGCGCCATGAATTCCAAAAATGGTCACGAGAGCCCAAGACATTGCAAACAGATTACTGAACTAATTACTGTCCCGAACGAAGCCGGGCTTTGTGGCTGAATCACGGTCCATAAAGCTTACTTGCTACTCATTCCTCAGCAGCGAGTATGACATATATCAAGATGACATGACTCCCTTTTGAAAGAACAAGAAGATCTATCTGATGCCAAGCAGTGCTTCATCGCCCATCACCGAGAGTCGTCGATTTACTTCGCAAGCGTCTCCGAATCTCTTGTTGCCGGTTACGCGCGCATATGTTACATTCTGGCTCGTCTGGCCCCCCAACGAGTTCCCACATGGCACCTCAATGCAACGTTGACGCCAAGCACGCGGAAATGGCTGTCGAGGAAAACTCTATGTTTCTTTGTGGAAAAATTCTCTGTTTGGATCTGATCGGCATCGTAAAATCGATTCGTATTCTGCCATGCCCATGGTTTTGTTTTCACATGCAAAATGCACACGTCTGTAGGATCCTACTGCTCGGAAACTCGTAACGGGGAGTTAACCACGTGCTGCTGCAATTCGAACAGCCAACGCTCCACCGTCAAGAACTGATCATCTGCGGGAAAGTAAGTTTACCATTCTGTTGCTAGACTCGATTCTAGTCCGATCCATCTGCCAGGAAGACTGTTGCTAGGAGCCGCCTGTGCGCATCCCGCGTCGAGGATCTATCTGCCAAACCTGCTTTCTGGGGAGGCTGCATGAAGGACGGTTGGGTCGAGATCTACAGCCAGACGGCCACCCAGTCTTTCGGAATAATATAGGGAGAATTCTTGCGACAGATACGTGTCGACATCTCTCCATTTTGGCCCAGGGCTGGGAGTTGGCACGGTGCTCGTCTTGCCTGTAGGTAATTGACCATGAATAGAAAAGAATGGCTCTTATGCGAAGGAACAAAGAACAACCAAAAGTGTCGTGACACTCGATGACTACACTCGAAATGGCCACCAGACTCCTTTGTCAACAATCCTGTCAATGACAATTGACAAAGACGGGCGGGCCGGGCAGTTTTGAAAGAGCTCGTGGCAGGGCTAAAATATGTGGCCGAGGGGGTCATTGATGCCACGTCCCAAATTGATGAATCCCAGGAAAAAGTCGACAGGTCATGCCAGGAAGAATGATTTCGCGGGTGATGTTTTCTCTATTATACGTGTCGTTCGTGGCAGCGCAGCGGTATGACGGGCAATATTGGCCCTGCAATCCAATGCAGAATTCATCATGCTATCCGAACCCAGGCTTGAATCAATATGAATACTTTATCGACTTCACCAACCCTCCGGCAGATCTGAATGAGGATTGGAGCACATCAAACTACGCCACCATCACATATAACACCAAGGCCAAGAACGGCGCCGAGTTCACCTTTGCGAAGCGATATGACGCGCCTCAGCTCTTCACCAACTTCTACATCTTCTTTGGCCGCGTCGACGTTGTGATGCAAGTTTCGCCCGGCGTGGCCATGATATCATCGGCTGTTCTCATGTCTGATGACTTTGATGAGATTGACTGGGAAATGTCGGGCAACGACTTTAACCTGGCCAAACAGTATCCCAATGGAGTCGTACAAAATAACTATTTTTCCAAGGGCATCACTGGCAACTACGACCGAGGCCAATGGCAAGTCTGCACTCGACCTCAGACACAGTTTCATACCTATTCGTTTGACTGGACACCCGAGAGGCTGCAGTGGCTTATTGATGGTCAAGTCATTCGGACGTTTCTGGCAGCCAATGCGGACAACAAGGACCACCAATATCCACAGACCCCATCCAAGTTCCAAATGGGAATCTGGAGCGGTGGCGATCCCGATCAGAATGATGGCACAAGAAACTGGGCCGGGGGTTATACTGATTTGTAAGACTCGAAGAAAAAAAACATTAATATTGGGATCTAATGACAGTGCTGACAAGATGATTGATTGCAGAAAGGCGGTTCCATACACAATGTTTGTCAAAAGTGTCCGCATCAAGAATTACAACCCGGCCAAGCATTACAAGTGGACTGATCAGAGTGGGAGCTGGAAGAGTATTAAGCTTATAAATGACACCGTGTCTAGCTCATCCAGCACCAGTCCTCGATCATCAACCATGTCTACCAGTTCAGTGTCGAGTCTTGCCTCGCCAGCAACGACTGCGGCTAAAAGCACGTCGACCACTTCTAGTGCGACTCAGGTCACAAGTCTTGTGACCTCGAAGGCAAGCACCATGAGTAGTGCTTCTGGCTCAAGGACTACTACAAGCCCAGCATCGACATCTACCATGAAATTATCGGTCGCTTCGATGACTGGTAGTTCCAGCACTTCAACCTTGAGTATGAGCACCCGCTTGCCGACAAGCACTACCTCGAGCATCTCAACTAGTTCAAGAATGACAATCTTTGACGCCACTACATTATCCACCTCAACTCGCATATCATCTGCTCAAACAACAACTATTGCCCCTAGCATACTTCTAAATCCTGCAATTCCAGTCACACAGTCTCTGCCATCCTCAACGGTAGATACCACCAGTATTTCCAGCACGGGTCAAACTTTTCCGTCGCCCACCAAAGACGAAGAGAGTAACCCCTTTGCTGTATATATCCCTCCTTCAATGTCAATTTCGAGTACGGGCTCCAATCCGACATTGCTGCCGTCGCGACTCATGACGAGCGCAGCAACGCCATCAAGAACCATGACGACGGGTGCTCTATGGCCATTCAAGCCGTCCCGTAATGGCCTATGTGCTTACAGAGCCTTCAAGGTCTGCAAGGACAGCGGGTTTGGTGACTGTTGCTCGCGCTGGGGTTACTGTGGCAGCACCGAGGCATACTGCGCTGACAACTGCCTGCGGCACTGGGGCTCTTGCTGGAAGCCAGTCGACGAGAAGAAGACAAATAAACGGAGTGATTATCATTTGGATCGGAGGGACAGGGCTTATCCTCCCGGGAAACGGCCCAATGCAACGGATATCGTCTAGGCTCGTTTTGTGTGGATGGTCCATTTCTCTCCACGTACATGTATGCATATAAAATCCTGCACTTTACGGTAGTATTTCGAAACACTTTGATTAATAAATCCAACGCTGGCTGTATCCTCAAACATCCTCAAACTGAATTCACCAAATCATACATGAAGACCAAAAAACCAATATCATGACGTCTTACCTAATCCACTCCATCTTCTTTGTGGCTGTTTGTGACTTCGTTAAGTAATTCTGGAGGAACCTCGTTCTCATGCGACTCCTCGTCTTCTTCGAAATGCTGCGCTTTCGCCTCCAACGATGAGCTGTGCACGGATAAGAACTCGTTTGGCACTTCGTTCAAATGCTCGTCCTCGCTCTCATCTGCGTGGGCTGTGCTCACGAGGAGATCGGCAGGGACTTCATTGTCGCTCTCGTCTCTACCATCATGGCTTTCACCAGCCATGTCTCGGGGATTCTCGTTCTGCCGACCATCAACGGTTTCTTCCTCAGCGTGAGTAGTTTCTGACTGACCACCCCACCGCCGGACGACACTGCCAGAAAGGTCTTGATCCTCCTGGAGCTGGAAACCAGTGTTCTTGGCCGAATTGTCGTTGATATCACGGCTTTCATGCCGGTCATGTTCAATATTCTTATCGACATTCACCAAGTCAGACTCCCGGGGCAACTCATATCCTTTAGCTCGCATCAAGCCCGCTAAAATGTTCTCGCCCTCTGCAAAAGCCTCGAGCTCGGCTCCAATGGCAGCCACCAACAAGTTATAGCCCTTCTGCTCGACAAATTGCAGGTTCCTTTCCAGTTCTTTGGTTGTCCGTCGAAGGTCCTCGTATTGACCACGAAAGAGGTCCCCCTCAAGCTCTTTGCCTCTCCCCGGACGTACCTGAATGGACTCACTGAGAGCAGCCCTCAGTCTTCTCTCATAGTCCAAGATAAGCTGCATTATTTCGGCCCAGACCTCGGAGCCCTCGGATAGCGCATCCCGCTCCTTGTCCACCGCCAACTTGCGGTGGTCCAGAAGCGTTATTTCGCCCTCCCACCACTCCTTGGCCATAGCTATAGTACGTCGTTCAGGCCGCATGCGCAGGAACTCATGGCCATTCAGGGCCCGTTCAAGATCTCCTTCTTTGATCGTGCTGTTGGGGCTTCCGGGTTCCGTGACTTCGGCAGTGTCCTCGAGGGAAAGTACCTTGACACCCGGCATTCTCATCATCTGGCCAATATTTCTTTCCGCCTCTCTCAATGCGCCCCTATAGCCGCTCAGCCCACTTTCACGTTCGCTTCGCACCTCTTCCATGCGCGCTTCTAATACACGCTTGCGATGCTTCATGGCTCGCAGCTGGCCCTCCAACTCGTCTATATTCCCGCAAATCTGGCCATATTCCTGATTCATTCCATCGAGTTCCTTTCGAAGTGGATCATCTGACTCTAGTGCTTGCAGTTCGGCAGCAATGGCCTTGTGCTGATTAGAGAGTTTATTTGCCCGGGCAAGGGCAACCTTGCGGCTGGAGATAGCCGAAGCTATGTATGCATCCTCCTCTTCTTTTAAGTCTGAGAGCATGGCCATCGAGCGCGCAATCGAGGCTCGAACTTGTCGTATGGTCAGAGGTTTCGGCTTTGGCTGCCGAACGGGTACCACTGCAGGGGCAGGCGAGCCTTCGTACGAAGACACGCTCCGGGAGCGATATGGGGAAGACAATGCGCGGGGCGTTCCATGGGGATCGTTGGCGCGATCTTCGCCCTCGCTGCCAGGGCCGGTAGCAGCATCTCCTTGATCTAGAGCTTCGGCTTGGGCATCTAGGAGTCTCTGTAGCTCCTTCTGAATCTGTTTTTCACGGCGCCGGATGGTTCGAAACGTAATGTCCATGTCTCCGGCAGAACCGACATCTGAAGTGGCGGGAGAGGGGTTTAGAAACCCCATGAAGCTCGCGCCTAGATTTTTCGGCCTATCGCGGTCGGACAGCGGACTGGCTTGCTGGGATCGAGGCATCGTCTTATCATCATCTCGGTAAGTCGCCGGACGATGTGGCTGCCACACTGGCCCTTTACCCGTTCTCCTGGCTTCGTCCAAGGTCTGTCGTTCGTGGGCTCTGGCAACTGTTTGGCTCTCACGGTACATGCGCATCCGATCCACGACGCTTACGGGAGGGAACTGCTCCCCCTGATCTGCGTAAGCAACTGCCTTTGCCTTTCCTTTCCCTTTGCTCGACGTTGCGACAGATTCGTGTTCGTTATAGGCATAAGGGTCTCCGAAACCAAAGTCGCGTACGTGGTCGGGAGAAAGGAGAGGTGAGGAGGGGCGAGGCGACAGCTCGGAAAGGTCATATTCGTTGGAATGATCGCGCTGCCGCCGATTGGTTGCGAGCATCGAGCCGCCATGCCCACCAAGGGACAGTCGTGGAACAAATGAGGATCTTGAAGTCATGTTCATGCACCTCCTAGTAGGGAGCTCTACGTGACGACTTGCAATATTTTGACATGCTTATTCTAGATTCTGAAGTCTCGATTTCGGTACGAGGTAGTTTAAGCGGCGCCAAAGGTGTTATTGGTCTTGCGATGGCTTCGACACAGTTAACGAGTGGGCAAGTCTAGGTAGCCAGGTATCCCCAGTCGGGTTGTCAACACTATCAGTGACCTGATGGTCGTAGTGAATATTCGGAAGGGGGAGGCTCTGAAACTACTAAAAGACAGCTGGCCTGTTGCGACAGCGTCCCAAGAAAAAAGCTGTGAGGGCAATGGGTAAATCTGTTAGAGATGAATGGGCGAACGAAAGGGTGATCTGACTGGAATCGTGAGGCCAAATGATATCACGCTACTCTACCTACCTACCTACATACCTAGCTACGGAGTACCAACACCCCTGTTCACCTTGCTCAGCTTAGGTACCTTAGGCTATCGATAAGAGCTCACGAGCTGTTGACATGTGCCCACTATCCACAGTTGCTAGGTACCTTATTAGTGAAGTCCCAGGCCTTCTTGTGGACGGCCGAGACATGCATCCACCTAACCTGGCACTCCAATATCACCAGGTTATTAGAAGTCATGCATCCAATCCATATTATAGTCAGATTTTGCAACGCATGACCATTTGTCGCCCTACCACTGTAGGAACCGAGCAGACTTCCTGGTTATACTTGCACAGCACTGGCAGAGTTGGAGTAAAACATGCACGCTAAGCTTGGTGTGCAGTATCTAGATCCAATACTTTGTACATGACAAAGCACCTTATTCAAATCACGTGTATATCCAATTGTAGTCGTCCTCAGAAGGCTGCAATAAAAGATGGCTTGGCTTGGGAATTCTATGTGCACTTAGATTGGTGATAAAATGGTGCTCACTTGCATACTCAAGGACACGTTCGGTCTCACATTGTGGAATACGACTCGACATTTTACCTGTCCCTTGGCTATGAGTATACAAAGACCCGAGTACATCGGACGCTGTATAGAATAGTATGCAGCTTGATAGACATCACAGCTGGCCTGAGAAGGCTCAGAGTATTGACACAACTTTGAACTTGGTGTTCTGGCATGATCTCTGTGTCCTATAACCTTAGTGATGATTTTTGCTCTTTTGTGTCGCTCCTGAACAGTCTGCATGCTGGGTTTACTCAGTTGAGTCAACCACGAGGGATGAATTCTTTTTTTTTTTTTTTTTTTGGCGTTCCCATCTTCTCTTGATTCTTGTATCCTCGATCGTGGGAAGCTAAGCCTAGGAATGGGTTTCTCATGGGGGTGCTCACTCGAATGGTAGTCTGGGCTCTGGACACTGACGGGTCGTGCACCAAAATCAGATTCCCCCGATCTCCATCACCCAGAAGCTGGACTTTCGGCAAAGTTCGGCTACTTTCTCCGGCTAGAATGGAGTCGCAGCCAGATCGGTGGAAGGAAATAGGGAGCACACTTTGTCTCACAAAAGAAGTATCTGCCGTCTCGATTTTCCTCTTGTAGTATATCTTGTTCAAAATTCGAAAAATCAGGACTTTGGAATCCTATCAAAGAGTAGGCCATCTAGCCACCGTTGCACTTATTTGAGCCAGAAAGTTACGATGGGAATCAAGGTGCAATCATAACATGAGCCGAAAACTAAAAGTCAACCAAAAACCCAACGCCATTCAGAAGATGCGATGATGCAGGCAATACACAACATTCCTGCTACTTCCTGCCGCCGATTGCGCCCTCTGTTGTGCTGAGTTATTTACCCAAAATAATACCCCAATTCAATTCGGCCTCTTCAGCGGTACTATAATGTCTTCCCATTCATTCCGGATCTCCACAAGACAGCCAACATTTACCGAGTGCGCTTGAACCAAGGACTCGAGCCGGCAATGGCGACAGACTGATCCATAACCCATTCACCTACTCCGAGGTACTTCTCTATCCACTTATTGGTGTCTGCGTTGTCGCCGCTGATCTGCTTCGATTGGAAGCTATTTGGCCCGAGTCAGTCGAAGCATCCTCTTCACTCCTCGTTGTTCTTTTGACAGCTTCAGTCGGAAGGAGCTGAGCGTCCTCAACCTTTGGGATTCCCAAGGAATGTACTCACGTCAGACCAGTGGAGCGCCTCATACCAGCCAGAATGGTGGAAACTGTTCGTAGGATGGTAAGCCAATGCACTTTGTGCTACAATCGATGGTTGTGAGGCAGGAGAGGCGAGAGCGTACTGAGAACGGCATCGACGGCATAGTGGGTTAATCGACCGAGCTTTCCCCAAAGGCCAAAAGTCAGTAAGTTTAGCTGAAAGAGAGACTTGTTCAGAATCCACGTTTTGAGCATCACTTGGACATTGCGGAGCAAGGCGAACTCACAACCATGATGGGCGATGTATGACCTTTTCCTGTGAAGATGCGGGCTGACTTTGTTGTTCTTGCTAGGCAGAGATGTGCGCAATGTTGCAAACAGAGACCGACTGTTTCAGCGGTCGTTTTGGATGATGCTTCGCAAGGGCTCGGCGGATGCTGATTTCGGCGTCTGTTGATGCGCAGTGTTGCGATGATGGAAGATCTGGACTGGACCCGACCGCATGTGCTTCAGGCGGCTTTGAGAGCGCTAATGTCATGCGACCGACCACCCGTTACTGGGCCTGCTAAGCACCCGCCTCAGCCCGTTTGGGTTGCCATGGCACTTGTTGTGCCTTAGAGTGGATGTTTTCTGGCCCAGGCTGGCAAGATTAGTGCTGGCAGTGCCAGCGGATGGCTGCCCGCTGCCCGCCCAGCACTGGCGTTCAGACCAGATGGGCTTCAGCAGCAGCAGCAACCACGCAGCCAAGCAGCTCACGCCCAGGGTACACCTTTAGGGACCTTGTGCGCTAGCGCTAGGAACCGTCCGACAGCCCACCTCTGGCCCTCTTGGCGCCCCGTGATGAACTGACCCCCAGCCGAAGCAAAAGTCCCCCCAGCCCCACCCAGAAGCTCAAACCCCCACCATCCCACCATCCAAGAGAAAAAGGGCCGCTATTCTTATCTTATCGGACCTCATTCTAGTGGATACATAGGCCGCATCTCCGATGAAAGGACCGATATTGGACACTGTCTAATGAAAAGCTCTTGCCATGTTCGTCGCTGGCCATGGCAATGGACCGGGTCCGCCGGCTTGAATGTTCGTTCTTAGATGGGCGGGGGGCATTCATCAATCACGGCTGGCCTTTTACCAAGGACACTGGGTACTCTCTGACGGAGAAGGAGGATAAGTTCAGATGGCCAGAATGGCAAGCAAGACGGACTAGAGGAAAGACAGAGAAGCCCATGCGCCCAGCTTTTGCCAGGTTGGATGTGGACCGTGGAGGAATGACTGGAGATCAGCAGCCTGCCCAGAGTTGAGTTACAGCGAATTGAAACACGGAAACGTTGAGACGCTTGAGCAACGCTTGGGGAGGGAGACAGACTATCAGCAGGTCCTGGCGGTGCCAAAGATGGAGACTTGGGAGAGTCAGAAACAGCTTGGCTTGGTCAAGTCGCCTCAGTTCCCAACCTCGTGGCCGTGCCATTGGATGTTGATGCACAGGTGTGAATTGGCAAGGCCATTTACTCCATACTTTCAATATCTTCTCTGCATATGAGGCAAAGTTGAGAAGAAAGCCACCCTTGTTTTTCTGGTTGGTTTTTGTCCAAAGATCTACGGAGGGTATCTAACGAGGGGGGACTGGACCTTGTGGCGGCACCACACTAGTTGGAGGGGCAGCTGCGCAAAAGACCAAGTCCGCCAAGCAGGGACCCTCGTCCTGCGTCCCGCTACAAGCAACCGCCGAATCGGATTGGATTGGATTCGTCTCAACCTGGCCTTTTTTTGGTTGGTGAGGCACTTTTTTTTTATGACAAACGCGGAGCTCCCCAAAAGCCAAAGGTTACGGGGCAGAAAGGGAAAAAAAAAATCAAACAAATAACAAAAAGGCCGACCGTCCTCAGAAGAGTTTATTTACCAGTCTGGTGTCCAATCTGCGCAGCTTTCTCCTCCTCTGTTCTCTGCATCTTCAGCTTGGAATATCTCAAAACCCATCACCCATCTACTTCCGTTCATTCATTCACAAGGTAAGTGGAAAGAAAACAAGTGAACAACAAGAACAACCCTCTGTGGTCTGTCTGCACCTTTGCCGTGCATCTTGGCTCTATATCAAGTCCGGCTGCCAATTACCACATCTTCCCTTTCCCCCTGCCTTTCCTGTGACGCCACGACATTGCTTTTTGCAACAAGCAAAGAAGGCGGCAACATACCCTTGTACCTGGCCTTGCCAATGACACGCGCTGTGCAACGTCATATGCGATGGGGCACAAATTAGGGTTTCCCTCCAACAGGGCTGCAGTTCCTTCCGGGGGTTGAGACTGCTGGCTTCAGCTGGGGTTCTTGTAACGCTTCGGATACCGAGTGATTGGGCATCGTACAAACCAGACTTGACCTCCCAAACGAGCATTTCAGTAAAACCTTCAGTCCCTCCGCTGCCATCAGTTTTTTCTCCATCTATTGAACCTGATACTTGCATCACTTACTTTTCTACATCTTTCCAAATCCATTCCGCTAACATGCCTCACAAGCGCGCCATGTCTGTCGTCGTTACCGCCGCCGACCACCTGGCCAACGATGGTCGCATCGAGTGGCTGGCCTCCCTCGATACCGCCTATACTCCCGAGCGAAACCTCCGAAGAACCTCGATCATCTGCACAATCGGCCCCAAGACGAACTCGGTCGAGGCCATCAACAAGCTTCGAATTGCTGGTCTCAACGTTGTTCGTATGAACTTCTCTCACGGCTCGTACGAGTACCACCAGTCTGTCATTGACAATGCTCGTGAGGCCGAGAGGGTCCAGCCTGGCCGCCAGGTTGCCATTGCTCTTGATACCAAGGGCCCCGAGATCAGAACCGGTAACACTCAGGACGACGCCGATCTCCCCATCCAGGCCGGCACTATCATGAACATCACCACTGATGAGCAATATGCTACCGCTTGCGACACCAAGAACATGTAAGCCGGCCCCAGCGATCATCACAGCTGCTGCGAAGGCCACCACTTGCTAACTGAAATCGCCCATAGGTACGTTGACTACAAGAACATCACCAAGGTCATCGAGAAGGGTCGCATCATCTACGTCGACGACGGTATCCTGGCCTTCCAGGTCGAGGAGATTGTCGACGACAAGACCCTCAAGGTCAAGGCCCTGAACAGCGGCATGATCAGCTCTCGCAAGGGTGTCAACTTGCCCAACACCGACGTCGATCTGCCTGCCCTTTCCGAGAAGGACAAGCAGGATCTCAAGTTTGGTGTCAAGAACAATGTCGACATGGTTTTTGCATCCTTCATCCGATCCGGCAAGGACATTCGCGACATTCGTGAGGTTCTCGGCGAGCAGGGCAAGCACATTCAGATCATTGCCAAGATCGAGAACCGACAGGGTCTCAACAACTTCCGCGAGATCCTCCGCGAGACTGACGGTGTCATGGTGGCCCGTGGCGACCTTGGTATCGAGATTCCTGCCGCCGAGGTGTTTGCCGCCCAGAAGAAGATGATTGCCATGTGCAACTTGGCCGGCAAGCCTGTCATCTGCGCTACCCAGATGCTCGAGTCCATGATCAAGAACCCCCGTCCCACTCGTGCCGAGATCTCCGACGTTGGTAACGCCGTTACCGATGGCGCTGACTGTGTCATGTTGTCCGGCGAGACTGCCAAGGGTCTCTACCCCGAGAATGCCGTCCAGGAGATGCACAAGACCTGTCTCATGGCCGAGAACACCATTCCCTACGTCGCCCACTACTACGAGTTGACCAAGAACATCAAGCCCCCAGTGAGCGTTGTTGAGGCTTGTGCCATGGATGCCGTCAACTCGTCCCTCAAGCTCAACGCTGGTGGTATTATCGTCCTCTCCACCTCGGGTGAGTCGGCACGTCTGCTGTCCAAGTACCGCCCTGTCTGCCCCATCTTCATGGTCACCAGAAACGAGAGTGCCTCGCGGTACGCTCACCTGTACCGTGGTGTCTACCCATTCTTCTTCCCCGAGCAGAAGCCCGACTTCAGCAAGGTCAACTGGCAAGAGGATGTCGACCGACGCATCAAGTGGGCTATTGAGAACGCTCTGCAGCTTAATGTCCTGTCCAGAGGCGATACTGTCGTGGTCGTTCAGGGCTGGAAGGGTGGCATGGGTAACACCAACACCCTGCGGATAGTCAAGGCCGAGCCCGAGAACCTGGGTATTGGTCAGCTGGAGTAATTATCAATCACATGATGGGACAAAAGGAGTTAATGGATAGCGGTGAATCACGCATAGATCACGATATTTGATACGATGGTGAAATAATGGCATGACTTTGGGTCTTTTCCCCTAGAACCTCTTTTTTTTTTAGGGAACAAACAAGAAAATACGGTAGACTGCTGAATACAGAATTCTCATTGATACCCCGATTGATGGAGCCAGATTGTTTGACCTTGGTTGTAATATGGCGATTGAGAGACGAGAAAAGTTGGGTGATGGAGTTCTGAGATACACTGCTGCAGTGGAGTGGCCGGCTGAATGCGAGTTGACAGCATTTCATTCATATCATTTTTAAAATTGTGAGGCTAGATATACCAGGCCATTGGAGGAAGCCGTCAATTAATATTTCTGGCAAACCACCAATCACTTTCATGAAGATTGCGTGGATAATGTACAGGTTCACTAGCGATGTATCTAGGTTAGCTTGCCTCACCTGCTGGCAATGGTTAAATGAGAAGTTTTGAAGGGAATGAAACTACCCCTTCTACTTTGGTCCTTGACATTTGTCGTCTTGCACACACTATTGAAGGGTGTCGGTCCTCTGCGGCCGCTCGGACAGACGATATCCCCCGGCAAAGAGTGGTCGTGCGGGGAAGTGATGGGAGTTGACAGAAAGTATAGCGGGCAGCTTGTCCCAGATTGGTTCATCCTGGGGTATGGGAAGCTGCGCGTTGGAGTATCCAGGCTTGGCAGGGCGAAGGCGAGCGAATAGCGGATGGGTCGACAGCCACGCGATGACCTCAGAAGGCCAAGTTGATTTGATCACAGCCTCGGCAAATTTCGTTACACTGTCCGCGGCTGTTGTCCCGATTGAGTGTATTGGCTGCAAGCTGCAAAGCTGGGGTCGATGGGATTGCAGCTCCTCAAGCCGCGGCGAAACTGTGTTTGCTTTATTGCCAATCGCTCATCTTTTGAGGAGGAGGTGGTGGAGTGCCAATGCTTGCCCAGATTTAGGATGCCGGTACTCATATATAAAGCATCGCCCAGAGAGACCAGGTGGTGTGAGTACTTGCCACCTCTTTGTGCTCTTGTGAGAAACTAGATTTATAACTCAGAGCCAAATAAATTTGGCTTGGATCGACAAGTAACAAGCAATCAACACCTGACTACTATTACCTGACCGACCAAAAGAAAGAAGAAGAAGAATGGCAGCCAACGGCAATGTTAAAGGCGCCGAGCCCTTGGACTTTACCAAGTTCCAGAATGTCATCAATGGCAAGCTGGTAGACACGAAAGAAACTCGACGCACTGTCAACCCCTCGACATTTGAGGAGCTTTACCCAGTCCCCGTCTCCAGCCAAACCGACATTGACGAGGCCATTGAGGCAGCCAAGAAGGCACAAGAGTCGTGGGCCAACGTTCCATGGGCAGAACGTGCGCAAGCTGTCAAGGACTATGCGGACGCCCTTGAAGCATTGTCTGAGGACTTTGTGAAGCAGTTGGTGACGGAGCAGGGCAAACCGGTATGAGCTTTTATTTCCCTCTCCTCCCATAACCCAACGGCTTCTTTTGCGTGTAGCATGAATTTATGCTCTTGAGTCATGACTAATACTTAAAGCCAGAAAGCATTCGCCCAAGGCGAGCTTGCCGACGCAGTCAAGTGGCTTCGCCAATTTGCTGAATTTCCTGAGCCAGAAGATGTTCTTCAGGATGATGACAAGAAGAAAGTCATTACTCGATACACACCACTTGGCGTTGCCGTCGGCATTGTTCCTTGGAACTTTCCTATCCAGCTGTCTGCTGGTAAGATCGGAGCTGCTCTTATAACGGGAAACTCTTTCATTCTCAAGCCTTCTCCCTTTACACCCTACGGAGGCCTCAAGCTCGCCGAGCTGGGCCAGCGATTCTTCCCACCGGGCGTGTTCCAGGCCCTGAGCGGCGATGACAATCTCGGACCGTGGCTGACAGCCCACCCGGGCGTCGACAAGGTCTCCTTTACGGGCTCGACGGCGACGGGCAAAAAGGTCATGGAGAGCTGCGCCAAGACACTGAAGCGGGTGACGCTCGAGCTTGGCGGCAACGACCCGGCCATCATTTGCGCCGACGTGAACCCAGCCGAGGTGGCACCTGGTGTAGCATTCATGGCCCTGGCCAACTCGGGACAGATCTGCATCGCCATCAAGCGCATCTTTATCCATGAGTCCGTCTACGACGACGTGCTCAAGGCTATGGTGGCCTTTGTAAAGTCGCTCAAGGTCGGCGACGGCCACGAGGAGGGCACCTTTCTCGGTCCCATCAACAACCAGCAGCAGTTTGAGCGCGTCAAGAACCTTCTCGAGGACATTGAGAAGACGCAGCTCAACATTGCCACGGGTACCACCAAGAACGTTGGAGAAAAGGGGTATTTCATCCAGCCGACCATTATCGATAACCCTCCCGAGGACTCGAGGATCGTGGTGGAGGAACCTTTTGGTATGTAATGAATAGATCAAGATGAAGACTGTCGCAAGCAAAAATATTTTGCGTGCTAACCTCGGCCCCAGGTCCTGTCTTCCCGGTACTCAAATGGTCCGATGAAGAAGATGTCATCAAGCGGGCAAACAACACGGACATGGGACTCGGAGCATCCGTGTGGACTCGCGACCCACAGCAGGCCGAGCGTATCGGTAGAAGGCTCAAGGCTGGCAACGTCTGGATCAACTGTCACGGTGAAGTCCAACCCAACGCCCCATTTGGAGGCCATAAGCAGAGCGGTATCGGCTACGAATGGGGTGTTGGTGGGCTGAAGGCATACTGCAATGCCCAGTCCATCTACTTGAAGCGATCTGCGTGAGATCTTTGATCAAACACCAACAGTACTGGCCATTAAATACAAGCAACTTTGAATTATGCTCATGTACTTCTACATCTTCTTTTCTGTGGTCACATCAGTGTAACTTGTCACACGCGACGGCATAGCCAGAAAGCACTGAAGAGACTGGCTTCATCAAGCATTGTGTCGTAATTAGAGGGCACTCTGGTCGTAGCTCAATCAGGTATCCAAGCCAAAGCTCTTTTCTATGTGAATGGACATGATGAGCCAGGAAGAATACATTGTTCCTTGTGCCGCTAAGGCTTGCTGCCTGGTTGAACGCAGCTGGGAATCAACATTTTTTTTACTATTGCACTTCTGACTTTGATCCATTTGGATTGGTATCTATTCTTGGAGTAGTTGCAAATTCGTTCCCAAATTCGTTTCTGAGGCCAGCCTCGATATGGTCAGTGGGGAAGGAGAAGAGAAAAAAAATAGGGAGTCTTATATTGAATGCTACGCTACAAATACACTGGTCTGGCTGTCACCATGCAAGCATGGTATAATGGGATAATTTGGACTTAAAACACTGAGATGCCCCGGAAAATGTACTTGGAGACGACAGAGATGGCGGTCAAGGGCTGAATGTCTTGAGCAATAAGGTTGTTGTCTATTGTTTTAATTGTGTTTATCATGGCGCTCTCTGTTTGCCTTGCCCAAGCCATCCATGCACTACGTATTACTTCTAGAACGTTGGGCATGCAGTCGCAGTTGCTTTGTGCCAAACAACGTGGTTGTCGAAAATCGAAAAGAATACGTGCTAACATTGCACTTTCTCCAAGGTATAACTAATACACATGTGCAGAATACACGTTGGGTTGTTCTTCTCTTCAAGTCACAGTCTAGATGTCAGTCAATGAATGTATCCTGCGCGGACAACAATGGATCCTCCAAGAGTGAACCCGATTCCCACGAATAATCAAATCACAAACCACAGACACAGACAGACACATGACTCACGGTGTTAATCCATTCAGTCTGCCATGGACCATCTACAACCCAGCAAAAAGGCTTTCTTTGGCAGTGGATCTGATCAATCCAAGGCTTGGCTGTGCTTTCAACGAGGTAAATTTTCCCCCCGCCGTTTGCAACTGCAACTGCCTCCTACTCAAGCAACCACTAGCCCCCCCTCCCCCAAACACGCAACGTCTGTTTTCCAAACACACAAAGGACTGGATTAACCCATCATCGCCCCCTTTTTTTTCACCTCTCTTTGCTTTGAAAGCTTTTGTCCAAGGGGGAGAGAAGACCCAGCTCTCGTCGTTCTCGCTTGCCTATCTTCACCGTACCTATCTGGCTGTTCTTCTCCATGAAGAAGAAAGAGAACGAAGAAGAAATGTCTTCAACCGCCTTGGAAGGCGCCGCACTAGTTGCGTTGCCGGTCGACATGATCTATCAGATCACCGATCACCTATCCATTGGCAGCATGGCAAAGCTCGCCTCAACCTGTAAAGGTCTTCACAACGTGATTGAGCCCGAGATATTCAGACGAGACCGAAACCGTGGCCGGTATCGCACCCTCGAGTGGGCAGCTACGTCACGAAAGAAACACGCCATCCCCGTCCTCCAACGAGCCTTGACCCTCTGGCCCAACGGTATCAAGGATCTGGAGATTCATTTCCTTCAGTGTCGACCATCAAAGCACCATGGTCGGACCTTGCGACACAAGACACCGCTTCTCGCCGCCGTTTGCACCGGTAACTTGGAAGTGGTTGCCTTTCTTCTCGGCAAGGGAATCGATGTTCACCAGACAGAGGCGGGCAATTGCGATTCCTTGTGGTCCCCTATCCACTGGGCCACCATGATGGATTATCCACCAAAGGACAATCAGCAGCTGGAACCGCCGCGGACAAAGCTGGCCATTATCGAATTGCTCCTGTTGCATGGGGCCAACCCAGATCAGTTGTCTGCCCCGAACCCTCGTCGCCAACCACCGCCTCCGGAATCGATAGTCTCTCCTATGCACCTTGCCATCAAGAATGATGCAAATCACCACGTGGTTGAACTTTTGATCAAGTATGGCGGCGCAGCCACCCAGGAACCCTATCGCCATGTCGCCAACCAGCACTATGCTTCCATCAGCCCCATCAGTCACTTGATCGACAAGTATCCCAATCCCACTGAAGATCACTGCTCTTCTCTCAGGGCTCTGGCAACCAACGGAGGGGGAAGTGGTTATGAAGCCCGCAAGTATACTGTTACGGGACAACCTCTGCTGTTGCAGTTTCTTTCTTATCCCAAGGAATCCAAATATGCGCCTCGTTTCGTCCGGATCATGCTGAAGCACACGCAAGCCCGCGTGGAAGACACCGCGGCCAATGGAGACACTGCCATGGTGCATTTTCTGAGAAGTCATGTCCATTGGCGTCCCGCCATGGCTTACGACCGAAGACGCGTTACAAGTCACGAGGTAGAGCACTCCATGGCCCTCGTAGCAAGTGTCGCCTGTCGCACAATTGATGAACTTGTCGATCACGGCGCAGGTATCGATACATACGGTGCGGGTAGGATGACCCCTCTCCACATTGCCTGCGGCCTTCATTGTCATCTTTCCTCGGTTTTCGACCACCTCATCGGCCGGGGTGCCAATGTCAAGGCCAGAACTTCGAGGGGCCACACCCTGTTGCATTCTCTCGTCATGGGCGATGCCGAGGCCGACTTCACTCTCATGACACCTCTCCTCAAACAATACAAGATCAAGCGCTATGCCCGAGACAACGAGGGCAACACATTCCTCCATCTACTCGTAACACAGCGACTCGTTCTTTTCGGCAAATGGATGTCAGAGGCAGCAAGACATTACAAGAGGAGCGACTTTGAAGACCCCAAGCTTCGTAATCATGCTGGACGCACTCCACTCGAAGAAGCCAGTTTTGGATCTGATGCAAATGGAGAGGTTACGCGTTTCTGGATTCAGCATGCTTTTGATGAAAGAGACGAGCACTTTGCATCTAAGCATAAATCCAGAGATGCCAAACGCAAGGCTCAGAGGGCTGATAAACTGGCTGAAACTAGTTTGACCTAATGGATGATGAACACCTATATGACATTCACACTCTGGACACGGGCACTTGTTTGGACGAGACTGCCGATTGAGTTCTTGGCCACCAGCAGGAGACTATCCAGCACACATCAAGTGCCGGATGTATTGGTCATCTCCCCTGGTCTTTTCGATTATTTGTCACTTAGTTCAGAGAATGTCATTTTCCTCGTCTTGTTTTGCTTTCCCGGTGCTGTGTGCCAAAACAAGGTTTGGTAGATTTAGGCTCTACATAGGTACATAGTCACCGTCAGCAGCATATGCAGTCTCCTACCTCCACTCTAGGCTTTTGTTGCTTATAGTCAGGCTCGCTGTGAGCGTCCACGTGATGATTGAACTTATAGTGCTTACTACGTGAAAACGTCTGTCGTCGGTTTGAGAATTCTTGTATTGTTGCCACCGCAGCACCTCAAGCTCTTGGCAATTTGACATGACTGTCGATTTGAAGTCGACTCTCAACTCCGAGCTCTTCGAGTTCATGAGAGACAAGTGGATTCCCTTTTCGAGAACACAATCTCTCGACTTTGATAAAGTCATTCCAACAATTCTGTCTTACAAGAAACTCGATCTCGAGCAGGTTCAGCACAAGGCACTTCCCGCACTGAAAGGGCTGAGCCTCTTTGGGCTGAATCATTTACCTGATATGCTCGAATTCCTCCCCGACCCCGACAATGCCGACTTTCCTAGTGAGGCTTTGGGACTACAGCTTTTGCTCGACCAGGCTCCGCGGGCTCTTCTCAAGGGCATTGATAGTCGATGGTCTCACGCTTACTTTGACGAAATATCTTTGCAGTATGCCCAGCGGCTCCAGACTCTTCCTGCCCACCAGAAACCAAGTTCTTGGGGTCGATGGCAGGGTAAGGTGTCTCTGGACTATTTTGTTCTTGTGCGCATCTGGTTCGGCGCGCCTTTTGTTCATCATGAGAAGGCGTCTGCGCAAGCTGTCGCCTTCACCGAGCAGACACGTCGTCTCATTGAGGACACGTTCAAGATCCAAGACCCATGTCGTACTCAACCAGAGAAGCGATGGGATCTCTATGGTTTTCCAAGGTTGTGGAAACAGGGTGGCCCCGAAAGTCCCTGTGGAGTAGCGGCGGGCACATTCTGGTTAACACACTTGATGGATGTTCATAAACCAATTTTGGACCTGTACGGAAGATACCCTTATCAGAACAGTCTCCTCGGACGCCTTGATACAGCGGAAGAAGAGGCTTGGCTCCAGAAAGCTGCTTGCTTCGAGGTGGACACCGATGCACGAGAAAGAATCAGGCGTGACGTGGACACTGGGCAGTGGACGCCATTGAAGGGTATTATGTAGATGGCAAGATCTTGTGTGTATCTGGGACTATTCCCTTTCCTTGCAATACATAGGACCCATTGTGGCCGTCGAACAGACTCCATGTGCTTCGCGACTCTGTCTTGCTTCTCTGACTTTTCTCAGTACAGTCAATAAGATTTCTTCGGGTTTTCAAAGTGCACCTTGATTGAAGTAACAAGCCAGGGGCGCTGTTGAGTGAACTCCATTTGTCAAGAACCACTCAAGACATCCAAGCGGGTGAAGGAAACATGCGAAACGTAGCAGTCTACACAAGCACGCAGGTTGAATCGATCAATCGACTTGGTTAGGCACTCGATCCAGAAAGGTGATTTTTGTGCCATCGTCCAGTGTATCTTCCTTCTCTTCCAGGTGGTAATTGCCAATGCGAGGAAGAATTACTGTCCAAATAAGCCAGTAAATCACACCGCATCCGATACTTTGAAACAATGTTAGGAATCAGTGGTTCTTTGAAAAGAACAAAGGTCTGGTGTCTTACATGCTCGTACCGACAATGGCATATGTTGCGTAAAATATGCCGCCCTCTTGACGCTCCTTTGGAGGGAAGAAGGGGGCTGCCAGTAGCATCATGCCCAACAGCATCCTAAACACCACGGCGGCAATCCATGCTCGAAAGGGCCGCTTCAAATCTGGTCGTTTGTACCTTAGCCAAAGTATACCAAAAGATGTCAGCAACGCAAAGAATTGTCTGGGGTAGCCCTCAACCTCGAGGATAAAGGAATATACGTCGCCGGTAGGCGGGAGGACAATTACGAGAACGGTGGGGATATAGTGAATAATGAGTCCGCCGAGAGGTGCGCCAAACGGCTTTGAGGAAGACAAGAGTCGCGCAAAGGGCAGAAATCCCTGGCGCGCTACTTCTTGATTGAGTCTCGCCTGGAAATAGAAAAAAAGATATCAGTCAACCCGTGCTGCATCTACCTTCAACCACCGCAGTACTCCTTGGGGATCTGGATGTTGGCGAGGGTGTTACCATACCAGAGCAAACGTGACTACCATGACATTTCCCGCAGCCGAAAGTGCCACCACAAGAGGCAGAAAGCGTTTGCCCACATTTTTGCCAAAGGTTTGCTCGAAAAACAGGGCTGCCACGAGCTGGCCGCTCTCCTTGATCTGCTGCACGGGCACAACGGCGACGTAGGCCAGATTGGTGAGCAGATAGAGTAGGCACGCCGACAACAAGGCTGTAATGGAGACGGACTTGAGCGTGCGGACCGGGTCTCTCACCTCGTTCAAGACGTAATTGAGATTATCCAGTCCAGTGTACGAGTTGAAAATCTTGAAGAGCGAGGTGGCAATGGTGCCAAGGCTCCAGTCTGTATCATCCCACAAGTCGTTCCAAGGCCCCGTGGCGTCGACGGCTTCACCGGCTTGGTTCGGATCCCTTTTGAAAAGCACGACATAGAGCGCAGCAAACACCATAAAGGTCACCAGCCCAACCTTGACCCAGCCGAGCAAGTTTTGGATACGTATCCCGATCTTGTAGAAACAGCCGTGTACGATGGCAACAACAGTCACTAAAGCAGCTGCCAGCAATTTCCGTGACAAGTCTCTCGGTTCTAGGTCCAGCGCCCAATGAACGTATTGGCTGAATATAATGCAGTTGCTTGCCGAATAGCTGAGCAAAATGGCCTGAGTGGCAACAATTGTGGACGCCAGAAATCTTGGCCGTGAATACGTGAACTCGAGATAAACCTTGTCTCCTCCCGATCGTGGCAACATGCAGCCGTACTCTAGGGAGACGGCGAGAGCGCATGCGGTGACGAGGGCGCCCAGCACCCAGAGGCTGAGGGCCATGCCTACGCTGCCAACCGATTTGAGCACGACCCCAGGCACGGCAAAGATGCCGCCGCCAATGACTCTGGAGATGGCCAAGATGTAAGCGCTCGTCCAGCCAATGTTACGGCCCAGGACGGAATCCTCGGTGAGAACATCATCTTCGAGTCGGAGGCGATCCGGTTGGCCCTCTGCTGCGGTATCATCTGAACAGCTGTTCGAGGTCTTCGAGGTTCGCGATGTCCGACTTGTGGCCCTACTTGACGAGTTGTCAGCCGAGGATCCCGTTAGCAAGGGCCGAGTTTCATCATCCAGTCGTCCCGCCATGAAATTCGACGACCACAGAGAACCAGTTGCCTTGCGTTGGGATCAATCGCCGATTGCATACAAGACAGGAGGGTGGATCCAAGCACCCTTTGACACTGTTGATGAATTGGTGTCTGCTTTGCATTTCCTGTAGATTACAGATCGAAGACGCGCCTCTCGGGAATTTGTACCACGTGATGTTCGCACGCACGCCTTGTCATCCCGCATTGACATCACCTCCAATTTTCCCTTCCCAGCAATAACCCCCGCTGCTGCCTGCATATTTCCGTGCATACACAACGACATGAACTTTTGATCGAGGTTCTCAACTCGCCTTTGCACTTTGCCGTCCTAAATCACGTACTTGATCGAGATGCAAGCACTTGTTTTATTGCAGTATAAATAAGTAGGTATAAAACAAGTTTTGCGCAACCAAATATATAATTATACTAATTAATTTAACATTTGCGTGTCAGACAGAAACTACTTGTTGTTCGTAGCACACAATCAACCTTAGGTTAAAAAAGATATCACGGCACACAGCTCAGAGCACCCTTGCAATCCCAAATCATGATGATGGAGCCAGAGACACAAAACGGGCTTCATTATGACAGCAAGGGGTATCGGAATTACATTACTATATTGGATGAAATGGAATTATTCTCTCTTGGTGATTCGCAGCCAAAAGTCATTCGCTACCCAGAACACAGCACTCCATGCTTTGATCGGAGATTGGGGGTTTACTATAGTAAAATCATATCTTCGCAACAGCTATCGGGTCTGGTCAGTAACTTTGAACATCACATGTTTTGTTACCTCTCCGAAAATAGGCGGACGTACCTCGACAAAGATTTTGTTCAGCTCCATCATGGCGATTGGCTTTCCCAGGCAGGAGTACTTGCCGTAGCCGAAGGTTAGATCCACTACACCATTCATGATCCTCAGCCGCTCATCATCGGCCTCGAGCCACCTCTCTGGCCGGAAAACGTCGGCATCGTTGCCCCAAACATCCTTGCAGCGCATGAGTCCAAAGTAATTTGTACCGACCTGGGTGCCTTCCGGGACGAAGTGGCCATTGATAAGGTCACCTCCCTTTGGGACTTGCTTAGACCCTAGGCCGGTCACGGGAGGATACATACGCAGGCCTTCGCGAATGACGGCTTGCAAGTATGGCAACTTCTTGGCCTCAGACTCAGCAATGGGGAAGCTGATTTTACCATTGCGAATGGCACTGTCAATCTCCTTCTGCAATGTGGTGTATGAGGTTGGAGTAGTGATGAGGCACAGCAAGGTCATGCACATGGCTGTCGCCGAAGAGACGGATCCGGCAATGCTATGTGAGGTATATCAGACTCAAAAGTTTCGGCCAAGAGTTGTGTACGAGATTTGCAAAGTAGGAAGGCTTACATTTGAACGAATACCTGTTGGATAAGCTCGGATCGTGACATGCCGTTGTTAATGAATGCCTGCATCATATCTTTCTGGGGCCGTGAACCCGGTCGTAATCTCTTATCGATCAGAGACTTTGCAAATCTAAGATCTCGTGTAAGCATCTCTGAAACGCCGACGTAGAAGTACCAAGACGGTAAGACATACCCCATGAGTCGACCGAACCCGACCTGGTCACCTTCTTTGGGTAGAAGAAGATTGAATGGCCAACGATACAGGATTGTAGCGAGCCAGGGCATTGTTGAGATGATGTTCATGACAGGCAGCGATTCATCGTGTATTTCGTTATAACGATACAAGTCCTGGTCTTGATTCAGGAATCCAAAGGCGTCTCCGAATGATATATCGCCAATGACGTCGAGTGCAAAAAAGGAAGTTTTCCGGAAGAATTGCACAGGGCGATACTCGGTGGGTGTTGATATATACTTTCTGTCAATCAGATCCATGAAGGAGAGGATTTGGCGGTCAATGCCAGCGCCAAAGCCGAATCCTTCATTCTCCTTGCCGCCAAACTATCAAGAGGCTTTCGTCAGTCGTGTACTTTGACGCAAGACCACCGCAAGCAGAATCAGTTTGGACCAATCTAGATACTGATTGATCCTCTAATTCTTGTATCCAGTGTACGCAAGAGTCACGTCGCGTTTGACATAGTTCAAGGAGAAAGGAAGACATACCGCTGTGCCCATTTTGGCTCTCAATAGTTTATGCTCATGCTCATCTCGCAGCGAAACAACCGTCTCCTCGCCAGGAATGATGCGCCCAGTCTCGTAGAACAAACCTTTTGTGTACGGAGAACGAACTGCGCTCATCATGCGCAAAACTTCTGGATCTGTGGAGAGCAACTCATTTGGACCAATACGCACCAGAGAGCCTGTTTTGAAGTTTTAGTAAAGCAGAAAACATGCACACAAAGACGGAGATGATGCGAGACATGAAAGTTCCCAGCAAGAAACCAAAACATGGCAATACGTCGGTTACGCGGCGTCTCGCAGGCAGGGGGCCGAGGCGGAGGACATACCATATTTCTCTGAGACCTCCTTGAGATGCTCGTGGAACCGACCACTCAGGGCCTTCTTGACCATCCAGATGCCCGAGATGGAGGCCAGGAAAGGTCCGGGAACATGGCGTAGGCGATACCACGAGCGGAAAGCGTAGAGATACAGCGCGAGCAGGACAGCAGCGAGACAAGGCAAGAGGAGGGATCGGGTCGAGGCATTCTGGGCGGCAGCGACGAGAGTAGCCATGATGCCCATTCCGACGGCGGCACAACAAAATAGAGAGGGCGCGCCCGACCGGTCGGTGTCTCCTGAACCGAGCCCAAGGTGGCGGGTACCCAAAGACAGATCGGGAACCTACTATGTAGGCTAGGTAATGTATGTATGTATGTAGGTACGATGGGCAAGAAAATTGGTACGGAAAGGGGCCTCTTGGGGGCCTCTAGACTGAGGGCGTAACTGGGCGTTTCTTGGGTTTACCGAGATGGCGGTACGACGTACCCGAGGGGTTGGTAACGAACCAGAAAACGACACTGCAAGATAGCGGACACGCCAACTGAAACAGACATTGCTCAAAGGGGGGTTAAGGTATCCTAAGTGAAGGGGGGGGTGGGAAAGCAAGTTTTCTAGAATAAAGACCAAGTTCCCGGAGCCGCAAAGTAAAAAAAAAAAAAATCGAAATAAGTTAAAGTAAAGAAGGAGATTGCGAGCCAGAGTCGAGTAGTTAAAGAGGAGGAGGATGAGGAGGAACCAGCAGAGGCAAGGCAAGGCAAGGCAAGGCAAGGGCAGCGGTGGCGGAGGCGGTAGTAGCAGTTGAAGTAGCAGTAGCACGGGCTACGGATCGTAGCAACACTCCGGCAGTAGCAACAATTAATAGGTAGTAGTAGGTCAGGTAAGTTGGTGGTTCAGTAACAAGCGGTAGCAATGGTGGCAGCCAGGGCTGGACTACGACAATAGTAGCATCCAGCATCCAGCAACCAGCACTAATAACGGCGGAGACGGGAACAGCAAGCAATAATAACAGTATACCGCGGCGATGGAAGCTGATTAGCGTGAGGTCCCGGGTATGAGTAAGGTAGCAATAAAGATTTAGAGGGGTTAAAAAAATAAAATAGTGGGCGGCAGTGCAGCGTCGCTAATAAGTCATGCGACCCTACGCGTCGGCCTTGGTTTTCTGCTTTTGGGTTGGGCCCCTCTAGGTATCCTTTTTAAGAATGCTATTGTCTCTCGTTTCGGTGCCTTGGGAGGGAGGTTACCTGCCCTCTCCTACGTCTCTGCTGCCCTTTCACAATTTCTGAGCCACTCCAGCAAAGAAGTAAGAGTAAAGAGCGAAAGTAAAAACCCGGTACGTCATCCCAGGTAAGTATGTGAATGTATTTAACGAGCCTGCCAACCTGGCGGGTTGCGGAGGGGCATTGGCCTAGTACCTAGCAGCTAGGTAGGGGGAGCCTGCTAAGGTTTATCCAGTGGACGAGGATGGGCGAGTCAATTGGGACCGGTAGACTGGGTGAGCGAATCACCAGAAAGAGAAGGGGCCCAAGGGATCAACGGCGTGCCGTGCCCACTTGGCGGCAGATCGATTAGTGGGAACTCCGATCTGGCTTAACGGCAAGCAAGATGGGAAAAGTGAAAGGTGACCAACGGAACGGCTCAAGGACTTTTTGTACGGGGAAAAACACACGGGTTGGACGTAGCACATCCCGGGGTATGCTGGTGAGTTGGAACATGTGTGATCAGATCAAAATCAGCTTGATGCCACCATGATGCCTCCTTTTTCTGGACAAAGGAAGGAGGCCGTGTTAATTCAGCAAGGCGCGGTAACATCATCTTCCGCGCTCGCCATTAGATTGAGGCTCAGAGACACATACACAAACAGCTTCAGCTTTCCAACCGGATGGGACAAGACCATTCTACCATGTGGCAGACAGGTAGACGAATCGCATCTTTGCATTGCCAACCTAGCTACTTTACTTAGTTGCTGCAACCTTGCGCACTTGACATATGCTGGGGGATCCAGGATAATGGTAAGTTGGTAGCCCCAGAGGTAGGAACCGACCGCATGGACGCGGCGCCGCCCATGACGCCGGCGCCAGCCATAGTGGTGTAAGTGGGATCAGACATGGCGCATTATAGCAAGCATCCCATTAGGCGCGAGCCAATGACAGTTGCTCGGCCAGGACAGCGATTTACCAATGAAGCCTTGCCTGATCTTTGGTAGCTCCCCTACGTCCATGATCTGACGGTCTCATGATGATGAGGCCAAAACGCCAGCCAGTGATATTCAAACAGGTTTCGTTCACACATGGCGAACCTACTGATATGCAATTGCGAATGAGAGGACGCGAGGATGAGAGGCAAAGAAAATCGCATGAACACGACAACAGCGAACACCTACCCTACCCACTTACCACCCCGCCCTCCAAAGCCGTCCGTCTTAGGGATGTTAATTCTCCGTATTTTTGACAATTTTACAGTATTGCACAAGGGTCATAAAACACCCGTATTATACTGTAATCTGGAGAATTGGTGACACCTGTCAAAGCCCCACTTACAGACCCATAAAACTGTTCTGACAGTCTTCTGCAGCTGTCAGCTTTTCATCGATAAACCAGCACTGATTACGTCATCAAGTTGCTCCAATTTTTTGGTATGTTAAGGAGCCAGTCCTTCCATTAGAAACTCCACTTCTGTGCACGGACAGTATTATTGACTTTAAATCACGTTATTCTCCGCGTATTTTACCGTATTTTATAAAATACGTGCAATTGAAATAACACCCCTAGTCCGTCTACTTTTTTAGTGTATGGGACTGGAGCACACAAGACAAGATCGCAATGCGGCTTGATGGGCTGACTCCATTAATATCCGAGTGATGGTGCGCAATTTATCCAATCCTTCTTTGTCCAATCAAGCTAAAGACTCTGGAATGCTGCCTCATTTCTATAACCTTAAAGAAAAAAAAGTTCCCAGCTAACGATCCCACCTTTTCGAGAGAGACATTTTTGGTCATCCAGACATACTGGACAAAGACCAGAGACACAAAGATGGGAAGCCCTGAAGGTTTAACCGGCCGGACGCTCCAGGCCGAGATACAATGTAGTTTGGTGTGCCTCTACCCCTCTAACTCGTACTACAGATTACCACATGTACCTCGAAGTGGGCAGTTTCCACAGTAGGTAATGTAACTGGTAGACATGTTTCAAGCACTTCGATGCCCTCCCTACTCTTGGTAAACCTCTTCGCCACAGGAGTTAGCCCTGATATGCTAACGGGATCCTCTTGGAGTGACACGGAGTTTTTCTTTCTTTCTCCTCTCTTCCTTTTAGCCAGGTACTTTTCGACCAGACCTTTACGAGTTTCAGAAAGAGAGAATGGGAAAAGAAATGAACCACATGAAATGTCCGTGTACTCTGTATGTTTGCTGGGCATCATAACGTAGTCACCACGTACACGCATCAAGGGATGTATAGTACCTATGCTCGGCTCCAACGTTTTCCAGTCAATTTGATCTGGTTGCCCATAAAATGCTACCCCTGGGAAATACACGAGCAAACATATTGAAGCTTTTGCGTAATACTACAAAAATACGTATATTTTTGGTAGTTGAAGTAGTGGGGCTCTTCTACCAGTGCATCGGCCCTTGGGCCCTCTCTGACGTTTTGAACGAGACATCAGCAGCCGTCAACTGTAAGCGAAGCACAACGTCTTGCATAAGCGCCCAACCATGCATGCATGGCTCTGAATAGAAAGAATACTTCAATGCTGCAACACTCCGCGTGTTCTTCATGTACGCCAGTCCCTCGAACAGGTCTTTGATGCTACCTTGCCATGTAAGCCTGTAAAGTCCCACCAGTCATCAAGACAACAAGACGGCAGAAGTACAATACAATACAACGCAACGCATGTGCATATATATATATATATGCATGGCCCACGGATGCGTCTTGTGCACCCTGCCCAGTATCCATCGTGGCTTCAATGCAAAGAACATCACATACACAGTAGCAATGTAGGCTACCTTACCTTGCATGGGTAATGTAGGGCTCGGAGTTGAATTGGTACCTGAATGTAGTTGAGTGAGTGCGGAGAAGAACTATTGTTAGTGGATTCCGTTGAACGTTCCCTAGGCTGTACGTACGTTGTGATGATGTCCTGTCCAACCATACGAGTCACCAGAAAATAACTTTTTTTCTTACAGAGAGCCGTTCCTGCTTATGCACATAAAGACATGGAACCACTTTGAATAGACGACGAATCTGCATGGGGCGATCGAAAATCTATTTCGGTGAGGATCAGGGGATGTGGCAGTTCATAACCTGTCATTTCTTCTGCTGCTTCCGCCGCAATAACAAGAAGGTTTGGCATGCTCGTATCATACATTACATTATTTTTACTACAACAACGTACATACATACGTACCAACATACTGCATACCCAATCCAGCCAACCACTCGAAGCATGTCGTTGGGCACAAACGAGACTGGCATCAGCGCATACAATTGCTGCATGACAGTAATTGGAGCAACGGATCGCTAATCGAAAGCAGCAATCAGCATGCCGTATTTTGCTGGGTGGACATGGCTGTCGACAGGAGTTCATAACTTCACCCATCAATAATGCTGTACCACCACTCGACATCTTCGCACTTGGTAAATGCCTACAGAGTGCAGCCAGTCAATAGTGCCCTACGCTCGTACATACCTAGTATGCAATGTAGCTTCGTTAGGTTCTGTAGGTGCACTTCCTTCCATCCCAGTCGCCAAGACACCAAAGATTTCCGTCGTGATTATATTACATTATCGCCTCGATGAACACTATCTACGCTCAATGATAGGGCGGCTGCGCATTTGGTGTGCAGCACATACATATAGTAGTGATATTAGCAGGTGCAAGCTGGCTCATCTGCCTGTTTTGAAGCAAGTTATAAAAAAATCAAAAAAAATCGAACGATTGCTGCTTTTCTTCTTCCCTTCCCCGGGTCCTTTTCATGGTGGCTAATGACGTCCAACGCAGCCATTACGAGACAAGTACATACATTACCTAGGGATTTGTCAAGATGAGAGCAAAATCCACAGGGATGAGCAGTAACACCAAGCTTGTCCTGTGAGATCTCCATTGCGCCAGCTAGCGGCTCGTTTCTATAGCAGCTCCACTACTTTCCCGGGGGATCCCGCGTGTACATTATGGTAGAGAATGGTTAGTTCGTGGCGGTCTTAGTTTTCCATAGCAATACCAGATGGATGGTCAGAGTAATAGACAGGTAGGCAATATGCAAGGGCGGCCAGGCAGGCAGGGGCATTTGTCTATACCGACAGCATGAGTGAGCTCCCTGTGCAAGCACGGGAGCAGGACTAGGACAGGTCAGCATTCTCTTCAAGAGTTGAATATCTATCTGGGGCTAGTGTACTATTTTGTACGCAGCAGGAAGCCTTCCGAACAGAGGACCTCAACCAATGCAATATGGCGACCGCGGAAGTGGTTGGGAAACCTGCTGCAGCAAGCCGTTGGAAAGGCCGGTGCCGTTCGCGGACCGGCCGGCCGGCTGCATGCTCTCCTGATGTTGTCCTCCCTCGCCTGTCACTAGCAAACTGCCTCAGCCGTTTCATTGATGGGTTCCAACAGGTTCCGAACTCATGACATTTGCTCTCCCCAATAGAAACAAGCAAGCTTTGAAATAATGTTTTTTTTTTTTGGAGGGGGGGGGGAGCAAGAAGCTGATCTATTTCTTTTCTTTCTAATTATTTGCAGAGCCAGCAGGAAGAAAGAAAAAGAATAAGCCGCAGATGGTGAGAATGATGAGCAAACTTTGCTTGGAAGGGACCAAATAAATTAATTACAATGCAGCAGGTAGTAAGGTAGTATATACGGCCGCGCAAGAATAGGGCAGGCGATGCAAGCATGGCCGACACATTGATTATGATTTTCTGACAGCTGCAAATGCACAGGAAAGCCCCGGTTTCCCAATATATATACGGCAATGTTCCATGTAGACGATGACAGGTCTCGTAGGCGATGTCGATTGCGAGACAGGAAGAAAAACATTGATCCTGGTTCTCTCTGTGCTTCCTTGGTGTCACCAAAAGACTTTTGGGGGGGGGAGCGACCAACCTAACCTTAGACTTTTGAGTCGCCATCTTTACACTGTCTATTGCTCGCTTCAAATATTAATTTTCTACTCACGTTGCTACTCTGCCGCTGGTTTCGAAGCTACCTATTCAACCCGCTCTGGATGATTGACGGACCTGACTGACTAGCCGGGACATCACGAGTTCTCGTCTCTCACGTCCGTCTCGTCACCATTTCTCTCGGCCGGCCTGGAACTCGCCCTACCTGTCCATCCGCACGCCAAGAGCCGTTGAGACTTGCCTTTCCAGTCTTGTACTTGGGGGCAGACGTTGCTTTTTTATCTCTTGGCGTGGCCTGTCAGTACGCCTTATTCTTTGGCGATTCATTAAGATCAAGTTTCTTTTCTTTCTTCTTCTTTGCCCCTCCCTCCCACGCAGAAGAGGAGAAGGGAGAAGAAAAAAAAAAAGACGAAGCAAAGTATTGAAAGAAGAAAACCAAACAGGGAGAAATTTTCCTTGAAGTGGAGTTGGCGGCAGAACAGAATAATATTCATTATTCCACGAGGGCGGGCAAAGGTCGATGACAATTGATTTACTGGCGGCCAACGATCCAAGGGCAGCCAAGCAAGCAAGCATACCAACCAGCGCCACCCGTCTTGCCGTCTAACCACCATCTCCATCCCATCATCGTCTTCTTCAGCTACTTCCTAGTTTTGACTATCTTTGAGTGGCCACCTAATAGGTAGGAGTTGGTGACAATACCGAATCAACTGACGGATTTCAAGATCGGTCGACTTGTCGCGCGGTCGCAATCGTCATTCTTTTTTTTTCCCCCTAAGCATACTATCTATCCTGAGTGGATACATTCTGCATTCTTCTACCACACGACCTTCTTTTTACCTTGGTACTTTCACTTCGCTACTACTGGCGGCCGCGCTTGGCTTGTTAGGCTCAAGCTGCCTACTTACTGGTGTCTTCTGCTACATTAGTATTATTCCCCATCCATCTATTCCATCCCTTCCCTCCCGGCCATCCCAGCCAGTTTACACTTTGGGTGGACTGGACGTTTGGCGTTGGCGCGGGGCCCGAGGCCAAACAGCACAGACGAACTCGCAGGCTAATAACAATGAGCCTTCCTTGCGTCCTCAAAGCAGCAGCTATCCTCGATCCAGATCCCTTATTAGCCATGGCAGATCCCGCGTCTCCATCTCCGTCTTCCGTCGTCAACCTGACCGCTCATTGTCGCACAAACCACCAACACCACCACCAGTCAGACCTTCCCGTCGTCAAGGCTGTATCTTTTGCTGCTGCTGCTGCTGCCGCCGCCGCCGCCGCCATTGCTACCACCACCACTACTAATCCAAAGGTCCCCGTACCTACTACTACCATACCCGTCTCAGCTCCAACTCGAGCTCCAGCAACTACTGCTACTGCTATCGCTACAGCTATAGCCACTACTCCGGCTTTTCACTCGGCCCCGGTGCCGGTGCCAGGCACGATAGGAACGCTCGCCACGCCCCGGTTCACCCAGGCCCCGGCCACAACGCCAGGTTCAGCCGCCATCTTTGATCAGCTTCGCACTGCCCCAGCGACCTTCTTCTACACCATGGGGAATGGCAAAGGCGAGTTTTGAATTTTTCTTTTCTTATTTTTTTTTTCTTTTCCCTTGCCCCCATCCCCCTCGTCCTACCCGAACAAGTGTGTGTCAGAAAGAGAAAGAAAGCGAGAGGAGGGGAAAGGACACCGGCGCTTGCCGCACGCTGCCATGTAGGCACATGGTAGAGAGATACGGACGGAAACGCAGGTAGAGACACAAATCTGAGTGCCTAGGGGAACGCAAATTGTGAAAAGGAAAAGAAAAAGCAAGTTACACACCGGCACAAAGAATGGAAGAAGATAAACGGCAAATGTTACTGCAACACAAACAGCCCGCCATTCAAATAATCGGCTGTGCCGTACCCTGGCATTTGGCTGACAGACCCTGCCCTCCGCCTCCACCCCCTCTATAAAGCGAGCAGCCCCTCTAAAACCCTATACTATATCGTACACAACGTGACATGTGCATGGGAAGTTCTGCGCACCGGCCTGGACTAATACGCTATTCGTTCCACAGAGTTTGAGCGCAAAAGGAGTCGAAGCCCCGAGGCTGATGCACCACTGCCTGTGGCATCGACCACAGACGAGTATCGGAGCGACGCTATTGAGCCGGCATCACCAGGTTCGTACTATGATGACGACGAGTTTGTACCCAGTGATTACGACGAGGAATCCATCGCCGATTCTACTTCAGTTGGTTCAAGTGTCTATAATCACAGCTACCACAATGGTCGCCGATACCACAAGGCATGTTTTCCCCCACCCAACCTTCTCTCCGATGTTGTTCCTCAGCGTCCACGTATGAACTGGACCGTAGTTCCCGACATGCGCAAGTCGTTTTATTGCTCAACTTCTAACTCCTCTTCTCATCAGTTTCGTCATGGGCGTTATCCTATCCCAAATGATGAGGCAGAGCAGAACAGGGAGGATATGCTGCATGCCATGATGCTCGAGGTGACGGATGGTAAACTGTTCTATGCACCAATAGGAGATTATCCACAAAAGATTCTGGATCTCGGTACCGGCACGGGAATATGGGCAATCGAAGGTAGGATGTCAATTCTCCTGTTGCCGTTACACTATCACGAGTGCGGAGCAACCTGATGATGCCGCTGCGCCCACCAAGCGGTACCAATGTCTTCCTTCGGGAAATGCACCATCAGATATGACACTTGCTGACCTATCTTTTCTCTCAGCGGGTGACAAGTTCCCTAGCGCCGAAGTCACCGGAATCGACCTGAGTCCCATACAGCCGTTATGGGTGCCCCCAAACGTCAAATTTCTAGTGGACGATGTCGAGGACACATGGTTGAACGGCGACAATATTGACTTTGTACACTTGCGAAACATGATACCCATTCTCAAAAGCCCGGCGAAGCTGCTGCAAGACATATACGAGTACGCGAACCCCTCCCTCGCTCCTTTGTTACTGTTACCCTGCGTTTATTTTCTGGATTGGTGGGACTGGGTCTAATGGGTTTACCCGTCATCTAGGAACTTGAAGCCCGGTGGTTGGGTCGAAATGCAAGACGTAGACGGCGCCGTGCACTGCGATGATGGCACTCTTCCGGCTGACTGGCCCGTCCTTGTCTTTTGTAATCTGATGGTCGAGGCCTTTTCCAAGCTTGGCACAACATCCCACGCCGCCATGTTTGGGGGAAAGTATCTCGAAGAGGCTGGTTTCGTCAACATCCGACATCACACGGCAAAGTTACCGTACGGCACGTGGCCAAAAGACCGGTTGGTAACCCCCTTATTCTCTGTTTCCCATTCATGGCCGTCGTGGCGGCCTCAGCTCCAATGCTGGCCAAATGTGGCGTTGATGAGAGTAGCCAATCGCATCAGCAGATTCACTAAAGAATGACCACAACAGGACGTTGCGTTTAGTCGGTAATTATTACCGGATAGCAGCTGAGGAATTCTTCCCAGCCATGGGCGCCATACAAATGCCTCTCCTTGGCTGGTCTCAGGTACGTTGCGCGCGATTGAGCAAGCGGCGGGGAGAGCATAACCCACTGAGTTTGTTCTTTTCTGACTTGATTTTATTTCCAGCCCGAGATGGAGGTTTTCTTCATGCAGTGCCGGAATGCTATGCGAGATGACAGCGTGCACGCGTACGGCTTGATGCATTTTTGGAGCGGGCAGAAACCCGAGAACGCATTTTGACAAAGATGATGAGGCCTTGAATGAGAAACTATAAACGACGACAAGAAAGACAACGACGGGCGCAATCTCACAAAGCATGCATGCGTTGCTATATTGAAGAGCGCAGTAGTCGCAAAGAAGACGACGCTGCGGCTGTCTGTTAATTTAATGTCAAATAATCATGGGCTTCATGGTAAGCAGCAGAGACGGAAGATTGGCGTGTTTAGTCGTACAATCCAGAGCGGTCAGGAGAGTGAAGTGAAGTCCCCAGCATCGGCCTATGTATCTAGAGCTATGTATAACTGGAGGTACCTCGTATTGAAAATAGTTCTTTTGGGTCACCGGTATGGACAGACGGACGTGACCACATTTGGCGACGATTTGAAAAGAGCAAAGAATTTGTCACCACAGACCACTATACTCTACATGAAATAAAAGGTGTGTCCCCTTAGGGGAAAGAAGAAGGAAAAAAGTTGCACCTAGCACGATCACTCGCTCAGTCCATTCGGTCATTTTCACGTCGCTGGCTTTTTGGAGACGAGAGGTTTCATCTGATGGACTGCGGTCAGATGATGGCGTGTCTATTTTGCCTCGAGACATGGAATGATGGCACGACAGCGGTGATTTTTCTTGGAGATTTCAGACGAGCTCAAACGTTTGAAGGGGTTGCAGCAGCTGGGCACTTGATACTGGCGAGTGGAGAGAAGCGCTAAGATATCCCCTGCAACTCGGTGGGTATACACTGAATCGGACAGGCAAGACAAAGGCGCATTTTCCCCATGCGAGCCGAAGAAACGGCTTGGCAACCCTGTAGTAGTGCTAGGCCCTGGATAGTGGATGCGCACAGGGGCGGGCGGGCGGATCACCAGGTTTAAAGGGAGCAAGCATCCATCATCTACTGCACGGCTTGTGTAGGAAGAGCAGAATGTGGTGGCATTGGAGAGGATTGCCTCTTTTGTTCTTCCGTTGATAGGTGCAAGGCAGGTAGAGAATATCAAGCCTTGCTTGCCGTCCACCTAGGTAGGTACCTAGCCTAGTAAGTATGATCTGTGATCTACGGACTGGCCCGAGATCACCAGCCGAGAAAGATCACCAGCAGGCAACCATGGCATGGTACATGAGTTTTAATTGTTTACAAAGATAGCATCATCAACCAACCCAAGATTCAAATAGCTGATGCAGTAGGTAAATAATACCTATGCAGGGAGTGTATTATCTACACCTAGCTTGCCAGCCATCTTGGTGAATGCGACAAAGAGAAGAAACTAGAAGCTGCCACTTGTACGAAATATTAAGATGTATTCTTCTTTCTTTTGTTGGACGTATTCCTGTTTCTGATCAAACAACATATATTAAATAGTGAATGCCGCTACCACTTGGCCACATACGTACTAGGCAGGCAGGCAGTCATTACTTGATACTATTCCCACGCCATCTGATGGTAATAGACATGTTATTACGCACATACATCCTATGTATAGAATAACTATCCGAACTAACCCCTAGACCTGGACAGACATGGAGAGAGAGAATGGTCGCTCTTCTCATGTGGACACGGCCGCAAAGTCTTCCTTTCTCTCGTGCTTGGTGCCGATAGACTTTTTCGAAACGATCTTGGCCTTCCCTTTTCATCCTTTCCTTCAGGGCCTTTAAACTTGCCTTGTCTCCATAACTCCAAGCGCGCGCGGACACCCCGAGCGGGTTCTCCCATACCTGCCATGTCTTGGCGCTTGCTTCAGAAATGGGGCCCAAGGATGCCTCATGGTCGCATCGCAAGGAGCATATACCCTGCTATTCCCGGCGTCTTCTTTGCGGAAAAAAAAAAAACCAGTGTCAAACCGAGGAACGAAACGGGCGGCCGGGCGTACAGGCTGGCTGGCTGGCTGGCTGGAGGAGCAAATTGTACCATAATGGGCAGGCCCCCGGGGGAAGGGGGGCACGGGAAGCGCTCTTAACATTGTATTACAGTCTACTCCCCTGGGACTCTTCCCTCACTCTTTTGACCCCCCAAGGAATAGGCGACTCTTGAGGCTCCCAGTGGGTCTGCTACAGTTACTTAGTGTAGCGGGAGAGAGGCCCCAATCAACCCTGCCCTGTCTGGTCCCATGAAGCCGCCATCCCTGGCCTCTTATTTGCTGGTCTGATTTTATGCTTGGTTTTAACATATGTCTGCCCCATCGTGTCCACACCTATGCGACGACAACTGTTGGAGATGGTCGCGTCGTGACGGTAAACGGTTTTCGCCCTTTCTTCGCTGTCGGCCCTTCTGACGCGACAGCACGATAATGATGGCTGGGTGGACGGGCGATGATGACTCGGATGAGAAGCCGTCTGATCTGATCCCATCGAGCCTGGGCTGGCTGGTCTAGCTTGGTCACATACATCGTCTCGCGCCCACTTACACGCATACACCTGACGGGACTATAGCTTGGTCGTGAGTGAGTGAGCGCTGTATATAGATACTGGCGCCTGCCTCTGAATCCATCATGGTCTCGCTTTGAATTTACTCTCTCAGGCCGGTCTTTTCTCTTCTCGTTTCCAGTTTTCGTTTCTCCTCCTCTCGTGATCCTGGGGATCTTCTCTTCTCTTCTCAAGTAAACTGTCTTCTTATAGCTACTAGTCATTCTCTTTCGCTTTTAGCCCGGTGCTTATTGTATTCCTCTCTCATTCTACCACCGTTATCCTCGCCTACTTCTCTCTTCTACCAACGACAACAAACATGCAGACTTACGCAAAGCTACTTTCCTTTACCAGCCTTCTGGCTCTGGTGAGCGGACACGCTCAGATCCTGTCTGCCGTTGGCGAGTCGGGTACCGCTGTGGGCTTTGATGGTATGTAGGATATTCAGCCAAACTCTGCTCAGTATGCTGACCTATGTTTTTAACCAGTTGATACCTCCTTGGCGAGAAACTGCACAACCATCAACCCGTGCCAGCTGGACGCTACCATTATCCGCGACGCCGAGATCAATGCCAACATTGTCGGCGTCTGCGGACGGACAGAGCAAAACGCCAATATTGATGTCGCCCAACGCGAGGAGGATGCCATCAGCGCCAACGCCGTGACGCAGATCCAGGCCGGCACCAAGGTTGCCGTCACCTTGCACCAGGTCAACGCCGACGGTGCCGGTCCTTTTGCCTGTGACCTCGTCTCGGCCGACAACGGTGTCATTGCCAGCAACCTGACGGTTGAGAACAACGTTCCTGGCGCCAACGGCTTTTCCCAGGCCAAGGCTGTTGACTTTAACATGACGGTCATCATGCCCGACACCATCACTGGCTGCACTGACTGTGAGTCTAATTCATATGTATATATATCTTGTCAATTACACCCATGCTGATTGAATCACAATAATAGCTACTCAGGGCAATGTCTGCGCCGTCCGCTGCCGCAACAACGCACAAGCTGGTCCATTCGGTGGCTGCTTCGCCGTCCAGAACACCGACGCCGCTGCCACAGCTTCCAGCGGTAGCAACAGCAAGAGCAGCAAGAGCGCAAGCGCCAAGAGCTCAAAGAACAGCAACAACAACAAGAAACGATCGATGAGATTCTTCAGCTAGATAGAAAAAAGACAGCTTGCAAGTTCCCGCAAGCCAGAAGAGAGCACCTCGGATGTGGAAGGGCTGGAGGCGTGAAGAATTACGATAAGGAGAGTGTGAGATATACCAGTGGTGGATTGCGATTGAGATTTAGATCAGTAGCATAAGGGCAGTCGGACCTTTTTCTCTTTTATATTTTGTGATTATATAGATACGAAAATGTAAATTCTTCGAGGAGAAATTCATTACTGGCGCTTGGTTTTCCTGTCTCTAAATCAAGGTGCTATTTCTCTTGCCGCATTGTCGCCCTTTTGCTGGCCATGATGAAACCATTCCTGGAGGCTACACATAGACGATGAGATGCGTTCGGTGGAAGTGGGAGTGGGCTTTCGAGTGATTGCGACTTTGAAGTTATGGTGCACTGGGAATAAACGCCGTCTTTACTTCATTGCCGATCTGAAACTCGACATGGTGCCATTGCAAGTCGTGATGAATGAGGCCACAAAAGCTGGGCAGTTTCAAACCATGCAGGTAGCATCCAACCTCACATGCTAAGCCTCGACAATAGATGTATGGGCTTTTAGAGACGATGGTCATGACATGAAAAGAAAGACATCAAAAATAGAAAAAATTAAGGGAGAGGAAAGAAGTGAGAACAGAATTTCAAATGATTCTTAAACTACCTCGTACGTAGGTAGGTATAGATTGTCTTGGCCTACTTATGCATACCTTATAGTGAAATGTAGCATTGCTACATAGTAGGTACGTACATCCATTCATGTACCTCATGATCATGCTTCCTGAAAGTCCTCACAGTTCTAGAATCTGCCCTTGAAGAAGACAAACTCGAGTCGTCCATTTCCAGACTTGATGACGGGGTTTGGGCCAGGCTCCTCGATATAGATCTGGTCTACGCGGCACTTGGCCAACATCCAGTGCATGGCTGGAAAGTCGAGACGTGTTAGCTTTGACACGGTTTCTTATACTTTTTTTTTTTCCCGCCTGCTTCCCCCTTCTCCGTTTACTCCGAGAAATACTCATCAAAACGACCCAAGGACATGGAATTGTCGTCAAGTACTCACCTTCAACACTGGCACCATCACCCACAACCTTATTGAGGACCTTGACCCCGGAGCCCTTGGCCACCAGAGCCGCATCCGGGGCGCCGTCCAGCACATCAACGGTGCACTCGCGCGTCTGCCGTGTGCCGTCAGTAGAGGCTACGCTACCGCCTCCATCGCTGCCCTGGAGAAAGGATATGGCACCCCAAGCTGCACCAGTGGTGTCGATATTGGCTACAGCCCATGTCCCGAGGTTGTGCGCGCTGTTGTCGAGGTTGATCGATGCCGCACCGCGCACAATATGGCCCTGGAACGTTGAGCAGACTTGGACGAAGCTACGGACACCGGCGTCGATCTGATTCAGGCGGCCAGAGTTAGTATCGTATGATTTGCTGGCACGAGTAATTCCGATTCAGCCAGCCAAGGACCTCTACACATACCGTGATATACTTCCAGGGATGCTCATCACGGCTGTTCTCGTAAATGAAATAGTCGCCCTTAATGCCGTCGTTGTTGGTTATCCAGAAGCCTGGGCCAACTTCTGGGTCGCCAGCTGTTTTCATTGTCATCTTACTTGTGTATAAAAGCAAGCGAGCCTGGCCGGGCGTACTTACTCGTATGAATGGGGGCTTCTTCGGGCTTTGCGCAGTATGAGATGCCCAAGTTTTCTGTAGACTCCCTTGCCAAAGGTGCCAAAACATCACTTGCTAGCATGTGCCGACTCGAGGGTGCAGCCTGGATACGCGGGAGAAGATACCCCATGAGAAGTAAGCAGTTACGGAACGACATGCTGCGGCGACTGGGCAAGCTTTTCATCAAATACAGGATGTCGTGTCTAGAGTTACTCCTGGAGGTGGAATGTTTCTTGCTTTTCTGTCCTGGCTCCTGGATCAAATAGGTGGTATGTTTGCTACCTAGATACTTGACCTACCTATCCAGTCCTTTTTCATTCGTAACTCGGTACATCTTGTATATGCCACAAGCCAGTAAGCAAACCACTCGCCTCGTGCACATTCACATAATTGCAGGTGTACACAAGAATCTCTTTTTTAGTTTGTTATTTGCAAGATCTTCGGTGAGCCGGGAATACAACGCCATTATTTGGCCTTTATATCGGCACGATTCTGCCGCAACGGTCCAGGTTTGACCGAGGACAATCAATGGCCTCGTCTAGAATGGTTTGTTTGTAGACGTGTTGCCGCCGCCTTGTGGCAGATCAAAGATGTCCAGTACCACCTCCGAGGTCACTCCGTTGATTGATGAGTTGCTAGCCGAATACGAGCTACAATATTTGGTTTGAGCGACGACTCGAGTAAAACAATGCTGGGCGTTGTAAGTCGTGGATTAGGGGCCAAATCGATGTTCTCCTGCCTTCATTTGATCTTTTCTCGTACTTTTTTCGGTGGTAGAAGACAAGCTGACGTAGAGCACTCCGACCACAAGGGTTTTCCATTACCCGCCGCCCGCCCTAAATTCAATCTCATTGCAGCTAGGCTACCCGCGCTCAATCTTGGTTCAACGAGAAGGTGAATCGGTCATCCAGTAGACAAGGTAAAACACATTTATGTATTTGGTCTTTTTGTAGGTACTTGAGTTATATTCTGGGAAGATCGGCCGCTAGGTCGCAGCCTTTAGGGCTATGTTTGCAAGGAACAGGGCAAAAATAAGGGAGGTTGAATGGAAACAAAGGCTTAATTTTTGTTCTTTATTTCTAGGGCGCTGCAGTCTCGGAGCACGCCGCTCAGAGTAATGTACCGCGGGGCCCGTACCTGGTAAGCATCCATCGACACACACAGAGTAGGAAATGTACGTAGGCAACTCAATTGGTAGTATGATCGTGCAATCCGCTCTAACGATTGCGCAACAGAGAATCCCTGTCTCTGAAAGCGGGTCTTTGAACATGACCATAAACGGCGGATACCTGAACAGTGGGATTTTGAGCCGTGTTCGTGTGCATTTTCAGGGCATATATCAACGTGTAAAGCTCACCAGGCTGACGCAAAAGGGGCAGTTAGAGTAGCCGACGATGTACAGAGACGGCGCCAGGGACCAGCGCACGGCACCCGGATAGTCGCCGTCACTGCCCCGGACTGAGGCCCGCTGGTTAAGGATCCCCCGGGATGTGTACGGAAGTAAGCTTGTGCCTCGCCCCCCTTAGCGTGGGCTGGGATGTCGTCAAATGGCGTCAAATGGTGTTCGGTCGACCCGGCTGCCGGTCTTAAAAGTCCGTGATTGGTATTTTTTTTTCTTTCTAATTGGATCTCGTGTCGTTCCTGTCGTCGCATGAGAGAGAGAGAGAGAAAGCCAGCATTTATTTGGCTTTATTCATTTCGAGGATCAAAAGCTGAATCTCCTACTGAGATTTGGCCGAAAGATGCCTCAGCAGCCAGACGTGCGCGCGTATGTGTATAGGTACTAAAGTAGGTAAGGTAGGTGGGCAGCGTTTTCCCTCCAATGGACAACCTTCTTAGACCGCTCCGTCCGGTCGAAGGTGCCAACATCGGAGGGACTACTCAGCAAGTCCAGCCATCACGACTTGGGGCCTCGGCGGCAGCCATAATATCACCGGCCTCTGCCCTCCACTCGCCAGCGACCACGACAGCAGCTACCACAACAACAACAATAACGTCATCTGGCAACACGCCAGATTCCTCAAAGAAACTTACCTGCCTACAATGCCGGGTGAGAAAGGTCAAGTGCGATGGCCGCCAGGACGTGTGCCGAAATTGTGAGCGCCTCGAGTTTGAGTGCTCTTTTCAGCAGCAGTCGCGCGGCCAACCGACTGCCCAGTATGCTGCCAAGCTCCCTGAACGCCGCCGCCGGATGCAGGCCTGTCTGAGTTGTCGCAGCAAGAAAATCAGGTGTCTTGGCGAGTTACCCGAATGCTCAAACTGCAGCAAAAAGGGTCTCTCGTGCAACTATCCCGAACCTCGGAAGAAGCTCCCAGCTATACCGCCGGGCCACGGCTCGGATAATTATAACATCAGCAACAGCAACACGTCATCCGTGGACCACGATGGTCAGTCAGACCTCGACATTACCGGCTCCACGGGCGAGGCTGCCCTGGACCAGGACACCCTCTCTGAGCTCGTCGAAGACTACTTTCGCCATCTATACCCGCTGCCGTCCTATGCCTTTCTACACAAGCCCACGGTTGTTCAACGCTGCCAGGAGGGCAGCATGGATACCCCGTTGAAACTGGCAATCTGCGCCATAACATCTCTGCTTCTGCGACGTACCTCCTTGTGTCACGACATATGGATCCAACAAGCCGAGCAGTCAGTCCTGCGACAGCTTGCGCAACCCTCCATCTTCCGGCTGCAGGCACTTCTCCTCATCGTTCGCTACCGGATAGAGAGCGGCGACTTCCCTACTGCTTTTATGCTGGCCGCCCTCGCCGCAAGATCTGCTGTCGGATTGCGACTCAACTTTGAGCGCGCGGAACTGCCACCGCTTGCCCAAGAAGCCAGGCGCCGCCTTTTCTGGTCCTTGTTCCTACTTGACGACTTTTTCTGCGTCGGGCTGAGGGAATTTGAGCTCTGCCCCAAGGAGACAATACATCTCCAGCTTCCATGTGATGAAGAGCTCTTCGAGGCCGGGCAGCACTGTCGGACAGGGACATTACAGCAGGATCTCCTAGAAGTGCCGGCGACTATTGGCCTGCGCGGAATATTCTTGAGGCTCGTATCGACCAGAAGAGAAATCATGAGGTAAACATACTCGCCCGTTCCCAATTGCTTGTCTTTTCATCAGGTAACGGAATTTATACTCATCCACCACTATCATCAGGTTCATTCGCCAAGTAAGCCTACGTGAAATACAGCCCGCTTCGATTGCCACCTCATTGCAACGGTTTGAGCAAGAGTTGGAATGCCTGCGAGCTGGGCTCAGCCAGAGTGAGCAGTACTCTGTGTTCAATTTGGCCAACAGCAAGACGCAGGCAGAATTCATCATGCTGCACTTGTCGTGGAATCAGTGCTTTTGCGATTTGTATAGACAGTTTCTCAGCGGCTACAGCGAGGCCGCTCCGATACCAGTCATTGCCGGGATCCCACTGGCGAGGAGGCAAGCGCTACAGCAACGGTGCGAAGAGCATGCCGAAAGCAACATACAGATGGTGACAGACTTTTGGAACAATTGCAGCCGCAACTCCATCCTAGAACGGGATACGGCCGTCTGCGCGGCCGAGGGCGCCCGCATCATCCTCTTCCTCGCTAGCATCTCATCAAGTCGGCCGACAATGGAGGCTGCCATCAGAAAGGCTGGTGTGTGTCTGGGTTTTATCACACATTTCTTTAGTCATTCTGAAGCAACGAAAGCCTTGGTAAGAAGGACTCCCAACTGCAGTGCCACGCGGCCGTTCACTACTTGTTTATGTTCTTACGCTGACCTGTGCTCAGCGTCACAAGCTTGAAACGGTAATCGGCGGGTATTCGGATCGCCTGGCTGTACAGCACAAGAAGGCGATCCAAGAGCCTGACCCTCCAGAGATACGCCCAGCCGCAAGGGTATCGCAATATGCCAACTCGCGGCAGAGGCTTTCCGTGCAGAGTCTTTTACTGCAATCGGACTTTGTCGATGACAGTGATCAGATTGCAGTTCACGTCTCGGGAGGCGGTGCCACGTCAAGAACTGTGCGAGCAGCGGCGCAGGATGGTGAAGGTCTCGCAGCTGATGCAAGTACCGATGCGACCAACTTGGATGATCGCATGTCTGTTGATGGAGGGCAGGAATATAACGCAATAGCGTCTATAGGAGAACATGAGGGACTCGAAGCGACTGGAGTTCAACTCAACCCATGGATGGGATTTCCAGGCCAGGATGATGTCTACGGAATACCGGGTTTGTCGGGAGATCTCGACGCCGAGTATTGAGTGTGCAGATTGCTGTATAGCACTATCAACAAGACATATATCAATGACACAAATGAGAGGAGTTCTGGAAATGGTATTTTATTTATGGGGTGGTCCTCTTTCCTCGAGTCGTCTGGGTAAGGGAAATGAGGCGCGTGGCATTTTTCATATACTTGACATCCCGAGACCACAGGAGATATGTCAAGTTGATTACTGGGCGAATTGGAGTATTTACTATAGCCAGCCGTGCCTCTAATTTTAGTCATAGTCTAAGAGATGGCGAAGATCCAAACAGTCCATGGGAAAAAAAATAAACATTGACAATCTGCTGCAGTATACTACACGGTAAATTCTGATCTGCCAGGCCAAAGTAACAGAGAGGTAACATTCTAGTAAATGGTTCTGTATATGTATTAAATTTGTGAAGATGAGATGGGGGAGGAAATTCCTTTACTTGTCTATTTGCAACGATTGCCAAACAGGGCGCCAGAGCAAAGAACACGGTGATATATCGTGAAATTGCTCGTGTTCCGCTATGTTGTTGCTTTGTCTCATCACAGGAAGACAAAAAGACAATGGAAACAACTCGTGGGAGAAAATCGGTTTCATCATTTTTCCTTGTTCTTCAGTTTCTGGACTCTTCAATGGAAGACTAGGTCTCTTCCCTTTTCGTTTCTTTAATTGCGGAAAGATTTTCTAAACATCCTTTACCAATCCAACTTCCTCGGGTTGTCGGAATACTACCTTTCCAAAGCAGCTCGTTCAATTAGTCCTTGGTAGCTGGAGAACCGGCAAACATACATACAATCTGTCTCATTCACTCAAGTAAGGTTCTTTGCCTTCATAATCAAATTGCAAAAGAGACAGTCTTGGAACTCAACCAAGTCACCCCAGTTCGACTATTGGTTACCTTTTCGCACCCAGTTAAGCATAGGCATCGACAAGAGACAATGCAACAAATCACCATTGCTCTCCTCATTGGAGGAACGATCACTGTTGGAGTAATTTGGTTCGCCATTCACAATTTCAATAAAAAGGCAAAACGGAGCGACCTCCCATAATTGCATACCGCGTCGACCCAGAGGGCCTTGGTTGGCCAACGGTAGTCTGGGATGTTTCGACAGCATGTAAAGGTCGACCTCAAGTTCTCACTGGCGTGTACTTTCCGGCCTGAGCATTGTATTGCAAAGTCAAGATATTTACACATTCGTTTAAGCTGGGCATAGTATTATGGCCAGTATGGCAAAATACCACGTATCATAAGTTTATGCACTCTGGTGGAGGAAATTCGAGGTTTATTCTGGACGCTCGCTAGGTCGAAGAAATTGCTTTTCCTTGCATTATCTGAGTGAACACCTGGAGTGCGAGTTCAGGTTCTGTAATCGTGTCAGTGGCTGTCATGTCTAATTGTTCCGAAGGAGACGAGGAGGCATTTACGATAATAGGGCACTTCATGTCCAGCCTCATAGACTCTGAGGAAGCTGAGGTTGTCAACTGTCTTGAACTGCCCCAACTCGGTGCCGTTGACCGTGTAGGGAGCCAGATCTTTGGCGGCGAATTCATCGTGACCCGAGTAATCCAGGGCGTTTGCGACGCCAAAGGTGCCAACCCAGTTGCAAATGTAGTCAGCGTCGCCTGCCCAGGTCAGGACCTTGATGCCGCTCTTAACAACCTCGGAAAGAGTCTCGAGAAAGGATCGAGCATCTGTATTAGCGGGAAAACCACGTCATTAGTATCTATCGGCAGTCCAAGTAGAAATACCTCGTGAACACGTACCATCGCCAGTCAGCGAAAAGAGAAGGCCGGGCTTGTTGGCGCACTCCTTGTAGGTGGAAGCAGCACCAATGGCCTTCCTCACGTCGGCACGTGCCAGGTAGGTCGTGTAGGTCTCGGGTGGGTTTGGGTCATTCGAACCCGAGCGAATGTCGTAGGGATCAAAGTCGGCGCTGTTGTAGATGACGTTGTCAATCCGGCCCTCGCAAGCGCTGTCGGCAGCAATGCACGCCGCATTGGTCCCCGTCGCTGTGCATTTCTGAATGGCCGGCAGACAGACGGTATCGTATGCATTGTAGAGCTTTTCGGCTGTATCCTCGTCAATGAGTGCACGGTACGAGTTGTTGGCGGCAAAGTCAATGGCGGCCTTTTCTTGTATGGTCAGATTGTACCAGCCATTGTTGATGCCGAGGGCTATAAGGTTGATCTTGTCGCCCTCGACGGTGCCATTGTCGATGCCAGTATTTTGCTGCTCGATGTAGTAAGAGAACTCTGGGCCGTAGTGGCCTCCGTACGACTCGGTGAAGATACCAAAGTCTCTAGTCTCATATTCGGGGAATTGGGCAAAGAAGGCTTGGATCAGATTCCAGACGAAAGGCGCAGCCGTCACGGTCGAGGTGACGGTGTCATTGCCGTAGGAAAAGCCAACACCAATCGGCTGATCAACATAGAGCATATTTGCATACTCGTTGAAGCTGTAAGGATTGAGGGTTGGCTCGGTCTCATTGTCCACAAAGTGGCATGGGCCATTTTCCTGGAATAAGCCTATCTACAATAAGAGTGTGTGTTAGTAATTGCTTGTCCAAATTAGGGGTCGATCAGTTTGTAGCCGCCATTGAGAACATCTTATCAAAGGCTACTGCTGGCTTGTTGCACTCCATCGGGAAATGCCATCCTTGTGAGAGATAACTCAATACAGGTAAGAAATGACACAACAAGTTATTTACCATGGAGCTACATCCGGGACCTCCGTTGAACCAAGTAGCGAGCGGAGCTGTGGTCGGGTTATTGCGGGCTTCGAAGAACCTGAAAGTATTCAGCACCAGATTGACATTGCACAAGCCATCTGGCGGTAGCTTGGCGACAGAAATATGTGCATACCAGAAGAACATATTCATGTTTTCCCCCACGGTCAAGTAGCCCGAATATTGATTGACGCCGGGCGTCGTCTCGCATATGCCAGAGTTGTTCACAAAGGACATCTTGGTGCCCGTTGCGGCGTGCTCAAAAACATTGTACGTAATGTCGTCTTGGACCTCGATATACCGTTTGTCCATACTTCCATGTTGCTGCGTACTTGCTAGAGCGTGTCCGACAGACGTGGCAAGCGCCCACGCTGTCAAGAGCCTAGGGGATAACATTGTGTGGAGTGAGAGCGTGAACAAGTTGCGGCCCATTGAGTTGCTCGGGAGCGTAGGCGAGAATGGCACAGCAAACGGCTACAGTAGACGGACTGACACGGCACTTTGATGCCAAGAGTTAGGGACCCTTGGACACTTTATACCCAGCAAGAAGAAGAGTACTCGCAAGACAATTCTGCATACTAGGTTATGCAAAATACCGCAGCGACATTCCCGTTTTCAAATGGTTATTTCCGCATGTTACCGACACAATGTCCACAAGAGGACATGCCATTTTCGTCTAAAGTCTTTCTCTCTCGTTTTATTTGGGAGAGGGGGGGGATTTCGACCGTCATGGAAACGCCGTTCTGCATCAACATCGCACGGTCAAGTAACGGCTTACTTTGGGAAGGTCGACGACCCACGCATCATTCATTCATTCATTCATTCATTCATTGCGCATTCAGGTGTACAAAAGATACTTTCGATAACCGTCCTATATTTATTCCATCATCTTCTTCTTCCACTGCCAGCCGATCGGTCCCTTTAATCGACTTGAACGGTTCTGTCGCAATCTACAGCTTTGGGGATTGGTCATGTTTGATAAGCCTAAATTGATTGTGCATCAAGGGTGTTGCGTGCAAGGAAGGAGGGGCATTGCAAACATTCCGCAGCCAAGAAAAAAGCTTGTTTGCCTGTTTGTTTGCAGGGAACGCAACGTTTGTAGTACGTACCCAAACTTGATGTACAGAGTAGGTATGCATGTGTATATGTATAGGTGCAACGTGTAATATTGTTACCCCTTTTCTTTATGCACTATACCCAAGTACTGCCATTGCCTGGGCACCAAAAAAGAAGAAAGAAGAAAAAAAGAGGACGAATGCCTGCGGAAGGTCATGTAGGTCGAGGTGATGGTGCAATTCACCACTGTGGGTCAAGGTAGTATAGAGCTCGCCAAGACGGGAAGGCCGATCGATTGCTTTGAGTACTAAATACTACCACCACCACTCTGTAGCAATCAAGACGATCCGAGAACCATTCATCCCCCCAAGAACAAAAAAAAAGGAAGCGCCCGCATCTGGAAACTTCAACGGGGCCTGTGTCAGATTAGGTGAGATACCCAAGTGTAGTAGCTTCACACGTACGTACAAGTTTGTACTCGGCACTGGGCGAAACCGACGGTCATCCCGCACCTCCATATTCCTCCGGGTCACTCACGGCCAGTACCCATTTCTCGAGTAGTGGTGACACTCGCTGACGTCAGCAAGAAATAGCGTGGGCAACTGAAATACCCCCCTCCGAATTCACACAATGCTTCGACTGGTCATGGTCGTGGCCATGTGGTCCCACAGCAGTGGTGGAAAAAGAAAAAACCTCAATGTATACCTCTTTGGACACCATGCTAAATCTATACTGCTTGAATCTGTTTGTCGAAAACCACTTGATATGATATGCCTTGCGAGCTTGCGATGCTACCCCAATAACCACCATCATTGCTGTCTGTAAATCATTCATCTAAACCGTTTGAGATCACTAGGTAGGCTGTAACGCCCTTGTCCAACCTGTCCAACCTGTCCCACCCAGTCGCCCATATTTTGGTTGCTATGGCTTCTACTGGCCTGGACGCAAGCTTTTGGCTTGCCTGCTTTGTGCAGATACCGTTGGTTGTTTCGAAATATTGACCCGTGTATTGTCAAGGCTACGATCAGAGTAACTATCAATATCCGCATCTGACGCGTGGGAATTTTCAATCGGTGGTTCATCTGTTTGAGAGGTTTGTGACTCAAGAGGGGTAGAGCCTGTTTCCTCAACGGAGCAACTCAGGGGAGGCCGCGAATCGTCGTCGTCGTCCTCCTCCTCCTCCTCGTTCTTGGCATCGTCATTGTCCTCATTCGTGATAGCAATGGTGGGCGTCGAGGGACAAAGGTTCGAGTGTGATGTACCTCGGTTGCTTGACGGCGATGTCGCAAAGTCAAAGGCGTTCGGTTCATTGGAAGTATGCAAGTGTGGAGCTGTCCTGGGCCCGTTTTGCGTATGATCATTAGGCAATCGTTTCATCCTCATTTTAGGCTTTGCGCGTAAGAGCTTGAATGTCATTTCGAGGCGTTCCTCCTGGTCAGTGTCGTCGTCCGTCACCTCGTCGGCCTCATGGATGTGCTTCCGATGAGCAAGAGTTGGCTGTAAATTACTGACACTCGACCTTCGATGGCGCCGCCTCAGCTTCTCCTTGGTCGTCATGAGACTCTCGATGGGCGAAACCATGGTATTGAGGGGTTCGTGGCTGCCCCCGCGAGGATGGGCAATGTGACCGGTCATCATACGCCTGAGATCAGCCTGGCTCTTGCTAAAGACTACGCGTGCCTTCAAAGCATGGACAGCTCGGTCTAGAGCAAGCTCAATAGCGCATCGGTCCCTGACTCTCGATATCTTGGGCCATGTGGCTCGCTCGCCAGAAAGACACGAACGAAGCATGAATTCCGTGGTCGGGTTTGTCAGAATCTTGGGCAGGTCCAAAACGCCCATGGCTGGCACGATATTGATGTCGCCCGAGTATTTTTGACTTAGAATCGATCTCAGCTTTGTCACCAAGTTGGGAAATATGCCGAGCTCTGCCATTATCTGCATTCGATGAAGAGCCTCACTCCTCGCCAACTTTGCAATGGTGGAAACCCAAGCTGACTGGCCGCCGGCCGGTTCTCCACTACCCCCAAAAGCAGTGTATGGAGTATCCTCCTTGGCTAAAAAGGGAACGACATGCGGGTTCACTTGGGAAACAATAAAGTGATTGACGTTGAACATCTCGGCCAGTCGTGTCATGGGCAGGTCATTGTCGACAGATCCGTCAATCCACATTTGCGGCGTTGGATTCCAAGGACTATGCTGCCCCGTAATCGGGTTCTTGACTAGGAGTGGTGCTGCACTAAAGACCAATGGCACTGAACACGAGGCCGCCACGGCAGACCAAATCATGACGTTTGGGGACGTGACATAATTCAAAAGTCTAGGGAGCTCGTGTATCGAGGCCGAAGAGACGCAGATGTTGCAGATTCGTCGGGTGCGGTTATACGCTTCTTGAAAGGTCATATCTCCCAAGAGATCGCGCATGACCCTGGTCAGATGCTTGATATCAGACCAATTGCCCTCGGTGAAGAGCCTACGCAGATGATCCATGATACCATCTTCATTGCCCTCTTCCTCAAAAACGGCAAGGTCTCCATACGGGAACTCTTCCAGCAGCTGGGGTATTTCATCGTCGGTTCTTGTGCAGACAACGGAGCAAACGATGGACCCCGCCGAGGCTCCCGAGATGATACGCGGCAGTAGATTATTTTCAAACAATGCCTTGAGGACTCCAATGTGTGTCATGCCAAACGTTCCACCGCCGCTGAGGAGCAAAGCGCTCCGGCCAAAGCTTTGGCGGGCGTAGAGTGTGGCGTCGAGGAGGTCCTTGGACGACAGACCCTCGGGGAGAGGATGAGAGCTTTGCTCGACAATGGCGGTAATGGTCTGGAGCGCCGAGTCGACATACTGCTCAATCAGCCTCTTGGTCCCCGAGTAGGTATGGCGGTACAAGTCAATGTTGCCCATGCCTCCGAGGTCCCTGGTCAACGCGGTCCGGACAAGGTGCAGCATCGCACGCAAGTCGCAATTGGTCCTCGCTTGGTCAAGAGCCTCTAGGCGCTCCTGGATAAGGTCGGGATCGTAGTCTCCGGTCGAATTGTCCCTCTTCCAGTCCTCATTGCCCTCGAGCTCGTCTAACTCGTGGGCTGCTCTGTCCCATTGCTGCCAAGTCTGAGCATGCTGCAGTCTAGCCGACAGTATCTGCTTCCGCTCCTCCAAGAGCCTCGCGTTGTGGCGATCCTCAGGCGACAGGCCATCTTTCAAGTAATGCAGTAAGTTGCCAGCATTCCTAAGGGCTCGTGACAAGGGTTCCTGGGTGGTGTTCCTGGCGGGTCTATGTTTGGTTGGGGACGATGGTTTGAAGAACGGGTTACTCGTAGTTGTTGTCGCTGCCGCTGCCGCTGCTGCAGGGTTGGACCGCAAGGCCGGAACGAGAAGTTGCGTCATGGCGGAAGCAGCGGTCGTAGTTGAATGAGAGCTTCTTGTTGATGTGCGTGCGGTGCATTCTAGCCGATTTTACTTCTTTGGCTCTTTTGTTTTTCCCTTTCGGGAACAAGAAGCAGCTGGTTTGTAGGCTGGGCAAGGTTATAGAGAAGAGGTTCGGCGCTGGCAATTGCTATATCATATGTGAATGAGGAATATGCGGCAAGCCGTCGGCATCAGAGGCAGGAACAGCGGTATGAGCGGCGAGGCAGGATCGATTATTGTCTCGAGAGTCGGGTGTGGTGGTTGATAGACAGACTGTTAGGAGTCGGCTAATGGCAACAGTCTTGGAAGAATGCTTCGCACTCGAGGAAGTGGAAGCAAAGATCAGTCCACGCACTTGATGTATCTGGGCTTTTCCCGCAAAGCTCGTGGATGGTTTGTATGGATTGAAACAAGTAGAAGGACGAGAGGGGTGAAGGAGGAGAGAGATTGTCGACAAAGGGCAGGTAGGTAGATGTACAATTGGGAAAGGTCAGCGGTGAGAAAGATCCCAAGGCTCGGTCCGCCTATCCGCTATCTGTGTAGGTAGTATGCAAAGCAAGGCTGGGGCCCGCGGGGAGGGCCTAACAAGGAGAATGTAGGATAACAGATATGTATTTGGGTTCTCCAGACTGTGACTCTGGTGATGGATGTCGGGTAGACTCAGTGTATGAAGGATACACGAGTGTATGTGCATTCAATTTGAGCAGATTATTCCGCAAGATCGGTCCAAGTTTTCCATTGCCTACATTACCTAGGCAGACAGATGACATCCATCACGATCGTCCATCCACTCGCTGATGCCCCACGTGCAAGACGTACAGCGATCAGCCCCGGCACCCAGTCCTTGACCCCAGAGAATGCAAGGGGCCGATGCAGCGGGTACATGTGAGCTTAGTGGCAGCCAGGCCCAATCAATGCCACGGCATGACCATGAACCACCCACCCAGAAGCCCCCAAGTCAGCAGCCACAGGTGGCCCAGTGCACCCCCATCCTGCAGGCTTCAAGGTTCTATCTCTCACACTCTGGGGAACCCAGAAGAAAGACGTCAGCGGATGGCGGGGGTCTCTTTTTTTCCCTAGTATACAGAGTAACTGCACCAAACCTGGGCGCTCCAGAGCCGGGGCAAGCGGGGATAGCGCCGGTCGTTTTGGCAACGCATCATCTCGTAAGTAGAAACGAACGAACGGGAGGAAAAAAGAAAAGAAAAAACCACATTGGACGGCCCTTGAAACACACGGCCAACAAGAGAGCCAGCCACCTTCACTAATTTAGGTTCTGTGCGTGTGGATAAGCAGACATCTTGTGATCACGCTTTGTATCCATGCTGACCACCAATCAGCAGGAGTAAAGACAAAGAACCTTGGGTCTCTCCCACGTTTATTCGATCTTTTTCTTTTTTTAAGAGTAATGCAGGAGAAACACATCTCCACATGTCACCAACAATATGCCTTGCACCTCGCTCTCAGACACATCAAATCAACAGTTTTTCAGAATATGGAGGTCAAAGGGACATCAAGATAAATATGTATCTGTAGAACTATACTGAGATGGACAGACATCACGCATTCTCGTTCCCTACCGCATCTACAATCTTGGTAGGATGGCTTACCATGTTACATCCAACCGAATCCGACAGCGATGAACAGCAAGGTCTACAGCAGTATATATTTGTAGTAGATTATATCCCACGCTGCAGTCAGGTTTATAATGACTTTGAAAACACGTTTTCTGCAGGCATTGGAGCATCGATGGCCATTCCACCCTTTACTGCTTCGCATAAAAAGAAGAAGAAGTCTCCTGAAATGGTTCCCGTATGCATATCACGCTTAAACACGAATCAAGTACCGGTCCCATGCGGAAGCGCATGGCCATTCCACCCTTTACTGCTTCGCATAAAAAGAAGAAGAAGTCTCCTGAAATGGTTCCCGTATGCATATCACGCTTAAACACGAATCAAGTACCGGTCCCATGCGGAAGCGCTTGGGCATTCAGAAGTTCTGTTCCGAAAGCTCCAACCGCATCGCGAAGTTTGTAAATGGTTCCTTCTTCCATCCAGAAGTGGCCGGCGCCGGATACTTCAACGGCACGAAAGAGGGTTGTAGTCTCCGTCATGAGTCTGTTTGTCCACTCGCGCATTTTCCGTAGCATGACGAAGCTGTCATGGTCTCCGTAGATAGCCAAGGTTGGGTTGTGCACGAGCTTCATTTCCGAGGCATCGCTTTCGGTGCCTCCTGCGGCGTCGTGGGTGGTGTTGGCATGGCCATGCCGACCACCAGTCCTGCGCCACCAGCCGCTGAAGGGATTTGGGATGGACATGGTGGCCAAGTTGGTGACATAACCAATGGGGGGAGAGACCACCAGGTACGCACTGCGAAAGGCCTGCAGATCTTCCACCTTGGCCATGCATTCCACTTGATGTAGTATCTCCTCGGCCTGCCCATCTGTCTTGCGCCTGTGGGTTTTGTGCACCCGCTTCGTCCTCGCAAGCAGATCTTTGACCCCCCTGCGTATCCTGTCCTCGAGATCTTGAGGATTGAGTCTTGATACATCTTGACTCTTGCGTGAAACATCTTCGTCCCCGCCGACTCGCATGCCCATGGTCCGACGCGGAGAGGCAGGTCCAGTGGCGATTCGGTTATGATGCTCAGCAAGGTGCTGCGCCCGGAGTCGAATATCGGCGGCATCGCTACCCACGGGAGGGCTGTCAAACGGCGCTAGAATGTCTGCAAGGGGTGGGACCTTGGTGGTGACCAGTGCGCCATAGGAGTAGCCAGCTTGGAGTATGACTGGCGGCATCGGCGCATGTTCGGCGTTTATACCGTCGGACGAGTCAAGGTAGTGTGCATAGTAGGTCATGAAGGCGACGACTGAACTGTAGTCGGCCTGCTCGGGTTTCGACGTCCAGGATGTGCGAGCGCCTGACGACGATGACGAGGCACCTCTATACCGTGAGACGACGTATTAGCTCCCACGATTGCGGCGCCGGCTTATCACCTGTTCGCAAACCTCCCGTCGGGGCGATCCGTGACAAGGCGCTGGGTGCGCAAACTACCATCAACGGAAGAAGGAAGAAGTGGTTGGTGATTGACTGACCGAAAGTTGAACGTGGCGACCATGAAACCCAGCCCAAGCAGCGTTCCCCCGACCAAGTCGACAATCGGATCATCATAACTACCTCCCAGAGGCGCGTAAGGGTGCGCGACAATGGCAACGTGTCGGCGCCATGGTGTCGCAGCTGCCGATGTTTTCGTTAGACCCGCCGGGTGAAAGACTCGACAGTCAAGCTTGATATGATCGTGGATGCTCGGGATGGTGAAGCACAACGAAGGCTTCGGCAGCATGATCTCAAGAAGACGATGACATTGCTGTGGATTCCAAGGTTGTTGATGGGATTGATAACGCCGCACAAGTTTTGGTAGCACCTTTTTATTCGACTTGCCTATCTGCGCAGGGTACGTAATTTACCTAGGGATGTCAAGTACTGGCCAGGTAGGGTACATTACCTAGTAGATACCTACTTTTTAGGTTCCATTACAGAGTACATTTGATACCTCTGTATCAAAAAGCGCTAGAATTTGTGGACGGTACGACCGGGCAGTGATCATTACAATGTCACAAGCCAAGTATAGAGTCCATATGGCACATTTGCCCTTTTTCCCATTTTGTAGATGCAGTTGTAAGTGAAGTATTTCTTATTTTTAGAATTCAAAGTATAGCGAGATTGGTTTCTTATCGAGCGCATACGCACAACAAACAGCAATACTAAACAAACACTTTATCTTTGTTACATTGGGATGCAGCTCTGCAAACTGCAGAGTTTAAAAAAGAAAAAAAAGATATCAACCAAGGAAGTGAATAAAAAAAAAACCATCTAAAAAACCAAACACATTGAAAGATATTACCAGCTGAACCAAAATAAATGCCCGCTGGCGGAATTGAACCGCCGACTTTCGCATGACGCACGTATTCAAATGTTACGAGTGCGACGCAATACCACTATGCCAAGCGGGCCATGGTAACAACAGGATGTCCTGATTTGTTCGTTTTCAATTTATTGTAGTCCTAGTCACAAGTATGCGCAGCTCAATTTCTGGACAATTTTGGAAAAAGTGCAACTAACTCCAGCGCCTCCAAGCATGGCAAACTTGTCAATACTACAGCACATGTGCAATAGTGGGTTACGCATGAAATATGTACATTTGTTGTTCTCAATTCTCAGTGTCAGTAGATCCCTTAATGTTCCATGATTGTCAACAAATACTATTGTCAATCTACATACGCCAACTCAATGGAGCGCTCCAACTTGTCAACACATGAAATTCCGCCTGTCCCTAAAAAGTTTCCTAAAACTTCCAGAAGTGTGTCTAATAAAAGAACGCTGCGGGCTTTGAATCAATGGATATTCGTAGATCCAGTCTTGTTCCATTGAGTTAAAAGGGGAACCTTCATTTATGCTCTTGATCCAATAACACTGAAATGACGGTAGGGCCACTACTTGGTTGGCTGTTGCTACAACCTTGCTTGCTTGGAGCGACTGATCAAAAGTCGAATCATCATCATTTCCAAGCCTTGAAGTAAGGAGACGAGAATCATTCAGAGCCATCATGGGCTGTGGATCTGATCTACTCGTGGCCAGATTCTTGGCACTGCTAGCTCCTTGCACGGTGCCTTGGTTTTCGTTGAAATGTCTTGGTCTGTCTATCCATCTCGAGTCTTGAACCCTGGCCCCGGATTGGGCTGTCCGAATTTCGACAGTCTTGTTTTGTCTGCAAGACTGCCGCCATTATTATAATTCGTACGTTTGTTCATTCCCAGCCAGTCTTCCTTTTCCATAACTTTTATTCTTCTTGCTTCACAACGACCAACATGTCTCGCTTCTGTAGCTCCTTTATCAACATGTCTCAATCCCACGGCATAGCCTGGGCAGTACCATAGCGCATGTTGAGCAGGTCCGTTTAATGCTACGAGTTACGGGTACAATCAGAGACAAATATAAAGATAAACATAAGGTTGTTCGACTCTACACTAGTGCTGCTGATGCTGCTGCCGCTGCCACCAGCTGTCTGAATATAGTGTCCCGTCACATATGGACAGCTCGAAAATGGAGACCTTCTGTGCCGGTTTCCGTGCGGACGTGCATCTGTATTACCATAAGCGCCTCTTGGCATGCTTTGGCGAGATTGAGGGGCCTGGCTCTTTTAGGGCTGTGTCGCCGCAACATCCTCCTTCTCGATGAAGTGATTGGTGTCATGAATTGATTGGCAAGGCAATTGGATTATCACCTAACCTAGTACAGTAGTAGTAGTAGTACGTAGTACTATTATTGCATGTGCCGCTCTCTGCCCGCGAAACTTGGCTCGTGGAGGTGGAGCGAGGACCATCTTGTCGGGGCCCCAGATCACGATCAGTCTCAGACACATTCAGCATGACTTTTTTAAGACTGCCAATCTTCTTTCTCAGTTCTAGGTCTAGGTACAAGCAGTACAGTGTCGTTCTCATTGTTCTTTCTCTCTTGTTATTTTCTTGGGTTTTCTGCTTGATATTTGACACGGGAGGGCCAATACAATCAACCAAATTTGGTGAGCTTCGACGAAATGGCCGCCACTCTTGCCGAAAAGAGCCCCCGGACATGGAGCTCGCGACTTTCGTTTCTTCACACAAAGAGAGCGCTGGCTGCATTATCGCTCCTGGTCACTGTAGCCATCATACTCATTGGTAATACCCATATGCCATAAAGAAGAAGACAATTTGCTGGATCCTCAACTGACTTGTCGAACCCAGCACTTGCCGCAACACACACAATTGGCAGCAGCTCTTCCTCGACATCAAAGCAGGCGGAATCTAATAATAGCACAAACAGCAGCTCCAGTACTGACTCTGGTCAAGGTTGGTGCCAACATCAATTTCTGTTTCGTCCGTCGGCTTTCATGAGACCTAACCGTTTTGCTCAGCAAACTCTACTACATCGCAAACGAGTGGCGAGTACGCTGGAAGCATCGCAGATGGCACCCCTCTCAGAGTAATGTGCCTTGGCGCATCAATCGTCAAGGGCGAGACATCTCCCGGCACGGTTGGCTTTCGAAAGGTGCTTCGGGACGACCTCGTCGGATTCGGGGTACCAGTAAACATGGTCGGTTCGGTTCGGCTGGGCGACATGATTGATAATGACCTGGAGGCATACGGCGGTAATCTCATTACCCAAATTCACGACCACGCCACACACATTGTCCCCGAAGCACTGCCAAATGTTTTCGTCATCAATGTCGGGACAAACAACATTCTCCAAAACATCGACATTGACAAGACGGGCGAGCAAATGGAAGACTTTATCGACTATCTGCTCGAGACATCGCCGAGGTCTTTTGTCATTATGAGCACTCTCTTGACCAATAATGTATCGGGTGGTGCCCTCGAACCAAACGTCCTGGACATCAACGGGCAGTATCGGAGCCTGATGACAAGGTTCGAAAACAGTGGCAAGCCAGTCGTGTTGGCGGAAATGCACCCAAGCGAAGGGGGAGGAGACGAGGTGCCTCAGCTTGCGGATATTGGGCCTGACGGATCGCATCCTTTGGTGAGCGGTTACGAAAAGATGGGGCATATCTTCTCCCAGGCAGTAAAGACCGCCGACTCGAAAGGAATGATTCAAATCGCGACAGACAATGGATATCCTGATGATGGAGAGGCGGAGAGGAGCAGTACCAAACGGCTAAGGCACCGTTAGAGGTCGACCAATGAACCATGAGAGCTCACTTTGGCATGAAAGCTGGGTTGAGCACCAGGTTGTTTATTCGTCTGTCAAATAAGTACCTGATTGACAGCGTGGCATGGGCCACACATATTGATGCCAGTGGCAGCAATCAAGGTCTATCTACCATACAACGGGACGCAACCTCTGTGGTTGGGGAACCATGGCTGGGATGTTGCCAAGGAGTGTCCATGGCCAGGCCAACCTATGTCGACTTTTTTTTTTTTGGCCTGATCTCTTACACAACCATGACACTCTATATTTTCGGTCATGTCTCTGAACAGTACGTGCTTGCCCTACTTCAGTACAGTGGTTTCCATGAAGCCTCCAACACTAGCATGCACATCATCCCAAAGACGCAATTCTGCGGCAAGAGCCATGCCGGTGCCTCTTTATTCTTCTTTCTCTTGGGTAGGGTCGGTCAATGACTCTCAAGCTGCAAAGAACCAGTAGGAAGGTACTTACTGCGGTTGATGGGCCAATCCTTTGGCATGCCGCGAAAGTGTGACTTCAACTGCACCGGCTTTCGAGCAGAAGTGTCTGTCTCTTTTGACTGGGAGGCGGCATCATCACCACCATCCTCATCACGGCCATGACCTCGAACTGGTTCTTGCGCCTGATTGCTGCCTTCATGCTGCGTAGGCGTGGCTGTGGACGGTTCCGATGCCTTGGAGTTGGCGCCGTCTCGGCTTGTGTGCTCGCTCATGGTCTGGGTCTATTAGTAGCGTTGTGCTGCTGAACACCTAGCTGTGTTCGATGGGAAGCTCGCTTGGTATTTGGCGTTCTGAGATAATGTACTTGAAAAAATGGTATTTGATAGACGGCCCCGATCAGGGAAGGATTTCCATTTGTAAAGAGATGATCACCTAACCTTGTAATGTAATGTACAAACAAACCCACCCACCTGCTTACCTGCCTAGAAAGTTATAGTACCTGTCCGTTCCCCCATTACCCTTGTGACTCTCTGGTCAAACACAAGCGGATCACGATGACGTCACAAGCACAAAGCACTGTGCCACTATGGCGGCTGGAAGCTTGAGCTGAGCTGAGCTTCACGGAGCACGAACACCTGAGCATTGAGCACTGAGCTGGATGGAGCTGAAGTCTGACAAAGATACGTGTCATCCGATACGTGCTGTGGAATATACAATTCTAGGTTCGGTACTGTGTATGTAGGCAGGTAATGTAGGCAATGTGGCATATGTTCATATTCTGGGCTTTTCTATAGGACCAGGCATGTATCATCCCTATGCCATTGTCACGTCTCGCCTAGTAAATGTACCTGAAGTTTAGGTTCTCACGATCCGTCATATCAGCAAAGGCCGTAGAGTCCAGATCGCGACCGTGCAGGCCGCCTTCCATTTCAGACTGGATCTTATCGCGCCGCCTGTTCTCGCGGCTCATCAGTATCCAAAAGGTGGTGATGATACAGACCTCTAGCAGGTGGGACACAATCATGGACCAAATACCAAGCTCATAATACGGTGCTTGATTAGTGAGGTAAAAGAAGGGCCCCGAGATCTGCAACAGTGGGTTCCAACAGGTTAGCAAGCAAATCATCATCATGATGGTCAATGTGGGTTGGGGGCGACGTACATTCCCAGCGCAGTACCCGAGAAATAAAACTGCATTCGTCACCACCTTTTTCGTGTGCCCAGCCGTGTTCGCAGTCTGCAGCGACAAGACCAATACAAAGGCGGCATTGTACGGGCCAGTCAAGTAGTAACACATGAGTCTCGCAATCTGGCGATTGGCCGGGACGAATCGGAGGCCAAAGGCACCAGCAATATTTGGTAGCAGGAATAGTAGAATGAAGAGGCACCGCTTGTTGACAAATCTGTTGTTCAGGTACACGCAAATAAGGATGCTGATTGCTATGATTATTCCGTAGGGAACCTGCATCAGCGTTGTCACAAGAGTACTGAACCCGAATCCTTGGATGATCAAGGTTCCGAAATTCGAGATTCCACCGTTTGGCACATTGCACACCAGTCCCAGCAGGAAGAAAAGGTATAGCTTGACGTCGAGGAAGGCTTCGCGAACCTGGTGCCACTTGAGATGTTTGTTCTCTACTCCAGTCTGGTTCTCCCGCAAACGCTGGACCGCCATTCGCTTTTCGGCACGGGTCAGACCCTTGGCGGTAACTGGAGAATCCGGCAAGAAGACAAACATGACGATCCCCCATACGCAACATAGCGCGCCAATGATGAGGAACTCGTATTTCCAAGAAGGTAGTGATCCCTTGATGCTACCAATGCCTGAACAATCAGTCTCGAATCAGTCGACATGAGCGTCCAGGAACTTACCGTAACCGAGCAGGCCACCCAAAGATATGCCCAAACCATTAGCAGTGTACCAAATACCAATACGCACAGGTTGTTGGCGTCGGGTATACTGTACACTAGATCAACAACAGACCAACGACACATGCAGGAAAGATCATGTAGGGAATAACCTACCCACATGCTGGTTATGAGCATAAAGGAAGGATCCGAGCATGCCTCGGCGGCACCGGCGAGGAAGCGAAGGACCATGAGTCCAGCGAAATTGTGTACGGCGGCTTGAAGCATCAAGAAAAACCCTGCTCATCTCAGTCTGCTTATCTTCAATGCCAGTCAATCTCTCCTCGACTTACCCCAAAGAAAAATATTGATGCCCAGGTATTTTCCAATGGGAAACTTTTGCATCATGAAGTTGGTCGGAAAGGCCCATGCAAGAAAGCCAAAGTAGAACATTGAACTCAGCCAATTGTACTTGGGCCCTTGTAGGTCCAGGTCTTGCCTGATTCCGAATATAGCTGCACCACGAGATGTGTGAGTCCAATACAGTAAGTATTATATGTCCAACTACGTATTTTCAACCTACCAGCATAAGAGAGTGTGGTTTTGTCAATGTAGAAGAAGGCATAGCACACGGCCAGGTACGGCAAAATCATAAAATCAATCTTTCTCACCAGTCGCCGCTCTTCCGTGGGATCGCGAGGCTCGTGGATCTGATCTGGGTGGTCAAACAGAGTCATGGCCACATCGACGTCGTGACTAGACCCTGGTACCGTCTTGGCAATATTGACATGGCTAGCATGAGCTGCAAGTTCTTCGTGATCCTTTGATGGAAGAGAGCGGCTGGGCTCGTTGTTGTTTTCTGCCATGGTGATAGTGTCCGGCTTCTCGACAGCGGAGAGCTCAACGTTATGAATGGACTAAAGAATGAACGTCTGCCTGTCTACAATTATGATGGGAAGCACCCGATTGCATGAAAAGTCAAAATGTATGTGGTTGGAATGAGAAGCCGGGAGTTTGAGATCTGGGCACCCCTTATCTAACTTTTGAATGGGAAGCTCAGCCCACACAATTGTCATAACAGTCATCTCTGGTTGGATTACGGAAATCCGTAGCCCTTGGGACGGACGCACATGGTGATGGCCCACTCGAGTGGCCCGTTTACCCCAATGCACTATGATACTACCTATATCCTATCAAGGCGGCACTGCTTCAAGTGGTTACAGTGGTTACAGTAGATAGCTGCCTAGTAGGTAGGTACAAGCGTACATGAGGATGCGGGGAAATGGCCATTAGAAAACGATTCTTCCCCTCCCGCGTCTCGCGGGGTATATATGGGGTACGTCGTCATCTTGTCCTAAAACAGCAATCCGAGCCTGGGGTAAGGAGGGTGTCGGGAGACCCGTCGTGGTCGAGGTTATGTCTTTCGGTTAGCATAGCTAACCTAAATACTAACTTAAGCAGCAAGTGTTTTCCTGGCTCTTCTACTTCGATCCGTTTCATTTGAGCTAACATGACCACGAGGTATTCTCGACACATCACTTGACTACTGCCCGGACATTTCCACGTTGAAGGAAACATGATCCAATAGCTTTCACTTGACGACGCAGCACCAAAGAATTAACCAGGGAGAAGTGGATAGGAGAAGCAAGTGAGAATTTGTTGCGCTGCCGGGAAGTTTGACCTGCAAAAAGTCTACATTGCTCCGGATGTAGTATATTGTTGATCAAGAAGAACACTCTTCTGTTGCTTGGCAATATCAAGTCAGATATCCCTCCCGGGAATTCCCCAGACACAGTCGTCCATCTTCAGGTGGCCGAAATGCGTGGAGACAATCATAAGACTTATACTGATATATGATAGTTATATACGACATTCCCAACTAGCTCAAAGCCTATTTGACCTCGACATGGTTCCTCCATAAATCCAATTTGTGTGTTGGCAGCACATGACATGAATATCCGCAGTTTCTTAATATGGCATCTAGCAGCCGGCATAGACAGCTTTTATCGTCATCGTTAGTGGTTGTATTGTTCAAAGGCTTGGGTTCAACTCACCATTGGCAAACAGAGCATAGCTGTCGGCGTTGTTCAGTGCTTGGGTGGCTGACAGTCTAATGGCAGCCGAGTAGCCGTAGCCCAGATCCTGGGTTCCCTTGATCTGGCTCAAGTGGGTGACCTCGTGGAGAGTCGTGGTCGCCTGATCCTGAGCATGGCAGGATTTTGTAAGCGCCGGGAGGTCTAATGGATCAAAATGGGTCAGCCTTGATTCATCATGGGAAAATTACAGCACATATTTCGACCACTTACAGTTAAAGTACAGAGGGCACGAGACCATGAAGCTTCCAGAAGGCAGGGTGTAGGCCAAGACACCACTGCTGCAGGAGCTGTAGACATCAGTGCAGTACTGCTTGGAAACACCAGACGTGGTGCTGCCACACTCGGAAGCAACGCGGTTGAAGACGGTAACAAGAGTGCTGGCGGCGGAAGCAGTCTTGAAGTACTCTACAACCTTGGCACTGTCGGACTGGGCGGCAGAGGCAGAGAGCTTGGCAAGGGATGCGCAGTTGGAAAGGGCTGTGGTCTGAGCCGTCTTCTTGGCGCCAGTGCAGTCGGACTGAACAACAGTGCGCTTCTCGACAAAGCGACGCTGGACCTCAGCAGCCTGGGCGCCATCGACAGTGGCAGAGATGGAGTTGCTGGAGAACGGAACGACGCCGGCGATCGCGGTTGTGTTGGCATCTGCATAGGACAGAACGCCGTTGGCAACAAAGTTGTCTTGTCAGAATACGTTAGTTCTTTCCCTTGGCTTTTCTTATTCGACCTTTGGCGCCGAAATCTTGAACACCCTACTCCAAGAGTATAGAGCCGAAGAGACCAAAGAGGTTATCTTGTTTGCTATAGAAAATTTGTGTACTCACACTCGCCGCCCTCGCTAAGGTCGTGAAGCTCGCCAACGTCAATCAGCGTCTTGATGGACTCGCCAGCAGGAATGGTTAGGAACGCTTCCTCGTCGAGGCCAGCAGTGGTAATTCGAAGACGAATACCGGCAAAGTCAACCTGGGAATCTACCTATTGCATCAGCTAGTCTGCCAAATTTCTCTGTTCTGGCGCAAGATACATACCACCCTTGAAGACCTGGACCTTCTCAACTGGAGCGCTGTCAAAGAGGGAGCCAGTCTTGAAGATCTTCAAGGCATCATTGCCAGTGTTGGTAACGGTAGCCTGCAGACCAGTATTGCCAATCGACTCGAGTTTGACGTCGAGAGGAGAGTCACGTTTCATCGTGGCGGCAGTCGCCAAGGTGGCGAGCGCCGAGAGGCCAGCGAGAAACTTCATCTTGAAAGGCAGGGTAGAATTATCGACAAGGCTGAGGCAATGATTGGCTGCAAAGTAATACCGAACTGTTATTCGAGCTGAAGAGGTGTGGCCAGAAGGGTTCTCATTTTGTCTGCTGTTGTTCAAATGACTGATACTTATACTCGATGGTCGTCGTTTCCATGGCCTCGTCTTCTCTGCGGTCAAGATGGGATGACTAGGTAGTCGGATCGTCGTTGTGATTGATGACAGCGATGTACCGAGTGCTCCTAGAGGCAAACAGGAAGCTGAACTCTCAATGATAGTTGCTTCCGAATGCCAAGAGCCGCTTGGAGGATTACATGGGACGAAGGGTTCCATGTGGAGAATGAATATGAATGGATAAACCCCTTTGGTGCAGCTGTACAGCGGATCCTCGGACGTTACTCAACCTGCAGCGATGCGAAAGCCAATAAAGCTTGGTAAAGCTTGTCATTGCTTATACTACAGCACCGTCCAGGGTCGTTTCCTCTGGGTAGCATCCGCCAGCATACATTCCATCAGCCCTCCGGATCCCGGCGTTGACGGTCTGTCAGTGGATCGATCATGTCCTACGGGCTGAGGCCATGCTCAAGGTTAACTCGAGATGGACGGAAGCCAGATTCCTGTTGTCTTCAGATGATTGATAACGCGTTGGCGAGTAATTCGAATATAGGACATACAATATGACATGTTACGGGGCAAGAAAGAAAGTGATAGGACATTCCGGTTATTCGATGACCCGCGAATGGGCAAATGGGCAGTAGAGGCTTACTCCTCATTTTGAGAAGGAAAGAAAAACTGCCAAGAGGGCGTGCCAAGACTCATATATGTATACGAGCGTCGCTTTGGGCTGAAGCAGCTACCTAGTATACTCGATTCGGACAGGGGAAGACAGACAAGGGTGAACCACTCACGATGAAACCATGCATGGCTGGACGATGCACCATCTTGGGCGACGAGATCGCGACCCCGAGCTAACATACAGTTTACAGATTCAATCGGATATCAACTCCTCAGATAAAGGCTTCCAAAGGTGGGGAGATCTTCTTCCCACTACCAGGAGTCATAGTGGGACCTAGAGGGCTCACTTGAAGAATCGAGACGACTGGCGAAGGCATAGAGCTGGCTTCACAGGTGCGAATAGATACCTGCCGGAGAGATTGCAACAAACGAAAGACTATGCATCAGCTTGGTAGGTATGTACGCCTCCAATCAACGAACGGGGTCGCATACGTACCAAACAGATAGATAGAGTCATTTTCAATTTGCCAATAATTACTACTCACACCTGATAACGCACCTAGCTACCGGCATCTGTATCTTCGCTTACGGGGGAAGGTTGCTCAAGCCGGGTGCAACGGCATAAGCTTTTGTGCGGTGGTCACAAGCCTCACCTTAATCCAACGACTCGAGTAGACGAGGCACACGAGCATCATTTTGCAGCTAGGTATGGAATGTAGGTAAGCATGGTCGAATATAGTCGGTACACTACTACCTATGTCGATTCCCCAGAAAGGAACAAGTCCACCTTCCTGATTCGTCGACGCTCCGGCGGGTCCTATTATGCATAACTTTCTTCTAACACTAAACCAACCTGGTATGTTGCTCCTCTTCCTTTGCCCCCCACCCGCTCTGTCTGCTCATTGCACTCTCAGTGCCACTCACTCGCTACCTTGGGACGAGGGGTTTATCACATTTCTTCCATCTACATCTGTTCCCGGGCGTTGATAGACCTGTGGCTTACTACGTTGGACAGCAGCCCGATTCGCTACATAACCGATCTGTCGTCATAGACTACCGAGACAATATCCTCATCAAGAAGCTGGGATTCATATAAAGCGTTGGACCCATTACTGCCAAGACCATCGTGGCCCGGAGCAGTGGCATCTCGTAAGTTGATTCGAGCATCACTGCCCGCCCATGGGCACCCATCGTCATGTCAAGCTGGAAATTTGCAAACACTCCGTCACTGGCTGGAGCTTGGGGCTTTGGCATGGTAGCGAAGCGCCTCCCCTCTCGTTTCCATGCAGCCAATGTTCCCTTGGCACATCTGTGATATCCCCGGCGCCCCAAAACACGGTTGAATATAGATAGCTGTGTAGGTCAACCTCATGAGCGAGCAGTCACAGCCTGACTGACTTGGGCATGTACCTGGGAGGTAGACTTGCGGAGCCTGTTTACCCCAAATCGTTTCTAGGTGCCGATTCTCACTCTTTGTCCGAAGCAGTACTCCCACCCTTCAAAGCTGGTCCAGCCGCTTCCAATGAGCTACCCGCGACGTCATTACCATTTTCGTAACATAATAACCCTCTTCATTGCTGTTGGCTTCACCATCCTCTGCTTCTCAAAGCTGTACCGGGCAGAGTCTTCCACCACCACCATGTCCTCTGGCGCCCTGTCACATCTTACCGTTTCCGTCCGGAAATCGGCATCCAACGACCTTGCCTTTAGCGTGACCAACAACCACGATGAACCCATCACTCTACTGAGATGGGAGTCGCCACTCGATCCCCTGGCCCTGAAGCTCGGCAAGGTCAAGCTGTTTGCACCCGCCGACAGCGAAGAGGCGCTTGACATCCCAATCATCATGGTCCGCCGTAAAATGCCACCCGGCCAGGAGTCGCTAGTCACCATTGAGCCGGGCGCGACTGCAGAATCATCGATAGAGCTCAAGGAGCCACTGGTCCCAATAGATAAGCTCAAAGGCGATGTCAAGGTGTCCTACCAGGGAAGGTGGGTGAGCGCATGGCAGAAGAGGGCTGATAAGATCTCACCCAAGGAGCTCGAGGATCTAAACGCTGGAGAGGAGGCGCTTTCGGGAGATTATTCGATGGAACCAGTCACCATCAACTTCTAGTCAATACATGGAGCCAATGGGTAGTTTCTATCACTGACGCATCCCTTCGCTTTCTCCTTTGAACAATGACTGCATCCAGCTATTTCACATTGACTTATTTGGCCGTCTTTCTTGACGAATTAATATTGGTTATTGGAAGATGATCAATTACATCCTAGTCTGCCAGTTCCTGTAGCTTTGCATACACCACATCTGCAATCTCAATGTTATTTGTCTCGAGATACATGAAATGCCCATTCCCAAGGATCCCGATGTCTTCCAGCTTGATCCACTCATAAGCTACTTGTGTCTGATCCAAGTAGAGCGCTACACAGTGATCATATGTGATATGCGGGCTTGCACTTCCAGTGTACATGATGAATGGCACCTTCGCAATCTCTGGCAGGGTATGTATGGTCGAGTTGCTCGCCTGCAAGAAACAGGAGCGTAAGGCAGGGGTGTCAGTCCCAACCTCTACAGGGTTGAGCTCGCTAGCTGACTGGATTGGGGGATTATAGGTTATGGGAGTATTGGTCAAGCCGTATGCTCGCGACCGAGAGCGGCCGGACGGGTCATTGGCGCCTCCTACCAGCGATTGAAAGGGAATCACGGTGGGCTCCAGATTGATCGTCGCCTTAACCAGGTCGGGGCACTCGTCCGACATGAGGACGGTATACTGGCACGATGCCGAATGACAAAACGTGAAAGACTCTCCCACCAACTCCAATAAGCGACAGCCTGCCGCCCTCATGGCAAGCTCTCCGCTCGTGGAATTTGAGTTTAGAGGGATCATGGTCGCTTCGAAAGCGTCAAAGACGGGATCGCCTCGGACGCCCGTCCCGGGCCACTTGTCATGGCCTTCTGCCTGCGGATAGTAATCGGCCAGTTCCGGAGCGGTGAAACCATTCTGCGTGATGTTGTCTGTCGATCCGAGCTTGATTGTGTAATCTGCCAGGTCGTTTTGGGTGCTTCGGCCGTTTCCAATCACATCGAGTATATAGACCTGATAGCCGGCCTCCACAAAATACGATGCCCAACCTTGTCGGTTGTCGGGCGTGTTTAACCACACATGTTTTGAGTCAGTACTTTTTACGTCTGGGGATTCTGTGGGGGATATGAATGCCCTACTGAGCCTGGTGGTATGCCAGCCGAAATAAAGACAAGCGGGTTCGATTGATTGACTCCAGATAGTGGAGTCAGCTTTTCGACATAGATTTGACCAATTGTGAGGCTTTGATATGTGCCATTGTATGGTACGTAGTTGCCGCCAACATAGAACGAGTCTCTTCGATAAGCCGCCTCGGTAGAGATGCAGCGAGGACTGATGGCGTTCAAGCCTGTGCAGTCAACAGTTGTGTCAGCGACCACCGCCGCTGCCACGAGGCAAAGCAACAACACCAACAAGAAAATCATGGTAGCGGAGAACGAGATCCCAGACTCTCGGTGCGCAAGAGAATGAGAAGGGGGAGGGGAAATCAAGTGTCACGACCTCACCAGGAAATGAGTGAGAGCGAGAGAACGAGAGAGGAGAAATTCCGAGGCCATGCATTTCCCCTCTAGAGCGACAGGGGTTCTCGCCCCAGGCCAGCCATGCGATCAATATCAAGAACGGAGCACTTCCCATTGTGCCCCGCCAAGACGGGTTGCCAAAACTTGATCAAAGACATAGAACACATGTAGTCACGCATTCCCACATGACCAAGAATACTCGAGCGTCGAGCATTCTTCTTAATATTCAACACTTGCAAATACGCCAGGAGCAAAGTTTGTTCAACAAGATAGTATTTACAGCCCAAGAGGAGCCTTGACTGACTCGTCCCAGGACGGAATATATGTATAAACAGAAATGAATCGTATCACAAACAAATGTCGCTCCTCGTCTGAGCTCACGCAGAGCCGTCTTCTACACATCTATGCCGTTCTTGGTCCCCATTTATAGTACCTCTAAACAGCCATGAATCACCAGGCCACGCCGCTGTCGTTGTTGTTCTTGTTTCTGTCCGTCTAGACGCACTGAGAGTAGTAGTCGTTCATCACACTTAAGTATTGGGCCAGATTGTTAGCTTTTTATTCCGTCATTCAAATTCTGTAAAGAGCAAGAAGATAACTTACGTGCAGGTGCCCGAAGCGCAAGTAGTCGAGCCAGTGTATGTGAGACCTCCACATTGTCCATAGAGGGCAACCGATCCACCGCTGGACGACGCAGCAGTCGAGGTAGCGGCTGCTGCAGAACTGGTGCGGGTCACCAAAGTGGTAGGAGCAGCTGACGTAGCGACGGCCGATGTGGTCTCATCGTCGTCAGCATCGCAGGAGTCGTCATCATCACCCTCGTCGTCACCCTCATCAGCAGCGGCGGATGTGGTAGCGGGAGCAGCAGCCGAGGAAGAGGAAACGGTGGCAGCCTCAGTCACGGCAGCAGCAGTCGAGGAAGTAGCAGCAACGGAGGAGGTAGCGGCAGCGGCAGCAGTGGACGAGGTGGCGGCGGCGGCAGTCGTGGTGGCAGCACTGCCGGAACCGGATCCAGAGCCACCAGTGTACAGAGCGGGGCCGGGGATGGTGTAGCTGGTGATGGTGGTGTAGGGGTTGAACAGGATACCAGGGTCATCCTCATTGTACAGGGCAGTACCCAGGGTACCAGAGGGGGAGTCCGTACCCGAGCCGGTAATGGCAATGTTGAAGCACTGCGGGTAGTTCTGAGCACCGTCCTCGGAGCCAGCACCGTGGAGAGCAATGATCTCGTGGCGGAAGACATAGTTACCGGCAGCCAAGGTCGACGGCACAGTGGTGGTCCAAGTGCTGTTGTTGTCGATCAGAGCCTGAGCAGCCCACGTCTCGGTGCTGGTATCGTAACCGCTCTCGTCAATCTTGACCCACTCGAGGGCAGTCTTGTCGACGGCCGAGCAGTCGCCGTTGCAGGCAGCCACGTAGGTGAGGACCGGGCCGATACCGTGAGGCCAGGTGGTCCACTGGAAATCCACAGTACCACCGGCACTGACGGACTTGGTCAGGGCGCCGGGCTCGGCGTTGATGTGGCAGTTGATGTCGGCGGTGCCGTAGGAGCTTGGGGAGACGAAGCCATTGTCCGTATCCTCGGCGTACCAGGCGGCAATGTCGGGGAAGGAACCCGAGTTGATCTTCTCGTAGTAGTAGTCCAAGAGGAAACCCTGGTTCCAGGTTCCATCGGTCACGAAGCCGGAGACAGTTCCGTGAGCCAGAGCCGAGCTGGCGAAAGCACCAGCCAGGGCGATAGAAGACTTGAAGGAGGACATGATGCAACGCTTTCTGAAGAGATGTCGAAAAATGTATCGTTATCAATGCGGACAGAGAATGGAGGGCTGCAGAAAAGCTCAGTTGAGTTCAAAAAGGGAACGAGATACGATTGCTGTAAGTGAAAAAGAAAGGAAGTGTCCCAGCTTCACACGGTGAAGTTGACAAGGCGAATCGAAAAAGAATGAAGACCTCGAAAGGATGAAGAGGGAAAAGAATGAAAGACTGTTGTGAACAAAGCTACAGAGAGAGAGAGCAGAAGACTTTCCAACCGGCGTATTGTCAAGAGGCATCTCGAGGACTTATACGTTCTGGATGCCCTGCTCTGTCTGGCAGCTCACCCGCCGAGCCTTGGCTGGGAGCGAGGTCATCGTCTCCACTGCAATTCGTCGTTCATTATACTCGCTACAAACAGTGGACGATGGAGACTGGTGGAAGAAATGTCGAGCCCAATCAAATACAGAGCCGTAGACTGATTTGGACACATCCCCGGGATGCGGTTGAGCGTCGAGAGGATCCCCTGGTCGTTGAGCCTCAACCGACTCCATAATAAGGGGCCATGCTTACCATATGTTAGCTACCCCCCGGCTCCAGAAAAAGACAAAACCTAGCGCGAGATGAAACAACGCCCCTTCGGCCCAATCCGAATCCCTTCATTTCGCTCAGCTCAATTTGGGAAAAGAATATGGATTTCAATTAGCTCTCTCTGTCTCTCTCTGTCTCTCCCTGTCTCTCTATCTCTCTCTTCTCTCTCACTAAACCACACGCACTCATACATACACATATATATCCACTCTCGCACTTTTCCTTCCTTTATTTTAGGCGACCCAGCGGCCAGCTCTCGGCTACCTAGGGTGCATAATACATAGTAGGATTTGTTTGTTGTGTGGATCCACGCCTTCCTGGACAGAGATCATCGTACCCTGCATCCCTGCACACAACCTTCATCTTCAGATGAAAAAGGTGCGCCAAGCCGTTTCTTGTTGATGGAGATCCAGGGCACAGGAGCCTTTGGCAACGCCATCTCTTCGCGTCAGCGAGCTGTGGTCCATTGCCCCGTTCACGAGATCGCACCACGACAGGTGTTGTCACTGGCCTACTGCCCCCTGCAGCAATCCCACGACATATATGTATGTACATACCCTGTATGGTATTTCGGTACCGCGGCAAATAAGTATGTACTAGGTAGATGGGTAGACTAGGATGACGAGGACACACGCTGCACCCGCGAACGTCGAATTTACTACAAACTCTACTAGATGGCAGCATGCATGACACAACCCCCTCAGGCTCTGTCCATTCTTTCAATCACACTGTGGCGTATGGCGGTGTCAGTCCTTGGCGACTGAGAATTCGGTGCGCAGTTGGCCGCTTGATGTAGATTGCTATTGACCTGGCTCAATGATTTTCAGTAGCCACCCAACTTCGGAATGAACTTTGATTGTGGGCTTGAGATTTGTCGGCTACAGACAGGTGTCGTCATATTGCAATACAACCCAATTATCAAGCCATCATCTCAAGATATTCACCTAGCTTGATAGGTACGTACTTTGTAGGTTGGTAAGTCAGGTAGAAAGGAGGAACCCAATGGCGCATATTACATTGCCGCGACTCGCCCAGACATGAGTTGAAAATGGACCTTGGAGCCCGGGAATTTTTACACATGTCCCCGATAAGGTTGCATCTTTACTCGGCGGTATAGACGTGCTTTGTCGCTGCCATATGAGAAGTTCCAATGGCTTCTCACTGCCAAAAGAAGAAGAAGAAGAAAAATCCGTCTCCTTGCAAGACAGATCAGAAAAGTGTTTGGCCACCATCGATCACGATATCTGCACCGTTGATATAACTGCCGGCTCGACTGGCCAGTAGCACGATGGCACCCGTCAGTTCATCCGGTTGGCCCATTCTGCGCATGGGATTGCGACTAAGCCAGATATTCCTTGCATTATCAAGACCTATACCCTCGTTGAGGATTGTGTCCATATAACCTGGAGAAATGCTATTGACCCTGATACCCATATAGGCCCACTCGGCTGCCAGGCTCTTCACCATGGCCATGGCGGCAGTTTTCGAAACGTTGTACGATACCTGTGGCCTGGGATATACGATCAGCTCAGTGTTCTTTCATCGGTCCGTCTGCTTCACTCGATTTCTGTTGTCCCCGAACGTCCTTGGCAACCTCATGCTGCTATGCGATTTTGCAAAGCCGGATAGAAGTCCAGCCGCTTCATCAAAGACACGAGCGCAATGCATAGAAACGCAGTATCTTCCCAGACTTACTGAGGGTAGTTGACGCGATGCGCCGAAATGCTCGCAACGAAAATCATACTACCACCGGTGCCTTGCTTCCTCATCTGTCGCGCAACTGCCTGAGCACACAAGAAACCGCCGCTGGTATTGACATTCATAACTCGATTCCACTCATTTGGCGCCATGTCAATGGCATGCTGGCACATGACCATGCCGGCAAAGTTGAGCAAAATGTCTACGCTGCCAAGAAGCCTGGCAGTTTCCGAGACTGCTGCAGCTACGGCCTCGGCATCGGCTACATCCACTTTGATAAAGCGGATAGTGGTGCCTGGGAACTCATCCTCCAAAGTCTTGACCTTGGCGGCGGCCTCTTTGGGATTCGTGTCGAATATCATGAGCCCTTTGAGGCCATGCTCCAGGAGAGCCCTTGACGCAGCAAAGCCCAAATCGCCCGCACCACCTGTCACAATCGCGGCACCACCCACCAGGCGGAAGCGCAAGGCCGCGCGCTCGTCCGGGGAAGCACTGCGGGGTAGGGGCGACGGCGGAGATACAAGCGACCCGGGGATGCCGTCTCCAAGCTTCATCTGGGGCAGCACCCTGTTGGTCAGATCCGCTCGGACCGTGGGCACCGGCTTCAATTCGACCTCGCGGAAACCAGAATCAATATCCATGGTGTCGTGCTTCAGCTTTGTGAGAACAGGATAAAGTTGGCGGACTGTAACCCCGGGGAGAGTATAAAAGACCAGGTCAATGCCTATGATATTCAACCTCGGGAAGCCAGCGGGGTCGGATGCGCAGGCCCAAGCCGGGGGAAACTCCAGTTTTTGCTGCGCGTTCGGGGTTGATCATATGCATACATACGTTGGAAGTATCACACACACACACACACACACACACACACATACACATACACACAACAAGCCACAGCACGGACATGGTTCGATCATCCCATGCACCGATGGACGTCTGGTATACGAACAGGCCCTTCCTTTTTTCTTTCCCCCGTGGGGGGATTTGCAGTGCTGATACCCAGGGAACCCTAGAATCGGAGAACATGACGTACTTGGCTGAATTGAATTGAACTGGTGTGGATTGTTGTTTCGAGTTAGGTGGTCACTCACAAAACGTGAACAACCCGACGAGAAAAGAAGATGAGCAATGAAAGGCAAGGGGAAAGAAACAGCAGCACTACAATATGACCATCTAAGTAGGCATGTAGGTAGGTTTGTTACGGCAAAGATGGGCCTCGGCGCTGCAACAAAAGAGAATCTTCTTTTCTTTCTTTCTTC